ACAACCAGGGTACTTGTTTCTTTCTGGTCCTGCTGTTCATATTCCATATCCCAATATTCGGATTCTGTTTAGCGTTCGGCGATCTTTTGACAGAATTCGGTGTTATAAGCGACTTTCATTACACAAAAAGTACTATGGCAATAATGACTTCAATGTACTGGGGCTCGTTTGTGTTCGGTAGAATTATGAACTTAATATTTTCAAAGTATATTAATCTGTTTGTGGTACTGACCGTGAATTTGGCTGGACTGTTGTGTGCTACGACCATGCTAGTTTTGGCAACAGTAAGCCGACCGATACTCTTCTGGATTGGAACTGTGCTTATCGGATTGTTTTCGTCGTCGTTGTTGCCCACTGCATTAGTTTGGAGTGATAAATACGTTCCTGTGAGTGGTTTTACTATAACGACCACTCTGATAGCGTCTGGTATGGGGGAGATCGTGGTGCCGCGTATTGGTGGAGCAGTTTTCGACACGGAAGGCCCTCCTTCGTTGATGATCATGATGCTCGTTGCAGCACTATTTGAAATTGCTTTCTTTATCGGATTAGCTCTGGTAGGAAATGCGTTAGTGATTAAAAGTCCACCTTCTGAAGACGAACAATCAAAACAGATTGTGAAAGAAAACCACAACCGTTTTTTACAAGGATAACAACAGTATTGACCTTTCCTGGATTAACTCTACCCATTTTCAGCCTGGGTCAATTTCAATAATGAGGAAATTTGACTTATGGAATGTCCCCAGACTTTCACACGCCGATCGCAGATGGTTGTCTGATCATAAGATAGATCCGATCACAAAGTGACAGCATGTGTTTCAGTCCTGCTTTGATAGAAACCACATAATTTATTATAATGGTGCTTATTTTGTTTTCAGACAAGTTTCCTCATTTTGAGAGCCTGTACACCTTTTTTTTAAATATAAATGCATCACATAACAATAATAATGTTCATTTGGTGTATGCTTGGTTGTTCATGGTCACAAAATTAAACCTGTATGGCTTTTGGAAAAGGGTCTTAAGTCGCGTATTTTAAGCGTCGGAGTGTCGGATTCTACGGGTCCCCTTTGTAGGCTTTGGAACGGCAAAGTGTTACAAAGTTCTGCCCCCATGGTTCCATTTTGACAATATCAAGCTATTACAAACCCCGTCATATACCTTTCCATCATTAGGCACTTTTCGTGTAAATCTACATGAAATAGCCCATTTTTTTCTGTAACATGTTCACAACGCAGTAGTTACTGGTAGCGCAGCCAATTCGTTAAGGGTCTTTCTGTCGGTGACCTTTTTGGCTCTTTTCGCGAGCTTAGTTCCGAGATGCAAGAAAAGCGCCGAATGATGTCGAGGTATAAGACGCAGTATTGGCTACTTTCGTGTCACAATAAGTCAAAAAAATTTATAATTCTAACATACATATATTATGTAATAGGTTATTATGTACATTTTCCCATTTTTTTGTTCCATTTTTTGGTTTATAATACATAATACGTTGATAAAGAGTTAAGGTATGCGTGCTGCTCCAGTAGGTAAAGGTTTACAATCCCTGGCTGTACTGTTAAAAAATTGTCCAGGTTGACATGATCCATGTGCAATGGTGCGTTTGTCTAGACAGATGTACCATTCTGTTGGATAGGTGGCTGTGTTGTCTGGTATTAAATTTAAACCTGGATCGTTCAGTTTGCCCACGTTACAATTCGGTATTCTTCTCTTACATTGTTCGCAGTTAGGAAAGGTTGGACAGTGTTGATGGTATTCACCTGAAATATAGACAAATATATTTATCTACTCGTGCGAAAAGGTAATTCAAACTGGTAGATTTTTTGAATCGATGCTGATTTATGGGGTTAATGTACAGTCTTCGGTGCATGAATTATAGTTCATTATTTGAAAAATATATTTATCTACTCGTGCGAATATGTAATTTAAACAGGTAGATTTTTTTTCTGTATTCGGTACTGAGCTATCAGAAATAATGTGCGGTGTTCGGTGTGTGAGATTTATTCATACAGTTAATTGAAGAAGCGAATACACGAGGCATTGGTCCATGCTGATACGATATGCTTCTTTCTACTGTATCGTACGAACACACAATATGTGTAATGTGAAACGAACAAAATGTTTCATCCATTCTGCCCACAACGAGTTTTCTATTTTTCATTGAAACAATTCAAAATTTACAATATTTTCACACTTTGCAAAAATCAAACGAGTACAGAAACTGCAGGGGTACTCTTTTAGCATGAAGTAATATAACAAAATCCTTGTTTTTTAAGCGACGACAGTAATTTGCCTCATGAATGGTCGGTTTGCCCGCACCCATCGAAACTACGGCCATACAAGAACGCTTTCAACTGTTGCTTTGTATTAGAGCCACTTTTCGCACTGCGTTATACGATACAGTTTCGATAAGCACGTGCAAATTAACCTCCCACGTGACAAAATAATGTCGTCTTAAAAACGGGACGTTACTCTAGTAGGATATTACGTCACTAAAATGGATACCCCCTGTATATTGTTTGACCATGTGTAAAAACATTGACAATATTGTGTTTAAAATTGAAATTGGAAGAGTGAAATGTGAATAAAAGTGTATTTATGATAAAAATGATGTTTGTGTAATAAAGGGTAAGTTAATTTCTTTGAATTTTATGCTGTGGGGCATATATTGGTCAAAAATTCCATCTGTCCGATCACTCTGAATTTTATTGTTTATAATTTGATACATCAACTTTTTTGTCGTTTTCATGTCGGAAAATCGAATCATGCCAATCATTTTAATAATATTTCGAATACACGCTTTAGAGCAACACTGACAATATTAGCATGACTTTCCATTGATAAAAGTATAGTCAAAAAACTCTGACCCTATCCATACATTGAGCTCTGAATTGAATTTTTTTTTTTCCTTCATTTCATACATATGTAAAATAAAACTGTATACCATTTGTCGTAGGATGTCTTTGGGTCCATAGAAATATAAGGTTCTGTGATTTTACAGACATAGATAGACACGCTTTCCTCCCAGAAAATTCATGTGAAAATGTAACACTAATCGGACTGAAAAGTTCATTTTTAAGAGTAATATTTTTTCAGGTATTTAACATTTTCATCAACCCAAGGTCAATCCAAGACTCTCACTAGTATTTTGTAATTGGTATTTCAATTCATGTGAAAATGATTGTCAAAATTCAATTCAGAAAACAGTGTAAATATAAATACTTACATGGCTCGATTGGAGCATAACGTGTACCACAACCACCACTAGCCAAAGTTTCGTGAAAGCGTTCACATTTATTACCAATGGTATTATAGAGATCGGGGTATTTACATTCTGCGTGGAATGGTCGGTCTAGTATAATCTCTTTCATACTGCAGTTAAAATAACGGGCACAATTCTCAGGGTCGGGAAACGTTGATTTTGGGTGTCGAACACAAATACTTGCCACATTAGCTGAAAATTTGAAAAAAAAATCATTGCAAAATAGAGAGTAAAAATATTATAGTAGCGGACTCCTTCAAAGAGAAGTTCCATATGTGTATCTTGGACATATAAAGTCTCGTAACGCCATCATTTCCTATCAGACGACTGTGGTTCCTGTAAATCCAGAAAAACTTGACTGGATTTGTCAAGTTTTTCTGGAATTACATGAAACGTAAATGATATTTCGTAATAACAAGGCAAATAACAGCATAATAAACGACACAGTTTCCAAAATAGTGTAATTCAAATCCTAATATAGGTCTGCACATTTTGGAAAAGTTAAATTCTCCCTTATTCGAAATCAAAATCTACAGGGATATGTGTTAAATGACATACCATTAGATATAGAACCGCCACATCTTCGTTCAGTTGGGTTAAAGATGTTTTTGAGACATTGCATAACAGCTGATGTTCTTCCCGAGTCACAGACAACAAATAAAGGTGATGGTGGTCGACCAGGGTAAGGTTGTTCTTTATTAGGTACTCCCACACAGCTTGGTATTCTCTGTTCACATGGTTGACATGTTGATGCTCCTGGTGGACATCTTCTGTTCTGGGCATATTCACCTGAAATAGTATCATTGTTTGTTCAAAGAAGATGAGATGGTGGCCGTTTTTTTTTCCTCTAGAACTGGGTATCGTCAATCATGCCAAGGTACGATACATATCGCAATACAAGGGACACGATATACGATACATATCCCGATACAAGGGTTACGATACGATACATATCTCGATACAAGGGTCACGATACGATACATATCCCGATACAAGGGTCACAATACGATACATATCTCGATACAAGGGTCACGATACGATACATATCCCGATACAAGGGTCACAATACGATGCATATCTCGATACAAGGGTCACGATACGTTACATATCGTGATATGGAGAAATGAGATAAAAATTAACATTTGATTTTCTATGTATATTAATTCATAACTTTATAACTGTGATATTTAGTAATAAAAATCTCCACTTTAATATGGAATTAAAGGAATCGATACATGACGTCGCGATACGATATGCGTATCGTGGCATGTCGTATTGCGATACATCGATTCACCGATATATCGTACCAGCACTATCTAGAACACTGTACGCGATATTTATTCATTTTTTGTGCTTTTACATATTTTCGACACCCAAATCAACCCCTGAAAATGGCGAAGCAATGTATTGATTTAAAGCTAGTTTCAGTATTGCGGAACTATGCGGTGGATTTTTTTTTCTAATTCCCAAATCTATTTAATGAGTTGAAATGCTTAAACAATCTAGGGTTTCTATGGGGTGGTTTTAGAAATTTGGTATAAATAAATAAATGAGCTTACATGGTGCTACTGGTTTATAGCGTTTTTTACAGTCCACCTTCTTAAAATCATCACAAGCTGTACCATTGAATAATCTTGGGTAACCACATTCAATAACTAGCGTACTGTTAGCTGTACATTTTATAAACTGAGCGCAGTTGAATGGATGTTGAGCGGTACTCTGAGGATTCTGTCGACAATATATTTCAATTGTTTCTGAAAAAAGTACATACTTAATTTACACCATAATAACATTTTTACCTGACTAATTCCTTTTGAAATAAAACAAAACCAACCTTCCATCTTACACGCTCATCGTAATTGACTTGTTGATGTTTTACGAGACAGAGAATTGTTAAGGGAATTCTTAGGCCTTTGCTTCTCAATGCAAAAAGATAAAACATCTAGGTCAAAATCGTCTTTATATTCAAATGTAGCCATAATAAAAAAAATCCACTTACGTCGTTTTAGTTCCTTACTACAAGCTCTCATCAATGGATCGAAAAATGTTTCTGCCGGACATTGAGATATTTTTCTGGTTCTTTCCGTCAGACATTCCATATATTTACCACCTAATGGATCGCCTGGGAACATATGTCTTCCATCTTCTTTACCTTTACAACTTGGATTGCTTTCTTCACATGGTGGACAGTTTTTATTTTGACATTCTACACTGTATTTATCATATTCACCTAGAAAGATAAATACATAGTTTAATATTTAATATATTCACCTAAACAAATAAATAAAGAGATAGTTTATTATTCATCATATTCACCTAAACAAATAAATAAAGAGATAGTTTAATATTTATCATATTCACATAGAAAAATAAATAAAGAGATAGTTTAATATTTATCATATTCACCTAAACAAATAAATAAAGAGATAGTTTAATATTTATCATATTCACCTAAACAAATAAATACATAGTTAATTATTTATCATATTCACCTAGAAAAATAAATACATAGTTTAATAATTAGCATATTCACCTAGAAAAATAAACTAATAATTTAATATTTATTATATTCAACTACACAAATAAATAGATAGTTTAATATTGATCATATTCACCTAGGCAAATAAATAGATAATTTAATATTGATCATATTCACCTAGGCAAATAAATAAATAGATAGTTTAATATTGATCATATTCACCTAGGCAAATAAATAAAGAGATAGTTTAATATTGATCATATTCACCTAGGCAAATAAATAGATAATTTAATATTGATCATATTCACCTAGGCAAATAAATAAATATATAGTTAAATATTGATCATATTCACCTAGGCAAATAAATAAAGAGATAGTTTAATATTTATCATATTCACATAGAAAAATAAATAAAGAGATAGTTTAATATTTATCATATTCAACTAGACAAATAAATAAAGAGATAGTTTAATATTTATCATATTCAACTAGACAAATAAATAGATAGTTTAATATTGATCATATTTACCTAGACAAATAAATAGATAATTTAATATTGATCATATTCACCTAGGCAAATAAATAAATAGATAGTTTAATATTGATCATATTCACCTAGAAAAATAAATACATAATTTAATATTTATCATATTCACCTAGACAAATAAATACATTGTTTAATATTTATGATTATCACCTAAACAAATAAATAAATCGATAGTTAAATATTTTTCATAGTCACCTAGATAAATAAATAAATTATTTAATATTTATCATATTTACCTAGGAACAATATACTTCTAAAATTCACTACATTTGACTAATAAAATAGGAAAGAAGTAGATACTTACAGGGTGCTACAGGTGTATAAACTCCAGGTTCACATTTGACTTCTGTAAATGGTTTACATGTTCTCTTTAATACATCAAATAGAGCTGGATAGGGACATTCCATTACAAATGACCCAAATGCACTATAAGGTTGCATACAGTTGTAGTATTTAGCACAGCTTGAAGGGTGGGGGAATATTTGGTATCTGTTGATTGAACAGTATGCGTTTATATTGAATCCTGGAAAAGAATAGATGGATGAGATAAGAATGGAGATACACGGCAATGTATAATTATAATGGGAGATTTCACCATGAAAAATTTACAAACACCGGAAGTGACGTATGATGTAAATAGTTATAAGCAAATGAAGTCCCCCCGCCCTTTTTTAATTGTTGAGTAAGCAATCCTTGGTTTATGAACTTAATTATGCTAAGAAAAAGCTCAAAAACGGTCGATTTTGTATTTTGGCCCAATCATTACAATGTTGAAATAAATAGTTCATAATACATAGCCATTTATATTCTTAAAAACTTAGCACACACTTCCTCTTCAATAGATGCATTAAAGCTACATTCCCCCGTGTAAACAAAAAGGCATGCTCAATCTTGTAGACCTTTCATTATTTTTTTTTTACGCCAAACAAGTATTTCCGATGTATAAAAATATGTGGTTTTTAGTATACTTATTACTTTTTTTAGAAAATATTTTCGAGGGAATGCAACTTTAATCATATATATATATATATATATATATATATATTTCTTCTACTCACCACATATTTTTTACAAAAAATAACATTGTAACCTCCAAATTATTAGGTCTTTTGTTAGAAAGTTAGATCGCGCTCAGTCGCTTGTTTATGATCGCTATCTAGGTCTACCATGATATTGCATATTGCCAAAGATTTTCAAATGTCCAATGACCATGGATGGAGACTTATTTTGTATTCAAAAGAGAATTATAAATTGCATTCCCTCGAATGAATAACTCTCAATATAGTTGTACAGGAAGGAGTTTTTTTGCACTTTTTAATACTTTTTGGACAGAGCAGGCCATTAAGGTGTTCTGGAAGTGGTGTATTTTTTCGTTCATTGTATTCCACTCATAATATTTTATAATTTTCAATTTAAATGTGTCAAAAGGCGACCAAGCATCCATGTTGGTTTTGAAGAGACGTCACATCCTATTTCTTTAACATACGGTAACAACTGGAGGCTGTACAGTTATAAGTGAGAAAATGATTAAGCATATATGTTGACTTTGAGGTAACGTTACGTTATATTTTTGGGGGATGGGGATGGGTCTTTGTCAGTCATTCAGGTCATAAGCTTAATGACTTCCGTTTGCTTAAAATAATCCAATGGAGAATTGTTCTGTGAATGTTCTGACTTCACAGATGAAACTAGTTTATGTTCAAATGCGTAATTCTTCTTCCTGCATTCATATATTGTTCACCAAATACCAAAAAGAAATTTTTCATGCAGTTAAATTAAAACAAACATCATGTACGTAGCCCAAACCCGCTCATGCAAGATAAGAAAATGTAACAACAGACTCCAAAAGGTGAAACAACCTTTACTCTTTTCTTACCAGAAGGCGCTTGAAAGCTTTTAAAAACTTATTGCAATATTCTTATCCTTGTCGCAGGACTTCACTTGAAGTTGATCTCAAATTGTTTCACTAACGCTCGTGTTTTTTTCCAAACTCTTCTTTCAAGACGATTAAGTCTAAAAAAGTGAACTTCGGTGTGCGAAACGAACCATTCCATTGGCTAATTTATAATTTTGAAGTCACCAAACAACCATCGTACGAAAAGGGTAAACGTTATTTTTTGGGATGGTCATGCATTAACAGGAATACATTATATTTATTAGGTACAATATGATGATACAGAGTTTCATGCAATTATAACATAATTACTTGTTCATGCAATGAGAAATGTGCTTTTAAAAAAATGACGTCTGTCTATTAGCAGATATAAAAAACAGTTAACGAGCCAAAGATCCAAATCGGATGTAAATGGTAGACACAGGATTGGAAAAAGTTTGGTTCGTGGGAGCCTCAAGCGCACACTCGCCCTGTTGTTCCTTAAGAACTTTCATATACAATGGTATTCAAGTTGGCAGTAACGTATCCATTTCACGTGTATATCTCTTGTGTCAAAATGCAATTCAGAACTGTTGTCGCAATGGTTTTTTAATAGACAGGTGCCATGCGTGCTTGTTCACGTTAAATCAGATGAACATAAAACATATAAAGATCATTATGAGAATATAATAAAGTTACCTGGTTCCCCAGGCTTGGCAATATTTATAGTAGTTGGTGGTTGAGTCGGTGCAACTGTCGGTGGTTGGGGTGGTGGTTGAGTTGGTGTGGTCGGTGGTACTGGTTTAAGTACTGGAAACTGGATTGTCAGCGGGTTGGAACCCGTATTGGAACCCGTGATGGAACCAGTTTGAGTATTGGTTGTAGGTGTCTGTGGCTGAGTTATTGGTTGGTAAGGCGGTTGAAACGGTTTATTCACATTCACATTATTACCGCCACCACTGGTTGGTGGGAAGGTTGGTGGTTGATTTGATGGTTTATTTGATGGTTGATTTGGAAACCTCGATGGTTGATTTGGAAACGTTGGTTGTTGATTTGGAAACGATGTTGGTTGATTTGGAAACGATGTTGGTTGATTTGGAAACGGGTAGGGATTTAAGTTAGAGCCATTATTATTAGGTTGTGTGTTTATGTTTGATTCGGGATCCATGCATTTCATTAATTCGGTGTTGAAGGTGGTGCGACATTTCATTAAGATAGCCCTACCAGTCTTACAGATATAGTACTGGTTAGTCGTACCAGGTAAAGCTGCTATGAAACCAGCTGGTTGAAGATGACACGAAGGGTACAGAGACTCACATGGTGGACACTGTGATTGATCACTGCTAGAACAGGTGTAGAATCTTTGATAATCACCTGAAAAAAAAAATTTCCAAGGTTCCAACTTCTTATCGAATCTAATCCTTTTCATTTCGATGGAGACGATCTTTTCAACAGAATCGTGATCCTTCTCTGCTGTTGGACTATTTTTCTTTTCTACTGATATGGAATGATGTTCGAGATTTACTTTTCATGCCGACAACGAGAAAATGCTTGGCAGTTTAAGGGGTATTTGAGCAGGACAAAGGCTTTGGACTAGCAACACAAAGGGTTTCAGCTTTGCCCAATCTCAATGACTAGGGCCCAGACCTGTAACTAGCCCAATGTGCCAAGAGGACGATTAGTTACGGGATTTCCCGTCGACCTACTTCACTCGTTTCAGGCTCTAGAACCAGTGTAAAAAACGATGCGTTTCAGGTTTAGATAACAATTCAATCGTTGGATGTCCGGTCCTGTTCAATGAATCTGGAATTAACGGTATTGAAATATACTTACATGGATTCTTGAAATCAATACGACGGCCACAATCAACTTTCTCAAAAGGTTGGCACTCCATGTATTCATACGAGAAGAGTTTAGGGTAGGGACATTCTACCAGTCTTGATGACATGGGAGCTGTACAGTCGTAATACTGGGCACAATGTAGAGGATTACCAATTCTTCCTGCCGGATACTTGTTACAATAGGCCGTCATCGATTCTGAAATGAAATTGAGTTTTACGTTCTGCTCTTCATTACCTTACGCCATTTCTAGTTGCGACAGAGGTAGCGAAGTAATCTTTTCATGCTCAATTTTGCGGAACGGGGCTCGGACAATTTCAGTTTAATCCGGCACGAAATTCCATCCCAGCTTTATTCAGTCTAGACATTCCAGCCAATCAAGCTGCTGTAAATGGACGCGATGGTGCATTAGACACCATTAACACTAGGTCTGACAAAGGAACGGTTGGTGAAATAGCTCTAATCTTCTATCACGATAAAGCAAACAAAATCTTACCTTTCGATACACTAGTAGCACATCTCCGCTCTAAAATATCAAAAACTTGACCAGGTGGGCAATCATAACGGTACATGAACCTAAAGTCAGCGCAGTAGATATAAGAAGAGGTCAGCTCCCATCTGGGTACAGCGTACAGACCGTTAACACGTCCAGAGCAGTCCGGTAACACTTGGTTACATGGTATACAGCTCATATCTGTACATTGATACTGTTTATATTCACCTGAAATACAAGTTACATGAAGTTTTAATACCATACTGTGTTCAATGAAGGAAATTGTCCAGGATAATGTCATTAGCATGCTCTTTTCGATTCCTGGTGCCAATGGGTCGTAATCTTGCTCAAACTGTAACGCACATATCAATAACTAGATACGTATCATGTTTGTCCCTTTTACTTGCATCCCCTGTCAACCTTTGCTGAAATCTACCTCTGAGTCCCTGGGGAGCAGGATTCTACCTCGCCGAGTTCACCTGGATCTCACCTAGGATGTCATATTTAAATGTAACTGATAGTGGATGCTCTATACCGGTGGTTCCCAACCTTTTTCAGCCTTCACAACCCTGGACCATCTATGTTTCATCTACATTTCCAGCATGTGATGATGTGAGGTACTCTCTCAATTCAAAATGAATTCTTCTCCTACGACAGTTGGCCACACCCCTGACACCTTAGTCCACAACCCTGGGGGGGAGAAAACACCCCAGGTTGGGAACCGAGGCTCTATATTGCTGCTCCTGAATTGGTTCGACATTCAGTTTGCCACAGGGAAATATGACAAGATTTTGGCAGTCTTTTCCATTTCCCATAATGTATCGATATATCTTCAATGCCCATAGCTTGTTTCACACGGTTCGTCCCCCGCAAACTACTGACCACTTCCATATCAGCTCCCATGATAGGGGAAATTCAACAAACGAGTAAATACTTACATGGGGAGATTGGTTCACGCCGCTTTTCACAAGAAACGTTGAAGAAATCTTTACAAGACGAAGAGGCGATATCAAATAAATTCGGGTATTTACATTCAGCTTCGTAGATTTTAAAATTACCACTATAAGCCGTTTGCGAACAGTCGTAATACATAGCACACTCTCCTGGATGAGGTATAATTTGACCCGGCATAGCTTCACAGAATAATCTTAGTGTTTCTACAATTAGTACGAGAAAAATACAATTTACTTCACTTTTGAAACCAATGATGGCTGAGGTTTTGGATAGTATGCAAAAATGGTCTGTTAAAATATTCATGGATGTTGCAAATAGAGCTACATGTATATTGTGTTTTCTAAATTCAGTCAATTTAAGGAAGTCCGGCTTCGTCATTGTGTTTTATTCAATTATGGTATGACATCACTTTTTAGTTTTCTTTTATTTTATCGCAGTTTGTATCCCTTTTTCGTGATAAAAGTACATTTTGAGGCTTCTGCTATTGAAGTATCATTGAAAATGATATACATATCTGAAGCTTTTTAGCGTAATTCATGCGTTGAAGATGGTGACAATATATAAACCATCGACATCAACAAACGACACTTGTTTTCCTGGATCAAACTGGAGTTGTATGCGTATGAGAACCATGACGTATTAAGTTTTTGGGAGACAAGTTGTGTTACGGCATATTTCGCCGATGGTATCAAAATTTAGAAAAAATGTGATATATTACCAGTAGTCAAATCGGACACGCACGTTCCATTTGGTCCGAACAAGGGATCAAATACCAAACCGTCTGGGCATGTTTTAATATTAAGGGTTCTACCACTAGCACATGACAGATAGTAGGAAGTTAAAGCACGACCAGGGTAAACATTATCACCATCATGTAATGTTACACAGTTAGCAGCACAGGGAATACATTGATCATTATTTCTACCATGTCGACAATGTCCTCTTCTATATTCACCTGGAAATATAATTCAGTAAATTTATTACAGCCGGGATATTAACCCAATGGTTACATGATTCCTCTACGCAGACCCGTAGTTAGCCCAGGGTCTCGGGAAATGGGGCAAATATTTTGAAGGTGGGCTCAACTATAGTAACTCAACAAGTCATTTAAGTCATCTAAATTTTCAGTGGGGGGGGGGCAAAATTTTTTAGGGGGGCTGCTACTGGCCTGCCTCTACGTGTTCATTAAAGTTGGGTTCCTCTGTAGCCCCTCGTGTGCCAATTTGTATCTGTGGTTCAAAAATAATCGCAACTTGGAACCTTAGTGCAGCATGTTCGACCGACACTTTGACATTGAAAAAGTTTTTCCGAAAAATAGTTCGCACACTAAGGGACGTAGCCTTTAAAAAATAGATATTAGACTAGTATGTATATGCGAACTGCTACGGCTTTCGTGTGTTTGTTTAGTATTAAATAGCAAATATTTGAGCTAAAATTAAGATTTTAAACTTTTTACTGTAATAACGAAAAAACTTACAAGGTGCTCTTGGAACTGGTCTAGATTGACAATCAGCATCGAGGAAATAAACACATTTCTTGAGTTTTATATCAAATAAATATAAATAAACACATTCAGCTTGGTATTTATATAAATCTCTATCATGTTCATATTTGGAACAATCAAAGAACAAGGAACAACTGGCAGGATCGGCAAACTTCATGGTAGGGTTAACGCGACAAAAATCAATGGCCGATTCTGAAATTAAAAAAAAAAAATGATAATATATAAGAATATAAAGATTTATGCCACTGAAAAACGAAACATAAAACAATTGGACAATTTTAACTAGTTTTAAGTTGCCACTTTTTCACAAGAAACATTGAAGAAATAGTCTACTTTCGGGAACATCGATTGTAACTGAGGTTGTCAATGGGCATTCGGGAACATCGATTGTAACTGAGGTTGTCAATGGGCATTCGGGAACATCGATTGTAACTGAGGTTGTCAATGGGCATTCGGGAACATCGATTGTAACTGAGGTTGTCAATGGGCATTCGGGAACATCGATTGTAACTGAGGTTGTCAATGGGCAACGTCATGCAGTGTGCAATGAGATTTTGCCAAGACAGCGGCATAAGAAAGAATAGTTTATACAAACGAGCTATTTTGCATTAATCCATAAAGGCACTCATGATAACCGTTAGTAGCGTACTCGTTAAATGAAACTTGGTTAATCTAAATCACACACATCTATAGAAGGAGGTGGTCTTCGATCCCACAAACTATTTAAAAATAGAGAACTTTTACGCTTCAAGGATATCACCTTCAGCAAAGTGCTTTTAGTAAATGATTTTTGTATATGCCTAAATGTGAAGCGTCACCGATGTCCGTCGACATGCCAGTCCTTCTTCCCACAATTTGTCGTTAACATGCATGAAGACAGGTTTTTGACAGATTATAAGGAAATTAGTGAAATTATTTATTATCACCCGATAATGAACTAGACTTTTTGTTGGTTGAATTTTTGCTCAAATGTCTGAATATAAACCAAGCAGTCAGTATGCGTATGTTACTTTGTCTGGCAAGCTATCCCGTTAAGCGTATTTCCTGCTTTATGTTATTATTAGAAGAGTAAATGTATATTATAATATATTCACTTATTCTTTACAATACATCAACCTCAACGCCTACTTGTATTTAGACAAGAACGTCACTGAATATATTCCTTTCACTTCAAATTTGTCATAGTTTCACCTGGTTAACGACTTGACTGATTCACTCGACTACTGTTTGAATATAGTCTCGAATAACGTCTTTTCAATAGAATCTAATGTTATATCATACACATCAGTTGGATTGCGGTGGAAGTTTACGTCGCGATTGTTGTCGATTTCTACTTCAAACTGCTAAGGTAAGTGTATATTTTTGACATCACTAGAATTAATTTATTATCCTTAAAACCAGTTTACATGAACGTAAGACGTAACCTTGCGTTCATGTGATAACCATAAAATGGCGGGCGTTATATAGGTAACAATATTGATCAATGTCTTAGAGTATTGTGAACTCTCCAAAAGTAGTACTAAAATAAAAACACAAGTTGGTGGCAAAAAGTAGCAAGTGGTCGAACATGGCCATGTCTCGATATCTTAACTACATCGTTCTTATTGTAATATTTTTTTTCAAATTATAGGCTATAATCCATGCTATCATGTTGAATTGGAATGGAGTTTTACGTTCTTCTTTTCTGTCCTGAATTGGGCCAATAAAGCCTGGCACCATCATGCAATACCATGTGGGAACTTCTCTTAAAGCGACATAGGGGGTGGGGGAGATTCTTGCCCACTAAGTAATCGGTTGTTATTAAACACACCATTTCATATTGTCAGAAGTAAATACATAATTTTGAAGTAAGAATTTGTTAGGTTTTGTTCAATGTGTCCATTTCGACGATGGACTGGTCGTGTTTTTTGTTATGTAGATTTGTAAGTTGCAGGTGTTAATGTGTCATATTTTTGACAACATTATCACAGTATTAAAGATGGGTTTACATATTTTTTAGTATCATATTAGGCCAACTATTTGAATAATTGTTGTTTCTAGTGAATTATCATATAATCTTAATCATATCATTATGTTCTTATTGCATATAATTAAGAGTTTTAAGCAATTATAAATGTCCATGTATGTACAGTCTGGATAAATTAAAAGACTTTTTGACCTTTCTTGATCGGTCACTCATTGGAATTCTGCTAGTAATTCTCTTCTAATATGGCTCATTATGAATTAATTATGGATATGTGAAACAAACTGGTATTTTTCCAAGTCATTAGAACACCTCTCCTTTCTAATCACATAAGTATTAGCATTTTCATTTTCATATATGAAAATAAGGGAACCCATCTTTAAGTTTCTATATCAAGTCTGTAGGAGTCTGTTTTGGCCCCATGTACCACTGAAGGTGTTTCGATCTTCAACCAGTCGGAAATAAATGTTTTATGTTCTACCTTTCTATGCCTTTTTTGACTAACGAAGACCGGCAAAACCATGATTGTCATTTTACTATGCGACAAGGAAACGTTTGACATGACAGACTGATTACTTCATATATTGTTACGCATTTTTGTATAACACGGGGCAAGTTCAATCCTAACCGGTACTAGGCTATCTGTGACAATTAATTAGTTTCTTGTCTTGTTCAAACCTTTAGAATTTTTGCCAATCCCTACACTAACGAAATATCAAAAATAAATCTAAATACATGACAATGTCATTAGGATCTTAATAAACCATGTTGATTAATGTTCAAGACTTGTGACCTTCGTCGGTGCTTTTTAAGAGAACAGGCTTCTTTAAGAATACTTAATGCATTGATATATGTTTTATTAGTTGTGAAAGTGCACTCTATATATAGGTTTGCCACTTCAGGATTATGATTTGCCACTTAAAGATTATGATTTGCCACTTAAAGAGTATGATTTGTTGCCAATTAACCAATATTTATTTGCACTAAAAAGGACATTTTGAAAACATTTTGCATAAACAGGGCTGCATAAACCACACAGAAACTCAACTGTATAATATACTGTAGTGGAGCGATGGAGAGTGGGATAGAGGGTGGCAGCGGGAATGGTGACTTAAGCTTTTCTCCCAGTGATCAGCATTTGAGAGGTTTTTGTTATTAGGCCTACTAACAGTATAATGGAGCGAGAGAGAAGAGAGTTGGATAGGGAGTGGCAGCAGGACTTAAGCTTCCCTCCCAATGTTCAACATTTGATAGGTTTTTGTTTTTAGGCCTACTATTGTGAAGTCCATATTTATAGTGTTCTTACTTAATTCGGTGGAGGGAGTTATCTATGTTTGAAGAACTTCAATATTTTTTTGAATAAAAACATTTCGATTTTCAAAATTTGAATCTTTATATACAATTCTTCATTACTTTTATTATGTAAATGCTTCAAAATATACGCTATAAATTGACGATCACTGACTCTTAAAGTGATGCAAATTATCAAGAATTTAAACAGGTTACATTTTACTATCGAAAAATGTTCATATTTTTAGAATTCTAGAAGATCCATAATTTGAAGAAATATTCTTTAAAAATATTCATATAATGCCATACTTTTCTACAAGCGATATTGATGATATTTTAGATTTCATGTTTCTTTTATGCTCATTAGCCCAAATTCACCACACGGGACATCGCCTAGCGATCAATTATAAACATTACGTCTTCATAGCTATCAAGTCAATTTAGAGATGCTCATTCTTCCAGTACATCTGATAGCAATCTATGGCTAGATCTTTCAACATGTGGTTTATTTTTGTGGAGATTCAATATTTGAAATATATATTTGATATTCTTCAAGGTGTTTACGTTGGCTTGTGAACCCGGACCCTTTTTCAAATGACGTGTTCTTTCCGCTACAATGATCATCTTGAATAAATGTTGTTAATGAATAGGTGACGTCACGTCAGATACGGAAGAATTTTCATTTTGGGGTCCTGTGCAGTGTTTAAAGAGATTTAACAAGGATTTTTATCGCCATCGCGATGATTTATAGCTTAATTTTACCCGACAGCATATCTATGGTTTCAGTAATTATTTTTAAAATTGGTGAGATAATGACGTCATTATCGCAAATAGTAATGGAGGCAAATGGTTTCAGAGCTAGTGACGTAATCTAATCAATTTTAACAAATCTAATCTAATAATTACTGGAAGTGAATTCTACTGGATCACAGACGTAGAACAAGAAATATGAATGGTGCAAGTAGAAAATATAATATGTCTCAGGTGGAACGGCAAAAGGCTAAATACACCATTTCAATCCCTTTAAAATTGCATAAAAGGCCCATAATGGAGAACGAAATCGTGAGTGTATAGAATTACATATTATAAAGGTTTATGGTGCATTTACGTAATCTACAGTATAAAATTTAATAGGGGATTTTATTTAACTTTGTGAGCAATTTTTGTTATAGCTTATAAGAAAAAGGCCCGGACATATAATACACCCGAATACCCAAATTTCGCCAACGCCTTTTAGAATTGCAAAATACTTATTATGTATAAATTAATATTGCCTTTTGTCAAAATGCAGTGGCTTGAAAATTCTTTGTTATTGTATTAGGGATTCACGAGTTATAAGAACAGATTTAAGGATATCGTCTGAGCTTCTTCATGTAAAATTGTAAGTAAAATGAAGAAAATCAAAATAATTCGCATTGTTTTCGGTGATAATACTGGTTTATTGAACATGAGTTTATGTATACATGGATTTCGATTTCAAAAGGACACAGAAAAGGGATGTTCCGAATCTTCATTGGTATCTATAGCTAACAAAATCCCTGTCTGGTACAATGCAAATATTATATAAAAAAAACAGCCCATAGAGATTATAAAGAGGTTTTTATAAAAATTTGCACCTGACGTCCATGGTTCCTGCTGCAATTCCACTACGTCACTTATCGCGAAGCATATGAGATAAAGCATATTTTTCGATTAGTTACGTCACCCTTTGTTTAAGTGGAATTACAGGAACCACGCACGTATGATTGAAAATTGGAATTCTAGGAATAAAAGGGTACGAAAAGCCCAATATTATAGGAATCAAAGCTTAGTGAAAAGATACAATGGGTGAACTTAGTCTACATAACATGTAATTACAATTTAACACTAAAATAAATATTAACTTAGACATTGGTATTGTTGATTTGAACTGGTTATAAACTTTTTTATTAAAGGTACTCCAGGTTGATTTACTTTGACTATACAACATATCTAATCCTACACCCCCACCTCCCCTTCTTTTAAATTTCAAACTTGGCCATAATTGCTCATCAGTGAACTTACCTAGTGTCAAATTTATACGACAATATATCTATAAAACTAAGTAATAATCCATTAGACTAAGTAATTTTGAAACTTGCTTAGAAGCGTGTTTCAATAATTATTTAGTTTTATGGATATATCGTCTTATATAGAGATTCTATTCTTTAGTCATGACACCTGGTAAGTTTAACTAATGAATATATACACTTGTTGACCAAGTTTGAGACTTTAAATTTTGTGTCCATTCTAAGTGGTAGTATCCCCTATTATATAAAACAAAACTTCGTAGGATTTTTGACGGAATAATCTATGACATCAACAAGAAGAATTGTTACGTACCCGTATAAAAACAAATTAATAACACAAATGGACAAATTTGATAAAGAGATACGCTCGTAACTCAAAGTTGTAGAAGAAACATATTATAATAAATAATGATATATGAAATAACCTGGCATATCGAGTTGACAAACGTAGTCTTGTACTGATATTAGGTGTTCAAAGAAGTGATAATCCTTCAGGTAATCAACCTGTTACTTTTGACGGCGATGCAAGTTGAGGGAGAAGGGCTGAAAAAAAAGTACCTTGTCGATGGGACAAAAGTTAATTAATTTAAAGCTGTTCGAACTTAGACACCAATGCCAAGTTTTTTCTTTTGATTACCTATTACCTTCGACCCTTCCACCTATAATCCTTAGAATTTCTTGATTTTTACTTAGGTTTTCCCTGCAATCTTTTTATGTCGGAGAATAAAGACTGACAGAATAGAACGACTTAAATCATAATTGTCCAAAACTTTTATGCTAGACTAGAAAGTGTCTCATTACACCCCAAAAATTTCAAAATTACCTTATTGAGGTAAGTACTCTGAGTTTGAAAATCACTGGCTTAAAGCAAATAACAAAACGTTTATCAAAGATTCCAAGCAGTGTTGGGTATACCAGTAAAGTCCGGTATGAACTTCGATATGGAATACTCCACCAGGTGTTTTAATCTTGACCTATCAACTCAGGAATGTGTTATTGATTTACCAAAAATTGAAGGCTGCATAGGTCGAGTTTTTCGGCAGTGATTTTGTATTAAGTGGGTTTTGTTTATCATTTCAGGATAGTGGATAGCGAGGTACACAAAGTCGTCATACATGGTATCTGTTGTCAATCCAAGATAACACTCATTATATTTTCAACTGTCAAATCATCCAATTGATCCTGGTCCAACTACCAACTATTACGACTGCCTAGTCTGTGACAGCGATATCAGCTTCTGCTGGAAGCAAACGTTTAACTTACCATCTATCAACCAACCAGACACCGAGCTGTTAAGAATGAACCTTAGTGAACCACATCGGCCATCACCGTCTTCAGAAGAACTATACCCAAAGTGAACTTGACAACTGATGCGGGACCAAGATCAAATTGCCAAACAAATGGTACCAACTGTCAACTGATGTTGATTTGAATCACCAGTTCCTGAAATTCAGGCCGTCTTCATTAACCCACATGGTGCAGAAAAGTAGGACGTAAAACTCCATTCATTTTTTTCCTGAAATTCAGTTCTGAATTTGACAATTAAGATGCAAAGTACTCAACAAGAATGAATGACTCTTTGAACGACACTACAGGTGAGGGAGAAAGATTCGTCAACATCGCTGCAGTGTGCTATATTGGAATCATCTTGACTATTGGTTTGATTGGAAACTCCCTGGTTCTCTATATCTATGCTTATAGATTCAAAGCGTCAGCGTTCAATATTTTCATCATATTCTTAGCAATAATGGATTTCATGCTCTGTGCCCTGAACCTGCCACTAGAGATCGCCAATATGTCTCATCATATAGAGTTTGGTGGTTGTAAGTTTGTGGTTACAGTGGCAACAGTGACTGCAGTATCAACAGGACAATGTTTAGTCGCAATAGCAGCTCTCAGATTCAATGCAGTCTGCAGACCCTTAAAACAAACCATTAGTAACAAAACGGCTCGTTGTTTGACTGTAATGTTCTTTTTGATAGCATGTGCGGTGTCGTGGCCATCGCCTGTTATTATTACCAACGTCCACAAAAGTCTTGGTGATGATTTTTATGTGACCAATTGTGCCAGTAGTCCGGAATACGAGCATACTGTCTATCCTTTTTTATATAGTTTGTTTCAATTCCTACTCTTCATTGGTACGTTCTTGTCCATCTCTGTACTATATTGTATAACTGGCTCGCGACTGTGGAAACGAAAGAAATATGGAATATCATGTCGTTCATCTTCAAGGGAACTCACCAGCTCTACTAGCAGTGAAAAGTATTTTGAGCAATCCAATTTGGTGGGATGTATATCAAACGATACCGTATTCAGCATCTGTCAAGATGAGACGAAATCTCTGGATAGAACACTCAAATCGAATGAAATTCAATCAAATGTCATCAATCAAAATTTGACCCAGGTCAAATTGAATACTGAGTCGCAGAATTTGTATGATCTAAATCAGCTTAGTGCATGTAATGTTCTCGAGCAATCAAAATTCCTCAGATCTAGTACAGTTACGTATCTATCAAGCAGTATTGAATCGAATACGATTCAAACATCAAATGCGATTCCAACTCATCAATCAAGAGATGACGAATCAAATACGATTCAAACTAATCAATCAAGCCATGACGAATCAACTACGATTCCAACTAATCAATCAACCTATGACGAATCAAATACGATTCAAACTAATCAATCAAGACATGACGAATCAAATACGATTCCAACTAATCAATCAACCTATGACGAATCAAATACGATTCAAACTGATCAATCAAGCCATGACGAATCAAATACGATTCAAACTAATCAATCAAGCTATGACGAGTCAAATGCGATTCCAACGAATAAATCTTGCGACATAGAATCAAAAACGATTCCAGCTAATCAATCAAGCACTAAAGAATCAATTACGATGTCTAAAATTCAATCAAGATTGCTCAGATCAAATTCTCTTCCATCTCATCAATCAAGAAGCATAATATCGGATTCGTTTTCAAAAAAGAGGTATGCATCATTTCGAAATACGTCATCAAATTTCCTAAATCAATCAAATGATGTGATTCACAACGAACAAACTCGAAAATTCGAAAATCCTATTTATCATGAACGTTTGGTTACGAATGTAGAAGACCAAAACGAAATAGAATCGCCTTCCAATGTCGAAGTGCAGGACTCTGAAAACCTTAATCAATCAAATTCCGTGATTGAGTGGGGACACAACCAACAAACCAAAATCGAAAGCGAAGATCATATTGATCATGAACGTTCATTTACCAATGCAGATGACCAAGTCAAAAGTTCGTCGCCTATCAGTGTCGGAGTGCAGAGCTCTGAAAATCTAAATCAATCAAGTTTGGAAGAATTCAATCAAGATCAAAACTTCGATCGACCGCCTGATTCAAGTATTACCTTTTATGACAGTGAAAAAACTTTGAAGGAATCAACCACCATAGACCACCGACAGAAAAAGGCGAAAAAAAGGAACAGCATAATAACGGGATCTAATAAACTTGACCCGGTTAAAATGTTAGTTATTATGGCTTTGATATTTTTTCTGAGTTATGTGCCTCACTTAACGTTGATGATTTATATTGAAGTAGGCTATCCGATCAAGTTAGCGCCTGTTTCAGAGAGTATCATTGGTATCTTAATTCGCTCTTATTTTCTGGGCAGTGTTTGTAATCCTATTCTGTATGGATGTTATAATAGGAAATTTCGCGATGAAGTTAAAAGTATTTGGAAAAATTTAAAAAGAAGCATTAAGAGATAATAAAATTGGATTTTTGTAGCTTGGTTTTTTATATTATTATTATGACCGCCAATGAGGAACGAGGTCAGAATGTCGTAAAAATATGACTGGACTATTTTCACTTATTTGAGGTCCGATATTGTTGTTTTCTTGCAATTCCAATATCACTAAGCGTTTTATGATGTCACTTTCGTAAAGGCCTTTAGATATGATTGGCAGCTTTTGAGATAGTGATAAAACGCTTAGTTTTAGTGGAATTGTTAGACCCACAAACGTCTGACTGAAAATTTGAATGATGCATACGTACAAAGTTTAGGTCATTTATGTCGTAAAATCCTTACCTGGAAGAACACCTCTTGTACATCTTCGTAATGATGGATCGAAAATTTCTGACGCTTCTGTACATCTTCTGACAGCTATGAATTCCTCGCTGATACACTCAAAATATTCAGCAGTAAATGGAGCTTCTTCCAAGGGATAATAACCGTTCGGTAGTCCACGACAGCTAGGTAGTTTACATAGCTTCCTATAACCACCTGATAAAAAAACAACACCAGCATTATAACAAATACATAACAATAACAACATTTACTGCAACAACAGATTGAAGATAATGATAATATTTACTGCATTGAAAGAAGATAACAATAACAAATTTCACTGCAATAACAGAAGATCATGATGATATTCACTGCATTGAAAGAAGATAACAAGAACAAATTTCACTGCAATAACAGAAGATCATGATAATATTTACTGCATTGAAAGAAGATAACAATAACAAATTTCACTGCAATAACAGAAGATGATAATTATTACTGCATTGAAGGAAGGTAACAATAACAAATTTCACTGCAATAACAGAAGATGACAATAACAACAGTCACTGCAATAACAGATGGCAATAACAACAGTCACTGCAATAACAGAAGATGACAATAACAACATTCACTGCAATAACAGATGACAATAACAACAGTCACTGCAATAACAGATGACAATAACAACAGTCACTGCAATAACAGATGGCAATAACAACAGTCACTGCAATAACAGATGACAATAACAACAGTCACTGCAATGACAGAAGACTTGGTTGATTTCATAATGCCCATCAAAAGACAAGACAATTATTGTAAATTTTTGGTCGCAGTAAACATTAAGAAAAAAGTTTAAAAAGCGGCAATAATGCAAGGTAGATAAATCGTAACAGAACACTTCTATAACATTTTGTGAAAAACTACATTAGGTCGTGATCAATTTAATTAAAGCCAGTCTGCAATATATTTTTGATGTATTTTGTTGCAAGTTAATGTCCTTGGAATTCGAAATTTTCTCAATATTTCAGTCAACTATATGTCTTCAAAATCTGAATTTTAAGCAACGAATTGTAGAAATTCGAACTGCTCCGTTGCAATTTCATCGTTTATAAGGTAAATATTGACGAACGTTTTGTTCAATATAATTGTTTCATTTCAATTCAAATTGTTTCCTTTTTCTTTAGAATATATCGCAAAAAATGCAACATATTAAATGTGTTATATACGTTCAAGCACGTCATTTGTGAAAATACCTAAAAATGATATATTCATTATTATTGTTATAAAATAATGAATTGATAATTAAAATGAAAAATTATTATGAATATTATTATGTGTTGTGTTGACTAAACCACATGATTTATGTGATGGTCTGTTTTCGGCATTCATTACACAGTTAAAACCTAGGTGAAAACTGATTACGCCCAAAATTAGAAACATAGCATAGTTTTCTTCATATCAAGATATGCAACATCTCGGATTCAGTCAGTTCGCTCAGGCCTACAATGCTTATGTGTCGTAAGTTCAGATATACAAAATTATGTCGTCACTTCCGGTTTAGTGTTTATCCGTAGGATCACACGCCAGTTGCAATTTCAACAACGGTAGATGGGCCTGGCAAAATCATTTACTTTTGTTAAAATGGTGATCGTGGGTTTTAATCTTCATCGGCGTGTGAAACTTGGTGACCTGTATCGAAAATGGGTACGGATAATCCGGGAAAAGATCAATACCAAGAGTTTGTTGTTTCTGTTTCTTTCCTAGAAATATCTCAATGAAAAATTGATTTAAATGACTTACATGTTCCTTGAGGTAGAGGTCGATCACCACAATCTACTAAACGTTTATCTATACATTTCCCATCTTTTTCATCAAACAACATTCCTAGATCACACTCGTTTTCATATACACGTAGATTAGAATTGGGTTTAGTGGTGTTACATTGATAATACATGGCACAGCTGTCGGGATGTTTAAAGGCAAGGTTTGGTGTACTTCCACTCTGACAGAACGATACTGACGCCGCTGAAAAATTAAAGACAAGATTAACAATTGGTAACATTTACAATTTGTATTTAACAACTGGCATTAGTTAACAATTCATGAAAGTTAACAAGTGGTAAAGTTTGACAAGTCGTGTTTGTCTAATTCCATTGCAAGTAGTGCGTTTTACTCAATATCATTTGTAAGTAAGTTGTCAAATTATCTCACCTTTGCCATCTGGACAATAGGAAGACGTTACACAGTTTCTACCTCGGGAACTGAATACCAACTGAGGTGGACAATTCTCCCAGATAGCTTCATATCTCCCTAGTGGTGTTGGATCACAGTTAATAAATCCAGAACAATCCCAGAACACAGGCATAAATCTTTCTGGTGCAAATCCAATATTACAGAGTGGATCATAAGCCGGTACACGACCGTTAGGTAGAGTTACAGTTTGTGGTATTGAAAGGTATATGAATAACAGTACACATACTGTCCATTCTATCATTCTGAAATATAATAAAAAAAAATCATCAGTTAATTCCCACATTTGAAATGCTGCATGTCATATTTCTACTCGATCAATTTATATGATGCACGTCAGTTTTTCATGAAATATAAAACGATTCAATTTTTTGGCGAAAAAAATGAATTCTGAATTGAATTTAAAAAAAATATGTTAAATATAAAAGCAAAATGCATGACATTTTTTATGATGATTTGAGAATCAAATGAATTAAATATAAAATGATGCCTGTCGATATGCGAACTATATCCGCTATAACAGCATCAGAAAAATATTACAGTATAAAAAAAATATGCATTTTCATAAATTTGATTTGAAATTTATTACTAATTTTGTGAGCCTCAAATATAAACAGCAGTTAACGACATTAGTTTGATTGAGATGTCTTCTGCATTAAAAACAAATTAACTAGGTCAGATTTACATTGTCTTAATATATTTTTGACTCGATTTAAAGGGATTGTTGCGCCATTTGGGAAGGGGAGGAGGTGTCTGTCTTGAATATATGTAAATAGTCTTCAGAATTACTTGAAATGTATAAACATTGCACAAATCCTTCAAATATATCTCAGACTAGGAAAAAAAATGGCTAGGAGGTTTGAACCTTGGACCAGCTTAGTCTACTTAGATCTAAGTGGTTGGAGCTTTCTGGGCTATTTTTTATCGATGGCCATTTTTATTCATCATTATTCGACATATTGACATTTTGACGTCATGTGATATTTAAATGAGTTTATTTATAGAATTAAAGAAGGACTGTCTTCAACCATGTCGCCAAAGTTAGTACAGCTAGTCAATCAAACTTTTTCTGTTGATCTGGAATATTAAGAAGCTCCCTAGTTTGAACTAGTTTGGCTTTATTTTCATCGTAATTGAAAAGTAAATCGACAGGGTTTACAAATTTAGTCATAATATGCATCACGAAGACATGTTGGTTTTACAATTTCCTGGGCTAGAAAAAGTAATGTGGTTCCTTTTGTTGAAATATACCAATTTAATCACATATTTTTCTCCCTTAGAATTTCCAAACTTTTTTTGTTCATTGATAATGTTTTTTACATTTTTTTAATTTTATTGAAATTTCTAGATTATTTTCCTTTAAAATTGAGAAAATCGTGTTCAACTTTCTGTGTGTTTATTGCTTCTATTTAAACCTCGAGCCCATTTATCATTTTTCTTGTCACCTTTGTACAATTTGTCTATTAGCCGTCACGGGCTGAAGTGATAAATGTCACTTATGGCAGGTTAAAAAAAGGTTTTCGGTTTTCTTGATGTAATTCTGCTATATATACATCATACAAATATTTACAGCGCTCTGTAATGAATGCATTAAGCACAATTGAAAAACGAAGCATCGCCCTTGAAATATTTTTAAAATCTAAAGCAACTTCCTCATCGTTTGAGAAATCCATTACTGTACTAAATTATTGCTACCGTTTTAGCCATGCTTTGGATAAGATATTTACTTTGGTTACTAGAATTGTTTTGCTGGTACGGACTTAATCCTCGGCTATGTGGAAGTGGCGTTTCTAGAAAATATCAGGTGAGGGGGCCGTGCAGGGGCCACAAAATTTTCTAGGGGGGCACAGGTCATTGTTTCACTATGTAAGATGATAAAAAAAAATTGTAGAAGGGGTAAGAGGCCAAACCCGGGACAGTCTCTTTTCTGGGGGTGGGGGAGAGTGGGGATGGGGGTAGAAACACCACTGCCATGTGGCCCGTCAAAGATTCTCATGCTGAAGAGCTGAAGTTTAATTGTAATATATAAATAGTCTTCAGAAGTACTAGAAATGTATAAAAATCACACAATTCCTTTAAAAATATCTCAAGCTAGAAATTTCACTTCCTATTTCTAAAGATGTCTTATTTATATATATTGCAGTGTTTCAAAAAAAAAGATGACTCGTCTATTTAACTTTCAAACGTGGATACTGGATACACGTGGTTTTGAAAGCTCAAATTTCGTCAGTGAGCTATGAACACTATTACTGATTAGCTTAGCTAAAAAAAATCGTGTTTTTGAGACATGAGGTATGATTGAACAAAAACATGTGGCATCTGCCCCTTTAATGTTACCAATGTGATCATGTTATGATATTTTCAACAGTAATACATAAGCTCAGAATTTGTGATTCTGTCATTAAAGTATTATGTCGACGTTGCGTTACGTGAATAACGGCCATTACGCCGTCTAGACATTTAGGGGTCAACTCAAACTAACAAGAATAGCCGGAAGGGGTACACTAGTGACACTGTCTCCTCCGCGGTTAAAGCAATAATAGACTGATTTATATACATCAAATCAAATACAATAAATCAATATACAAAACACTAAAGCCTTTGTATTGTCTGACCGTAAATCAATCAACACTGATTTGCTTGTCTTGATTTCTTTTTTCTTCATTCATTGCCTGACGTAAGTGTTTTAGCTTTGATTATGCATCGATGTCGGATTAAAAATATATGATACATAATGCATATCCACCTAATACATTATTGTAACACCTAATACATCATTGTAAAACAACAATCTTGCAATCTTTTTGCTTGATATTCAATTAGCTTTGGACACTCGGTTGTGCACCCAGATCTGGAACACCTACGATTGGTATAAACCATTATAATCTGAATATCTAGATCATCACGTAAAATAATGATCTGAATATCTAGATCATGATCTATGATTATAATCTGAATATCTAGATCATCATGTGAGATAATGATCTGAATATCTAGTTCATGATCTAACATAATGATTTGAATATCTAGAATATAGATCATCGTCAAAAATTATAATCTGAGGATCTAGGTCAAAATGTAAGGTTAAAAACCTGAATATGATCTTAGAATATATAATCTGAAGGCTTAGATCATGGTCTTTAAGATCATGATACAAGATTAAAACCTAGACCATGATTTAAAATTGAAAACCTAGATCATGATCTTATATTATAATCTGAACAACTAGACCATAATCTTATACTATAATCTGAACAACTAGACCATGATCTTATATTATAATCCGAACAACTAGACCATGATCTTATATTATAATCCGAACAACTAGACCATGATCTTATATTATAATCTGAACAACTAGACCATGATCTTATATTATAATCTGAACAACTAAATCATGATCTTATATTATAATCTGAACAACTAAATCATGATCTTATATTATAATCTGAACAACTAGACCATGATCTTATATTATAATCTGAACAACTAAATCATGATCTTATATTATAATCTGAACAACTAGACCATGATCCTATATTATAATCTGAACAACTAGACCATGATCTTAGATTATAATCTGAACAACTAGACCATGATCCTATATTATAATCTGAACAACTAGACCATGATCTTATATTATAATCTGAACAACTAGACCATGATCTTATATTATAATCTGAACAACCAAATCATGATCTTATATTATAATCTGAACAACTAGACCATGATCTTATATTATAATCTGAACAACTAGACCATGATCTTATATTATAATCTGAACAACTAAATCATGATCTTAGATTATAATCTGAACAACTAGACCATGATCCTATATTATAATCTGAACAACTAAATCATGATCTTATATTATAATCTGAACAACTAAATCATGATCTTATATTATAATCTGAACAACTAGACCATGATCTTATATTATAATCTGAACAACTAGACCATGATCTTTTATTATAATCTGAACATCGTGATCATGCCTACTATTTCTGGAATATAAACATAGTAGCAGAAATTAGCAGAAAGTCAAGAGGCTCTTCCACATAGAATAAATATATTGAAACATGTCTTACCTGTTAACCAGCATTAATGTTGGCAGAAAATTACCAAAATTAACGTCGGCAGAGATTAACACTGCCCAAAACGTTTCGAAAATACTCCGTTTCAACAGTAGCTATTGTATAGTGATAATCCAAGAGGCGAGTTGGAGAGGATGTATTCAGGTTGATGGTCTGTCAGTAATATGTCAACGTGTATAAAAGATGAAGCAAAAGACACGACTGTCATGTCAAAACCTTCATGACGTATTGCGTTCTATTTAAATATGTGTGCGCAAATAGCCTAAAACAAAACTAGACCATTTTTCATATCAGTTGTTCTCGGTTTAAGTGGATTTGGCCGAATCTTTTGTTAATATGCCAGAGAAGACCTTTCGCCTTTAGGTCAAATCGTAAGGTTACAAATTTGGAATATTTTTAGTCTTACGGAGATCAATTTGTTTTGCTTACTGGTTCATCCTTAATATCACTAACATCTTTTGAAAATGAAAATCCGACGACAAGTGTGTGTACAATTGAAAAAGAGATTGATTACTATTGCATGTTTTTAATTTGAAATTTAGTAAGTTGATGTTTTATACAATATATGTTTCCAGACAATGAGACTTTACCGGTAACGATCTGACCTCAGTATAGCCATGTTAAACATATGCCCTCAGGGGCATAATAGTGTACTGTTTCCTTGCGTTCAAGACAAACAACATGTGTATTGTACACATATTGTCTTTAGGGGTAAAGTTGCTAAGGGTAATAGTCTGGAAGGGGGAGATGAACGGATGTGGGGGGAGGGGAGGGGGGGGGCCCCACAGAACCAACTTTTTCATTTTTGGCATTTACAATATTTGTAACGTGGACTGTACATTTTGGGAGACTTCAACCTTAACTTTGAATATAGACTGTACAATTGTACATTTTGGAAGACTGGGGAGAATGAGATAGTAGTAATCACTGAAAAAAGACGTAATCATAAAAAATATATATTTATTTCTTTAAAACAAGAAGGTATAAAAATATAGATTACATGAACAATTGGCTTTATAAGCACTAACGATTATAATCATCAGAGAACTTAAACCAGAAATATCTTAGAGACAGGTTTGTCATTCGTTTTGACCAATCATACCTTAGTCTCAGAAATGGAAATTTTTTAGCTAAGCTATTCACTAATAGTGTTAATGGTTCACCATTGAAATTTGAGCCTTTAAATCAATGTGTGTCCAGGATAATCAACCTTTGAAATTTAAAAAGGCGTCTCGTCTTTTCTTGAGACACTGCCATATATAGAAAAGTCATATATAGAAATAGATAATGAAATTTCTAGTTATTTTAAAGGGATTATGTGATTTTCGTACATTTCTAGTATTCTGAAGACTATCTACATATATTCAAGACTTAAATCAACTATCAAAATGGCGCACCTGTCCCTTCAACTCAAGAATTTTGAAGAATTGGTCTGTAAAGTTGGATGTACTAAATACCTATCAGATATGAATAGGAGTTTTACATCCTACTTTTCAGTATCACCATGCAGTGTGTAATGAGGAAAAATTTTCAAATTTCACTTTATTGAAATTGTCAACAGGAACACAATTATATGGATAACATTTACTTTAATAAATAACTTGCGACGTTTCAACGATGATTCTTTCCTCTTTATCAAGCAAGTTATTTATTAAAGTAATTGTTATCCATATAATTGTGTTCGTGTTAATATCATCAATTACTAAATGCCACTCAAGGAAGCTATTGAAATTGTCATAAATCTCTGCACACTTTTCCTCCAACCTGCATTAGAATTATTCAAGGTTTTAAAATAATATGGAAAATAAGCAAAGAAAAAAGTTTTTTTAATTTTTCTATTATTTTTATGAGAAGAAAGGCAGCCTTAAAATAGTACTGTTAATCTTAGAATGTCTCAGCATTGATAAAAATATAAAAATAATCACACATAATGTTTCAAAATTTGTTTTTACAGAGGAGAATTTTCAGTCAAAATTTGTGACTTTTTGGAGTATGAAGTGTGTTTCTTTTCACAGTTTCTAGGAGAAAAGTGTGTTTCTTTTCAATGTAAGTGTACAAAAAAATTATTTTAACTAGTATTTTGAGGCTTATATTCCAAATATTCTAAGAATAATGGAAAAAGTTAAAAAAAAACTTTTGACTTTGCTCAGATAATAGTAAAGTTATGATATTTCTAGAAACAGTTCTCTGAATTCTAAGAGATATAATAACATAGGCCTTATAGTAGTTAAATAATATTTTCTGTCAATAACTATGATAAAATAGAGATAACAAAAGCATTCAACTGCTTTACCTATTTGTCAAATACCAAACAATATTTAAGTGAACTATCTGAATGAGGTGCCACATTGACAAACCAGTTGCATAGACAATTTAGCAAATATACTCAAAACTTCCTGGGTAAAGAAACCAATATTTTTTTCTGTATATTATATGATAATTTTAGTCGAGAATACATGATAAATGCAAAAAATCACTTTTGCATAAAAAATTTCAAATTGGGTCAGCCATTTTGGAGCTCCAATCAGACAGGGCTGGCAAATTAAAAAAATCAACAGCACTGATGTGATGCAGATCTGAAACCCCCTGTAACATAATGGCATGGAACATTTGGCAGACATATTTATTAAAAAAGTTTTCCAAACTAATTTTTCAATTTTTAATGAAAATTTCTTGAACCTGCAAGAAGGTCTTATGATGTACAATATTTAGCTTATTCTGCTTGTAAACCCTTAAAGTGGCTGTGTGCCTCAATTGTGTCCTTAAAATAATAACCTAACTTAAGGTAACTAAAAACTGAAATTAATTCATACTTGAATAAGTTTTAAATAATATGAATATTGTAAGCTTCATAATTAGTTAGTAATGAAATTGCTACAGATATGAAAATATTTTACATTTAGTTGGATGCTGAAATTGTTTAGTTTTCTTATGGTGTGGGTACACAAACAGTCTTGCTTGCTGATTTTTGTCGCTGACTCAAATCTTGATCCACATGTGATTAACGACATAGTGGAAAACAACCGACTGGAGATTTTTTGTCTCCTCATGTTTCCACAGCCAGTCGGTGAAACTCTTGACAAGACTCTTATTGGAGACAAAAATCGCCAACCAAGATCATTCTTGTGCCCACACCGAAAGAACTCAACATATACATTTGTAACAGTCCAATATTTCATATTCAAAAACAGGACAATCTTATGAATTTCTGACAGAAATTACAGTCGGAAAGAAAACAATAAATAATATACATTTGTCTAATGGTGCAAGATGAAAAGCAAGCTAGTTTGTCCTTGAATTACAGGGATTGTAAAGAGGTTTTCTAAAGTTTCTAAATTACACACAAAACCACCTTACAATCCCTTTATGTCATTTTTGTAAACTATCGATGAAACTTAAAAGTGGTGCAAAGCTTTATGTGAGTAGTATATTTAGAATACTATATGTGTTTAAAGGGACAGATGCACCATCTATTTGACCAATCCTACCCTAGTTCCAAACAAGGAATATTTCTAGCTAAGTCAATCAGTGATAGTGCTCACATTTCACCCTTCAAATCCATGCATGTCCAAAATTAGAAAGTTGATGACTCATCTTTTCTTGAGACATTGCCCAATATAGAAAAGACACATACAGAATTAGAAAGAGAAATTCCTAGGTTGAGGTATTTTTTGAAGGAATTATGCGATTTTTTGCACATTTCTAGTACTTCTGAAGACTATGTACATATATTCAAGATCCAAATCAATCTTCAAAATGTAGAACCTGTCCCTTTAAGCTAATTAATAATACTAAATAATATGTAATGTAATATGTCATTATAATATAATATTACATTAAACAAAAGGGTTACTAGGTAACTTCAAGAAAAAGGCTTGACATATATTAGTACTGTACTCATTTCATTAATGATGTTAATCCTCAACATCTTCTGTTTTAGACTAAAAATTTCTAATTTTCCTAGAGATTTTTGACAATAACTTAAAAATAAATAATTTTGTTAAATGATTTTTCACTTTAAAACAAATCCCTTGTTGAGCAGCTATGACAGGCCAGGCAGGGTATGCTTACTCTTCTGGACACCTGATACTACTTTTCATTAGAAAATACTTACTCACTTAAGATTGATATACTTCTTCATGTACAAAGTTCATTAGCTGCTTCCAATGTTTAGCCAAAATGTTGTTTTGGATTTCCGGTTTCGTTTTGCAGTTCGGATAGTTAGTACTTGGTTTATTTATTGATCCTAGACCTCTCATAACTGGGTCTCTTATAACAAACAAACAAAAATGGTGGCCTTAAGCAGTGGATTGGTTTTGGTTTAATTCATGAATAGAGGCGTATTCTGGATCATATATAAAATGAGTGACAATGTCGTGAAATTTTGGTCGTTCCTCAGGAACTTTTTCCCAACATTTTTTCATTTGCTCGTATATAGAATCGGTACAATGTTCTGGTTTGGGCAATCTGTGACCAGCTTCAATAAATTCAAGTACCTGCAAGAAACAAAGTAATTTCATTCATTTTAGTTGAAAATAAACTAAGAGTCTTTAATAAGGGTGATAACTCTATTTGTAATCATTGAAAAGTTCTCAAATTCGACCATCACCTTCCTTTATGATATACTATGTATAATGTTCACCCGTTCTGCATGGAACCTTGGGACTTTTGATCCCCTCAAAAAAGGGTTTGTACCCTCACACCTTTTTCTAACAAATTAATTTATAAATATGATTTTTATACGTTTTTGACACAAAATATGTGTCAGAATGCATCAGATCAATTTTATTTTTCAAAAGATTCTTGTTGAGTTCTTTTAGATGCTTCATGCTAAGTTTGTTGCACCCATGGGGTATCTAAAATCTCATCTCAAGGCCGAGGCCCTCGCTTTGCTCTTTCAAGGGAAATAATTTGAAATATGTGGACAAAATGTACAATCTTCTACTGAAGAAGAAAATGGAAAGAGGAAGAGTTTGTGTAAAAACATATATATTATTTCAATCTACTGAGAACTCAAAGCCAAGTAAAGCATTATAATACTTTTAAATGGAAAGATTCACCATTTAGGAGAGAGGGGGGGGGGGTATTTGGGTTGTTAGTCTAGAAAACTATGAAAATCACATAATTCCTTCAAAAATACCTCAAACTAGCAATTTCACTCACTATTTCTATAGATGTCTTTTCTAGTTTTATGAAAATATGAGTTTTGTTAACTTTCATGCTTTAATGCGGATAATTTTGAATACATATGGATTTGTAGGCTCAAATTTCGATGGTGAGCTGGGTACACTATTTTTGTTAATCTTTGCTATAAAATTTCTGTTTCTGACATGGAAAAGAAAACGGATAACAAACCTGTCCCTTTAACAGTGAGAATGTTTGTGCATGATGGGAATTAACACAACATCAGATTTTATTTGTGAGACGTGACACTGATAGCTCAGGGGTTTTCAACCTGGGGCTAATTAAGTTTCTTTGACATTTTTGGGGAGTAAATGAGGTGCTGTGTAGTCTAACAATAGTTTCATGAAATAGTAAGATGTGCCATTTTAGGGGGTTGGTTTCAGTCTTGAATATATGTAAATGGTTTTCAGAAATGTATGGAAATTGCAAGATTCCTTTAAAATACTTCAAACTCCATATAACTTGTCTATTTAACTTTCAAACACAGATAATTCTGGACACACATGATAGACAGATATGGTTGATATTGAGACATGGTTGATAAAGAGACATGGTTGACAGACAGAAATGATTGACAGACCAACATTGACAGAAGACCGACATGGTTGATAGAGAAACATGGTTGACAGACAGAAATGATTGACAGACCAACATTGACAGAAGACAGACATGGTTGATAGAGAAACATGGTTGACAGACCAACATGGTTGACAGACCAGCATGGTTGACAGACCAACATGGTTGACAGACAGACATGGTTGACTGGCAACAACATATACATCATGCATATATAAAAAAAAAAACTAAACCTACTGTGTAAGTAAACTGCTTGGCATAAAAACTAAATCTAAGACATGTCATTACAAATTGTAGCATAGTCTTTATCAAACTTGTTATATAACTCATGAAAACTGGGTCTTGTGGATGGATCTTTTTTCCAACAATTTTTCATGATTAAATACACATCCTCCGGACACTTAACAGGCCTACTTAAACGACGGCCCTTTTCTATAGATTGTACAACCTGAAAAAAATAGTTTCTACTGTCTAAGCTGAGCTTAAAGGCGTTTTTGGCGACCAATTTGATTTGGTTTAGATTTGCTAGGACCCATTTGGTGCGATTTGGATTAGATTAGCAGCGGTCTACAAATGTGAAATTATGCTAACAGCGATTACGCAATATGGCAGAATCTGCTGACAACAAAAGAAAATCATCTATTTTGAGCTAAAAAAAATTTCGATCTTCAAAAAAAGGTGGAATGTTCCTTTAATAGAGCCTGAGTATTTCCAAATGGAGAACTCCTGTCTGTGATGAAATAAATTTTTACCCATTTTTTGGATAGTGTTTTTTTTTTTTTTTACAGAAATATACTCATTGAGGATTCAGTGAAGTAATTCAGGTTAAAAAAACTCATCAACTACGTTAAAAATTAGACTACGTCAAAAAAAAGTGCACCATTATTATTATTATTAACATTAGTTAAGAAACGAACAGAAACGAAGTAGAAACAAACAAACTCTAAATAAGTATACCTCAATTCCCTTTTTATCTTCATAAGGTGATTCACCATATGAAAACATCTCCCATAAAGTAATACCGTAACTCCAAACATCACTCGCATGGGTAAATTTTCCATAGTTGACACTCTCTGGTGCATACCTACATTATGACAAGATATCTTTTAAAGAGGGGTTTCCTCATTATTTAGTGTCAAATTAAGCAAACTATTTGATTAATTGGTGTTTTGAATGAATTATTATGTATTCTTAATCATATTATATTCTTATTGCATATAATTAAGAGTTTTAACCAATCATAAATGTTCATGTACGTACAGTCTGGATAAACTAAAAAAGACTTTTTGACCTTTCTTGATCGGTCACTCATTGGAATTCTACTGCTATTTCTCATCGAATTTATATAATTATGAATAACATTACAATTATGGACATGTGAGACAAACTGGTATTTTTCCAAGTCATTAGAACACCTCTACTTTCTATTCATATAAGTATTAGCATTTTCATTTTCATAAATAAAAATAAGGGAACCCATCTTTAATGGTATAAGTAGTACCATCTGGATATGTTGTTCTATAAGGTTCTAAAGCCTTGAAGAAGTTTCCCAATTTATCATACCAGTTTTATGTCATTTGAATTGTAGTTTTTCGTTCATTGTACCAAAACTATTGAATTTGGAAGAGTTGTCTGTCAATTATGCATTCAAAATTTCAAAACTTTTTGTTATTATAACAAAACATGTACATAAGGCCTATCTCGTTTTTCTACAAAAAGGTGTAAAAAACTCACCATTTGATTGGCCATCTACCACCTTTATGAGCTCTATAGTAATCACTATCACCCCCTGTAGCTCTTGATAAACCAAAATCACTGATTTTTATCTACAAATAAACCAAAATCACTGATTTTTATCTACAAATAAACCACAATCACTGATTTTTATCTACAAATAAACCAAAATCACTGATTTTTATCTACAAATAAACCAAAATCACTGATTTTTATCTACAAATAAACCAAAATCACTGATTTTTATCTACAAATAAACCAAAATCACTGATTTTTATCTACAAATTAACCACAATCACTGATTTTTATCTACAAATAAACCAAAATCACTGATTTTTATCTACAAATAAACCAAAATCACTGATTTTTTTCTACAAATAAACTAAAATCACTGATTTTTATCTACAAATAAACCAAAATCACTGATTTTTATCTACAAATAAACCAAAATCACTGATTTTTATCTACAAATAAACCAAAATCACTGATTTTTATCTACAAATAAACCAAAATCACTGATTTTTATCTACAAATAAACCAAAATCACTGATTTTTTCTACAAATTACAAACCAAAATCATACAGATACTATACTAGTCATAAGTAATTGAAAATAAAACTATAAATACCTGATATTTTGTGGATAATAAAATATTTCTAGCTGCCAAATCACGATGTACCAGTTTCTTAGATTCTAAATATTCCATTCCCTGGGCTATTTGTCCAGCCCATAAATACAGATCAGGTTTGACTTCAACTAGTTCAGGATAATCTTGTAGATAGTCTAACATAGACCCCATTGGTACAAACTCTTCTATCTATTATGGATATAAATAATCATCATTGAAGTCATGAGACCCACACAAACATCCTTTCCGAACAATTGTGGACAGGCTGATGGTGGATGAGGTCCATTTCATGCAGGCATATAAAAATTGGTCTGGCCTAAATAGTATAAAGCGAACGTTAACTTGTCATCTACCAACCAACCAAACAATGTAAAAATTAGAAGATTGAAAACTTTGACAAGGAAGCTTTTAGTATAATTTTCTGCTTACCAACATTAGCTGTTGACCATGACAAACTCCAATTAATTCCACAATACATTTATGCTTCAAAGACTGCATGACATAAGCTTCACGTAGAAAATCAGTTTCATCTCCTACACTATCTTCATGGAATAATTTTACAGCCACGTCCTTTTTCTACAAAATATTACTAGAAATGTAGCTAGTCTCTCCAAAATAATAAGGGATCAGGGTTCAATTTCGCAGTGAAATTCCTAGTTCGAAGTATTTTTAAAGGAATTATGTGATTTTCCTACATATTCTAGAACTTCTGAAGACTATTTACATATATTCAAGACCCAAATCAACCTTCGAATATGGCACATCTGTCCCTTTAGGTCTTTAAAATATTACAGAATAGAAAATTTCATACTGATCACCTTTGATATAGGTATCGGACCATATTTTTCTTGGTAAGTTAAAACTCCTTTTAATACAGACCCATATTCCCCTTCACCCAACACTGTACCTAAATTACACAATAATAATGGTCAATTAAAGACATGAATGATAATAGAATCAAGCAAAGATATTTGTGCACACTTGGTCCAATTCAAAACATAAAGAGTTTTATTTAAAGATGGGTTCCCTTATTTTCATTTATGAAAATGCAAATTTTAATACTTATATGAATAGAAAGTAGAGGTGTTCTTATGACTTGGAAAAATACCAGTTTGTCTCACATGTCCATAATTGATTCATAATTAGCTAAATTAGAAGAGAAATACCAGAAGAATTCCAATGAGTGACCGATCAAGAAAGATCAAAAAGATTTTTTTTTTTTTTATCCAGACTGTACACTGACATTTATGATTGGTTAAAACTCTTAATTATATGCAATAAGAACATAATGATATGATTAAGAATACATGATAATTCATTAGAAACACCAATTAATCAAATAGTTTGCTTAATTTGACACTAAAAAATAAGGAAACCCCTCTTTAATTGAAGATATTTTATGATATTATAATCAGACCACTAAGTCTTACCTAGTTTGATGTTTTTTTCTTTAATATTTTCTGGTTGGATTTTTTGTGATAGAACCTGAATATAAACAAATTGTGAAAGATCACTAAATAATACTAGGTTGAAAAAAGACATATTTTGAGTTTTCATAAAGAATCGTCTTTTTCAGCATTTTTTCTGGGGCTATTTAGGGGGATAACATCATGCAGTGTACAATGAGGGAAACAGAACCAGAATAAGTATTCTCTTTACTGTCTCCAATGTCAAAGGATCACCTTTGCTTCACTGTTGCATTATAAAACTCTTTAATACATATTATATTGCTTAGTTTTAACGGGATGAAAGAGTTGAATGATATTTGTGCAAATCAGAGTGCTAAATATCATTATTGAGTAAAGTGTTTTATAAGACAATAGTGAAGCAAAATGAGAATGAGTCGGCAATTTTTAGTTAGAAATGCCGCCATCTTGTCTTGCTGGAGCTGTGTTTCATTTCTGGTTAACTCTTTCTGGAATTGCAGGAACCAAAGGCATCAGGCGAAGAATTGGAATGTCCCAAATAGAAGTTAAATGCGTCCTCGATACACATTCAAAGACTAGAAAACCTCTTTACAATCTCTTTAATACTCCTTTAAACCAAACCAAACCAAATATGTAAATTGACTTGTTTTGTCTCTGGGACATTATCTTTAATTAATAAAAAATATTTTTCTTACAAAATCTGGTACTTTACAACCATCAACAGATGTTGAGGGGCTGGGTGTGGGGGTGGTGGGAGGTGTCGGGCTTGTTACACTTGTTGTTGATTGGTTGACATTTCTGTGAACAATCCGATTCTCAGGTGTGATCTTGTCAGCATTATGTGATGTACTGTCAGCTTTATGTGGCTTGCTGTCAGCTTTATGTGGCTTGCTGTCAGCTTTATGTGGCTGGGAATACATTGCACTTGATGGGGGTGCCGATGGTTCTATTCTTGGAGGTAGCTTTGGTTTAAGTTTTTCTGAAATGATCCAATTCGAAGTTATATTAGGGCATCTAGGAATCCTTTATTAAAAGTAACTCAATTCTGATTTTTACTGGGTTTAGTATGATTGTTTATAACATCTGATGATAAATTGTAGTTCTCATTAGGTTTTACATCATTGTTTATAATATCTGATGGTATAATGTTATAATCACCGGGTTTAGTATAATTGTTTATAATATCTGATGATATAAAGATATACCCACTGGTTTAGTATAATCATGATATAAAGATATACTCACTGGTTTAGTATAATCATTTATAATATCTGATGATATAAAGATATACTCTCTGGGTTTAGTATACTCACTGGTTTAGTATAATTGTTTATAATATCTGATGATATAAAGATATACTCACTGGTTTAGTATAATCATTTATAATATCTGATGATATAAAGATATACTCACTGGTTTAGTATAATTATTTATAATATCTAATGATATAAAGATATACTCTCTGGGTTTAGTATACTCACTGGTTTAGTATAATTGTTTATAATACCTGATGATATAAAGATATACTCTCTGGGTTTAGTATACTCACTGGTTTAGTATAATTGTTTATAATATCTGATGATATAAAGATATACTCTCTGGGTTTAGTATACTCACTGGTTTAGTATAATTGTTTATAATACCTGATGATATAAAGATATACTCTCTGGGTTTAGTATAATTGTTTATAATATCTGATGATATAAAGATATACTCACTGGTTTAGTATAATTATTTATAATATCTGATGCTATAAAGTTCTACTCACCAGGTTTGGTATAATTGTTTATAATATCTGATGATATAAAGATATACTCACTGGTTTGGTATAATTATTTATAATATCTAATGCTATAAAGTTCTACTCACCGGGTTTGGTATAATTGTTTATAATATCTGATGATATAAAGATATACTCACTGGTTTGGTATAATTATTTATAATATCTGATGCTATAAAGTTCTACTCACCGGGTTTGGTATAATTGTTTGTAGTATCTGATGATAAGTTATAATAATCATCTTCTCTAGGTACCTCATCTAATTCATTATCTGAAGTTTAAAATCATAATTTAATATTAAAAAAGGTTGATTTAACAAAAAATAATTTCTGCCCTAGGTCTGTTCTAATGACCTTATTTGTAACCAATCAAAGCATGTCATGTAAAACCTCTTTCTTGATTCCAACGACAAATTGTGGGATATAAGCCACAGGTGTAAAACTCTACTTTGGGTTTCCCTATTCCATAATTCCTCATTTGTAGAAGATTTTTCATGACAGATTCCACCTTTTTCACAAACTTCCAGGCCAGTGCATAAGCCCTAAACATATTATTAGCAAACATGCTTAAGGTAACTTACTAGTAGTAACAGCTGTTAATAAAAGACAAGGTAACCCATCAGTAGTTCTGTTATAGTGATATATCAAATGTGGTATGGATAACATATATGGCCCATCATCAATATAGTATACAAGTTTATTCATGTATGTCTGAAATATTTATTTATATAATATATAAGGGCTATCGTCAGCTATACAGAGGTTTATGACAATATTTTGGAGAAAAGAAATTAAAAAGGAAAACACAGCACATAATCAAATACAGAGCCTTTGATCAAACATAATAAATCATATAAATAACATATGTGATAATATACAGAGCGCATGATCATATAATAGCATGTATGATAATATACAGATCACATGATCAAATACAGAGCACACAATCAATTATATAGCACATATGATCAATTATATAGCACATATGATCCAATATATAGCACATATGATCAAATATATAGCGCATATGATCAAATACATAGCACGTATAATCTTATACAAAGCACATTATCAAATAGAGCGAAAAGTTGCAAAAGAATGAAAAATGTTTGCAATGTGAGAATGCATTCTTGACATATTTACCTTAGTTTTGATAACATAGTTCATGACCATCATATCATGACATAAACTTAATACATTTGAACCATCCCCTTTCCTACTATTACGAATCAAAAACAAGCCTTCACTCAAGCCGAAATACTCTAACAGCTTGGTACATCCCTGAACAACAAAAACACAGTTTCTGTTTTAAAGGGATAGTAAAGATGTTTTCTAAATTTTTTATATGTATCAGGGACACTGATAACATTACTTTCCACTATTCCTATTTTCAATCAGACGTCTGTGGTTACTGCAATTTCACTAAAACTAAGTGTTCCATGATATTAGTAATCGCGAAGGGTCTTATGTGATAAAGCATATTTTGCGGTTAGTGACGTTATAAAACACTTAGTTTTAGTGGAATTACAGGAACCACAGATGTCTGAGTGGAAGTTGGAATGGTGCAAATTGATGCTATCAGTGTTCCTGATACGTAAAATTGTAGAAAACCTCTTTACAATGAATTTATTACTAACAATTAATAACAAAAGGATATGAATTGAATATGACTAACACATTAAACACCCCTTATTTTACAAATAAGCTTTTCCAATCATTTGTATGCATTGTCATATTGATAGAAAGATTGCATGTGCAGGAGAGTTCAATCGAAAGTTGAGGGCTGTCAAGTAGATGAGTGAAATGTTACATATATTGTCTTATAATTCACGTAATCAGTTCACTTTCCATAATAAAAATCTGAAAAAATAATAATTTCTGGTTCTACTTAGAACACCTGACTCCACTATGTGACTGGGTTTGCCAAGAGTTCTTGAAGCTATATTTATTTTGTATTTTCAATGAAAAATGACAGTACAAACCTCTCTGTTTAATTCTGAATGATTCCATAGTTTAGCTTTTTTAGCAGAATCTGATAGCTTGTAATTTTCTGTAAATATTATAAATCAATGAAATTAAAGATGGGTTCCCTTATTTTTATTTATGAAAATGAAAATGCTAATACTTATATGAATAGAAAGTAGAGGTGTTCTTATGACTTGCACCATGGGGGCAAATGATGACGGACAACCCCATGCAGTGTGCAATGAGGGATAATTTGCCAGAACAGCAGCATTAGCCTACTCTTTTTCAAATTGATTTCGGGACGCCCTGCTTTGTGAACGGCTTACTACTACACTCTTCTCTGCTCTGCCTGCAGAGCTAAAAGGAATAAATGCTTTCTGAAGAGACTAAAAGGGTAACTAAGCGATTGCGACATAATATAAAAAAACAAATACCATCTCACCTAAATATTTAACACATTCATTTCGATGATATTTCAATGCTATATCATATGGTGTTTCCAAGTCTAAGGTTCTCGGGAAAGGTAAATGGCTTATATCTAATAAAATCTACAAATATACAAATTATATATTTCTTATAATAACATCTACTAATATATACAAATTTTCAATTTCTTATAATAAGATCTACAAATATATACAAAATATCATAACATCTACAAATTTCTTATAATAACATCTACAATATACAAAATATCAATTTCTTATTATAACATCTACAAATATACAAAATATCAATTTCTTATTATAACATCTACAAATATACAAAATATCAATTTCTTATTATAACATCTACAAATATACAAAATATCAATTTCTTATAACATCTACAAATATACAAAATATCAATTTCTTATAACATCTACAAATATACAAAATATCAATTTCTTGTAGTAACATCTACAATAGAGCTGCCACTTTTGCCACAACCTCGACGTTTGTCCACCCATTAAGTAAGTTTGGTTGTTATCCTTAATGATATGAGCTCTTTGTTACAAACTATTTATCAATTATTTCTACAGTAAAAGATCCACCTACCTTGAGAGAATTTATATTACCAGCCATAGCTGCTTCATGTATAGCTATCCATCCATTGACTGGACTTTTGGCTAGGGGGTCAGCTTTTCCTTCAGAAAACAGAATAGCTATTACATTTGGATGGTCTTTTAATGCTGCTCTCTGAAATAGATAAACATTACTAGCAAAACATGATTTAATGATGGTGCTCTAACATTATGGAATCTAGTCCTTGATCCAGTAGCTTGACATTTGTAATACTGACATCACAATATTCTGGCCTAGCTGTAACGCTGTGTGTCCATTGACATCTGTAATACTGACATCACAATATTCTGGCCTACCTACCTGTAACGCTGTGTGTCCATTGACATCTGTAATACTGACATCACAATATTCTGGCCTAACTACCTGTAACGCTGTGTGTCCATTGACATCTTTAATACTGACATCACAATATTCTGGCCTACCTGTAATGCTGTGTGTCCATTGACATCTTTAATACTGACATCACAATATTCTGGCCTACCTGTAATGCTGTGTGTCCATTGACATCTTTAATACTGACATCACATCCATGTTTTATCAACATATGTACAATATCATGGTAACCATTTTCTGCTGCATCATGTAAGGCTGTAGCACCTGCAACATATTTAGACCTCTTTCATTGCAAGGGCAACAAGCTAGTCACCAGACAGGTGATATTTTGATAGCTGGAGTAGAGTCAGAAAATACCAGCCCTGTTTTATGGGGATTTTCCAAACCTCCAAATATAATCTTTAATTTCCTTTACTATGACTGTAAATTAGTGTTGGGCATCACTAAAACTTTTCTTTTCATATCACTCTGTGACCCTTGCACTTTTGGATGTGTAAGCAGTTTTAAAGGGCCGACGAGAGATTAGTTTCGTTAAAAAAAAAACTTTGATAGAACCACAGACATGACATGACTACAAAAATATCAATTGTTCCAAGAACATCAGGGTTTTGCGGATTTGATGAAAATATATAGGTTAAAAACCCCTGCACCTTTTTTCAGTCTCTACACCATCCTACATCTGACCACAAATTTTGTGTTGTTCCACATTTATCTGCTTCGAATAAGTCTGGCCTTGGTAGGTGCAGAGCACTGAGCATATCTTGCTTTCTATTCCTATACGATTTTAAACTTTGAAAGGTAGGAAAATATATGTGAGATTTCTTCTTATGATTGACATGTAGGTTTAGATTGAAAATGAACATAATTCAAACTTAGAAAAACGTAGAAATTATTTCCATTTGGATGTGAAATTGACAACCATGGCCATGTATAGACCTTATTATAGCCTCGTTTTTGAGATACTGAAAGAGAGGTTCATAATGCAAATTATGTCATCCATTGTTAAGATGGTGACATCATATGAATGAATAGCCAAATTGATGTCACTGAAGACCCTATCAACAGTGAGAAAATGGGCTTAAAACTGCCTTTAAGAAATATGTGAAGGTAAAATTCATGTAAAAAGTATCATTAAATAGCTTCATCAATTCCAAATTTAATGATGTAAAAAATAATTAGTTTCAAGTTAGTGGGATTCAAGAAGGAGGCTTTAAAGACGTTAAGGTGGTGATTATATACAGTGACATATCGTTACCTTTGTTTATTTGCATTATCAGCCTATCAGTGCGAGATTCAATATGGCCGACGCGTGAATAAGGTCTATTCGGATCTGAAATTGACAACCATGTCCATGTATTGCTCATGTGCCCATACTCCCATGCTTTGTGTAAATGACTTTGTGTGGTTGTATCAAAACTACCAATACAATGAAATGAACATACCTCTGGTATTTTTGGCATCAATATTTGGACTATCAGGATGACTTAAAATTTCTTTCACAATATTTGGATTTCCTGGAGAAATAGAATAAAATATTTTAAGTGAATGGCATCAAAAAGTTAGAAACCTTAAATTGGTACACCCCATTTCTAATTAACCCTTTAAAGATGGGTTTCCTTATTTTTATTTATGAAAATGAAAATGCTAATATGACAGGAAAAAATACCACTTTATCTCACATGTCCATAATTAATTCATAATTAGCTAAATTAGAATTACCAGCAGAATTTGAGTGAGTAACCGATCAAGAAAGGTCAAAAAGTATTTCTTTGTTTATCCAGACTGTACATGCATAGACATTTATGATTGGTTAAAACTCTTAATTATATGCAATAAGAACAGAATGATATGATTAAGAATACATGATAATTCGATAGAAACACCAATTAATCAAATAGTTTGCTTAAACAAATAAATAAGGAAACCCATCTTTAAAAAAAATTCAGTTTGATCAATTAGATACATAGAAGTAAAAGGAGTACTTTTTCAGGTATAATTTACAACGTTCTGATTATGAAATCTTTGCAAACTGCCCCTTTTGATAAAGGAATATACCTTCTAATACAGATCTATGTAAAAGATTTGTAAAGCCACTTCTTCTAGCCTTTAATGGTGGTGATGAACCTTTACAGAAACTAGTCAATCTTGTTGGTAAACCATGAGCATTCTGACTGTGATATTCAACAAAACAATCTAAACCTATTAATAGAAATATCAAACAGAACCTGAAACATGTTGTTACTCAGTGTTCGTTTCATGTTTTTATAGTGTTTATTGAAACATGTTGTTACTCAGTGTTCGTTTCATATTTTCATAGTGTTTACTGAAAAATGGGGCTGACATGGAAAAAGCGTCCAGTCGTTCGGATGAGACAATAAACTGAGGCCCCGTGGGCTACAGGCTGAGCACATTAAAGATCCATCGACAGTTGGAAATCGAGAAAAGAGCAGGCTAATGCCTCTGTCCTGGCAAAATTTCCCCCATTGCACCCTGCATGGCGTTGCCCGTCTTCATTAGCCCACATGGTGCAGAAATGTAAGACGTAAAACTCCATTTCATTTTCATTTTCGTTTTTCAAACATTTGGCAAATTCAACACACCTACAAATGTGCGAAGACATTATGATAAAAACATTCAGCAAGGAACTGGATAATCTTACCATGAACAGCCTCACCGTTGTCAATTTGAAAATAACACTCTTTCTTTTCTTCTAGAATATAGTGTTTAATTTCACATTTAACTAAAAGAGATAGGGAGTAGTTTTTAGAGCCCTCTCTTATCAGAAATAAACCATCTGTATTAGCCTTTGACTTTGATAGTCTCACCATACCTGTAATAAATCAAATCAAATTTTGCCTTTAGGATACTGTCAGAGGACTAGTTTTTACAGAGCATTTCAGCTCTAATTTTTCTTTTTTGACATGACCAGCAGGGCAGCTCAAATGTCCACTTTACAACATTAAAGGGATTGTAAAGAGGGTTTTCTAAATTTTGTAATTTGCACCATTCCAATTTCAATCAGACGTCTGTGGTACCTGAAGCTCAACTAAAACTAAATGTTGAATAAACTAAATGTTGAATGCTGCCATCAAACACTTAGTTTTTTGTTGCATTGCAGGAACCACAGATGTCTGACTGAAAATTGGAATGTTGCAAATAAATTTCTATCAATGCTGTCAGTAGAGAGTTAGTTATCACACTAGAAGATAGTCTTTAGAGAGTTAGTTATCGCACTAGAAGATAGTCTTTAGAGAGTTAGTTATCACTGTAGAAGATAGTCTTTAGAGAGTTAGTTATCACTGTAGAAGATAGTCTTTAGAGAGTTAGTTATCACTGTAGAAGATAGTCTTTAGAGAGTTAGTTATCACTGTAGAAGATAGTCTTTAGAGAGTTAGTTATCACTGTAGAAGATAGTCTTTAGAAAGTTAGTTATCACTGTAGAAGATAGTCTTTAGAAAGTTAGTTATCACTGTAGAAGATAGTCTTTAGAGAGTTAGTTATCACTGTAGAAGATAGTCTTTAGAAAGTTAGTTATCACTGTAGAAGATAGTCTTTAGAAAGTTAGTTATCACACTAGAAGATAGTCTTTAGAAAGTTAGTTATCACTGTAGAAGATAGTCTTTAGAGAGTTAGTTATCACTGTAGAAGATAGTCTTTAGAAAGTTAGTTATCACTGTAGAAGATAGTCTTTAGAAAGTTAGTTATCACTGTAGAAGATAGTCTTTAGAAAGTTAGTTATCACACTAGAAAATAGTCTTTAGAATAAAACATTTTCCTCAATTTTAACCTGTGTGCTGCAAGCTGTGCACATTAAAGATCTCTCGACAATTGGAAACTGATGAAAATAGGCCAATGCAGCTGTCCTAGCAAAATTTCACACTTCATGACGTTGGCCGTCTTCCTTAACCCATTTAGGTGCAGAAGAGTAGGACGTAAAACTCCATTCATTTCAATTCCTCAATTATAACACTTGCTCACAATAGGAAAGATCAAAGGATTTCCTGCTATAAGTTTAAGGTCTTTTTATATGTTTTTTATGGATTAGATAAAAGAAAATGGTTGAATAATAAATGGTATTTGAATAGAGTAAAGTACAAGATAAAATAACTATAACAGGAAGAAACTTATATTTCACCATTAAAGTAACATAATACAACTGTGAAACAACTGGGGAAACAATGTGACAAATATCTAGTGAAGAAATCATTATCACAAATAGACCAACAAATCATGCCCAACCCAGTTCCTCAGATAACATATCATCACAAATAGGCCCAGACAACTCATGTCATTTTTGATGGAAGTTGAACCCCAGCCAATTTTTGGGTTACTAGTTTTTGTGAAGTTTCACCATGAAAAAAGCCAACTTTGTTTAAACTTATTGTTAACTGTAAACAATGAGTGAGGTCAGAACTCAGTGTTAGTGTTGGATTAGTGCATATGTGTAGCACTAGTGTAACACTAACTGCGAGTTCTGACCTTGATGCAAAGTGTTGGGTGACACTGAGATAACACTACACTTTGAGGTATTTGGGGAACAATTTAACACTAGTTTTAATCTAGTGCTACTCTAGTGTTCCACTTATTCCAACTCAGTGTTTTTTAGAACACTGGCTTAGCAAAAGTTTCCATATCCTTTTAACACTAACCCCTAGAGGTTTACACAATGAAGAGATCAGAGCTCAAGATTACATTAGTGTAGTGTTATCGTTTGGTGTTTAGCTGGTTTTTTGTACGTGTTACACTGATGCTAGTGTTATGGTGACTGGATTAGCACTAACTCAAATAATAACACTAACACTCAGTTCTGACCTCATTCATTGACAGTGCCAGTAGGGGTACAGATTACCTAGAACCACAAATTGAACCCACATTTATCCATTTTGAAAGTTGTCAGCTGGTGTAGAGACAGACAAATTAGGCCCTGTTTTTAGGGAGTTTAAACCTATATAATTCGGATCCGCCAAACCCAAATATATTCGGAAAGATCGATAGTTTTGTAATTCAGTCATACCATCATAAACCCCTGGCACCATTTATGTAATGTCTGCGGTTTCATCAAAGTTTTTTTTTGAAGACACTGGTTACAAAGTTACGTGATACTAACAAAAGAAACTTACAATGATGCCCAACCCTAATTTACAATCATCGTAAATGTAATTTAATATTATGTTACAAAAAAATACATCTTCAGTGATGTAGGAAATCCCCATAATACAGGACCTAGTTTTTCTGACTCTGTCAAATTATCAGAATAGAGGCAGATGTTTTGGACTAGTAGAAATGTAAGTTGACAGACTAGGTCTAGGTCTACTAGGTTTAGGAAATGAGGAAGCCATTTAAATATCCTGATTCAATAAGCAATGAAAATAAGGATGAAAAAAGGACCAGAAAAAGTAATCAACAAATGAGGAAGATAATGTAACAGATAGATGTATAGAACACACTAATAGACCTACCTTCCTTTAGAAGATTTTCTGCATTTTCTCTTGATACCTTTCCATGGTACCATTGAACCCGATCATCAAATTCTCCCTCTAATATCTTGTCTACTGCTAACAGTGAGTCAAGTGATGCTTCTTCCAGCAGCTTAATGACGGTTCCCTGTTCCACAGCTTCTCTGTTGGCATAATCTGGTATGTCGTCTAAATAGCTATAATCAGGTTCTGTCATTTTGTTTAATTTTCATTCAATTTCCACCATGAAAACACTTCAGATATTTGACTGTTTCACTTCCTGAATCGTGATTCTCCATTTTCTGTTTTTGTCACGTGACGTTCCCACTAGTAATAAGTAGGTCACTATATTTTTGTAAACATAAAGTTACTGCATGAAAATATCCAAAACATTATACTGTCAGAGCAGAGGTTTACTTACCTTTACTTGTCTAACACTGCGCTGTAAACAACAACAAAACTCATACGCTTTTTGGAGGGATTTCACGAGTAAAAATAAAATAAATAAAAATAGATAAAGTGCAAGTAGAGTTTATCGTATGATGATTGGCTACTATAAATAGGTTTTCTAAATAAACTTTTAACTACCGAACACTAGCAAAACACCACCAATAGACAATCATATTACTGACTAAATTTTGCACTATGTTTCCTTTTCTAAACGTCTGTGGGACATAAGATGAAGTATTTGCTGAATAAAATTCATTTTCATAATTTCATCCTGAGTAAATTAATCACACGTAGAGTTTATGTTATTCAGTCCCACCCGTAAAATGATCCATCCTTAGAAAGACTATTTCGCATTATTGTAGTGAAAATGGCAACCACTGAAGAAATGGATATTGACAAGGAGGTCGAAAAGGATTCCAATAATAAACCAGATAAAATGTTTACATTGAAGAAATGGAATTTAGTGGCTATGTGGAGTTGGGACGTTGAGTGTGATACGTGTGCTATTTGTAGGGTGCAAGTGATGGGTAATTTCTTTTTCCTTTTGTTGCGACATTTCTAAAAAACTTAGTCCGAAATATTGCATCTTGCTTCATACTCAATAGATATAATATTTTTTTGAAAACAGTGCTAAAAATTATGCTTTTAAACAACTCTTACCTTAAAATTACGTTTCAGATGTCTATTGAAAACAAACTTATTGATTTTAACCTGTAACATATTTATCATGTATGAGGACAACAAAATATAGTTTGATTAATAAATGGATAGAAAATGTTATTGTTAAGACAGGCACGAATTAATATGGTTGCATATCTTGATGTTGACCATTATAGTAGTGGTAGGTGTGGTTCGTTAAGCAGACCAAGCTTTCTCTTTTCGAAACACCTGTTGGTACTTCTCTTTTGGAAGATTTTGCCATACTTTGGACAAGATTTATTATTGAATTGTTTTGCTTTTACGGATTTTTATGACTTAAATATAATTTTTAATTTTTAGATGCCTGTTTACGTTGTCAGTCTGAAAATAAACAAGATGATTGTGTTGGTAAGTACGAGGTTCTACTTGTTTAGTCTTAATATACACAATTAGAGTCAGGGCTGGGTATGGATTACCAAATTGAATCGATTATCGACACCATGATACCGGTCAATAATCTATTAATAATCGAAATATTTCAACCAAGAAACCCTGTAAATACTAAATTAAAAACATACCAAATTTTTTATTCCATTTATTTTCTTTTTTTTGTTATAGAAGTGCAAATACTTTTTCTGTGATCAGTTATTATAGTTATTGTGTATTAATTATGATTTGTTAATGGGTACACAGGGGAAAAATGTAACTTTGATATATGATCCATTATGAAATTTGATAATCAATTATCCAATTTATAAATTCGTAGCAGTGCTAATCGATTATTTTGATTATTTTACTCAGCCCTATACAAATAGACTAAATACTTGTCACAAAAACTGTATCAAAAGGAACACGCACTGGAGTCTGTATTATGAGAAACTGGAAGGAGATAAACATGTATATGGGAACAAGAAAATAAATATTCATGAGGTCACATGTTTTTCAATTTGACCAATCAACACGCTTGCATTTGGCCATTTTTACATTTTGTTTTGTAAATGTGAGCACATGCATGAGAGTCATGGCAGCCCGTTCTATATCTCAAATAAAGCTACTTGGATAAAGAGAACCACAGTAACATCTATTTATTGATAAGGGTGCTTGGTTTTTATGATAATTTAAATAATTATTATTTGCTTTTTATTATATTTCAGTTGTATGGGGTGAATGTAACCATTCCTTTCATAATTGCTGTATGTCTTTATGGGTGAAACAAAATAACAGATGTCCACTGTGTCAACAAGAATGGGTGGTACAGAGAATTGGTAAATAGTTTTAAAAAATTGGAAGGAGCTGACATGAATTTAATGGAGTTGGACTCTTTTTTTCTTGATGGACGGAACCAAAGGCTTGACCTATTGGTTCAAGTGGATATCACGATATATTAACCATTAATATATCAGGATATATCACGATATGGATGTATATCACGATATGGATGTTTGTCACAATATTTCCTAACTATGGTTTTCACTGATGGTTTAAAACAGAATGATGGTGTTTTTTTTTATCTACATGTAAATATTTTATATGTAAGAAAAACAATAAATATTGGTAAATTTTGTGGTGCTTAGGACATTTTGATTAAAATTAGCCAGTTAGTCTTCTTCTCTTATTATCACATCTTGTGATATCTGAATTCACTTCCTAAAGTAAAATAAAACTGATGCCATGGTTGGTGTTTATCTGATTGAACTTGATATTTAGTTGTTATATTTGGGCCATGCCCCTATTTTCCCCTGAAGAAATACAAAATGAAAAATGAATTCTACTTTCACTTCCAAAAACGTGATAGATGTATTCTCTGGCTTCTCGCATAAGAAAATTTTCACACCCCATCATGACTAGTGCCCCCAACCCCCCTCAAATCTTCTCTCTGCCATGGATGTTTGCTCTTATACATGAATATAGTTATTGATTCATGAATAGTGATAATTATATCTATTACTACAATTTCTTTCTTTTGTTGTATACATGTTTATAAAAAAAAATTTGGGAAACATTTTTTTTATTGATGTCTTTCATTATTCTCGGGGAATACTGTAAATCTTGGCCATTGCTTTTAGCTCAATGTTAGCTGTCTGTATTACTTTTCAGAAGTAAAACACAACATAGAATAAAAGTATTGCCAAATGTGACCACCATCTTTAGTCCTTATAAACATTTCCCCATGCAACTTTTAGTCTTAAAAGTCAGAAATGTCATTGCTTTCTATGATGATATACACCTTCAAAGGTTATCTGTACCGAAATAATTTTTAAGGAGGTGATGGTGTTAGATGGTGAGAACATTGTCTCTTTGTTTTTACACTCGATTCCTCACTCGATAAAACCTAACCTAGCTCTTACACAATTCCCTCACTGATAAAACCTAACCTAGCTCTTACACCATTCCTCACTCGATAAAACCTAACCTAGATCTTACACCATTCCTCACTCGATAAAACCTGTCCTAGCTCTTACACCATTCCTCACTCGATAAAACCTGTCCTAGCTCTTACACCATTCCTCACTCGATAAAACCTGTCCTAGCTCTTACACCATTCCTCACTCGATAAAACGTAACCTAGCTCTTACACCATTCCTCACTCGATAAAACCTGTCCTAGCTCTTACACCATTCCTCACTCGATAAAACCTGTCCTAGCTCTTACACCATTCCTCACTCGATAAAACCTAACCTAGCTCTTACACCATTCCTCACTCGATAAAACCTGTCCTAGCTCTTACACCATTCCTCACTCGATAAAACGTAACCTAGCTCTTGCACTTATATCTCCCTTGAAAACCGTACCTAGCTTTTACACAATATCTCCCTTGAAAACCTTGCCTAACTTTTACACTATTCCTCACTCGAAAACCTTACCTAGCTCTAATAGTTATTCCTCACTCGAAAACCTTACCTAGCTCTAATAGTTATTCCTCACTCGAAAACCTTACATAGCTCTAACAGTTATTCCTCACTCGAAAACCTTACCTAGCTCTAATAGTTATTCCTCACTCGAAAACCTTACCTAGCTCTAATAGTTATTTCTCTCTTGAAAACCTTACCTAGCTCTAACAGTTATTTCTCACTCGAAAACCTTACCTAGCTCTAACAGTTATTTCTCTCTTGAAAACCTTACCTAGCTCTAACAGTTACTTCTCACTTGAAAACTCTTACCCAGCTCTAACAGTTATTCCTCAGTTGAAAACCTTACCTAGCTCTAACAGTTATTTCTCACTTGAAAACTCTTACCCAGCTCTAACAGTTATTCCTCAGTTGAAAACCTTACCTAGCTCTAACAGTTATTTCTCAGTTGAAAACCTTACTTAGCTCTAACAGTTATTCCTCAGTTGAAAACCTTACCTAGCTCTAACAGTTATTTCTCACTTGAAAACTCTTACCCAGCTCTAACAGTTATTCCTCAGTTGAAAACTCTTACCCAGCTCTAACAGTTATTTCTCTCTTGAAAACCTTACCTAGCTCTGACAGTTATTTCTCACTTGAAAACTCTTACCCAGCTCTAACAGTTATTCCTCAGTTGAAAACCTTACCTAGCTCTAACAGTTATTTCTCACTTGAAAACTCTTACCCAGCTCTAACAGTTATTCCTCAGTTGAAAACCTTACCTAGCTCTGACAGTTATTTCTCTCTTGAAAACCTTACCTAGCTCTAACAGTTATTCCTCAGTTGAAAACCTTACCTAGCTCTGACAGTTATTTCTCTCTTGAAAACCTTACCTAGCTCTAACAGTTATTCCTCAGTTGAAAATCTTACCTAGCTCTAACAGTTATTTCTCTCTTGAAAACCTTACCTAGCTCTAACAGTTATTTCTCTCTTGAAAACCTTACCTAGCTCTAACAGTTATTTCTCTCTTGAAAACCTTACCTAGCTCTAACAGTTATTTCTCACTTGAAAACTCTTACCCAGCTCTAACAGTTATTCCTCAGTTGAAAACCTTACCTAGCTCTGAAAGTTATTTCTCTCTTGAAAACCTTACCTAGCTCTGACAGTTATTCCTCAGTTGAAAACCTTACCTAGCTCTGACAGTTATTTCTCTCTTGAAAACCCTACCTAGCTCTAACAGTTTTTCCTCACTTGAAAACCCTTACCTAGCTCTTACAGTTATTCCTCACTTGAAAACCTTACCTAGCTCTGAAAGTTATTTCTCTCTTGAAAACCTTACCTAGCTCTAACAGTTATTCAATCATAATGTCCACCAACCATGAACTTTCTTCAACCAAGTATAAAACCTACCACCTTGAAATCTGACTCAACCTTATATGGATAATGAATATACCTTCGGATTTTTTTTAACCTTGGTTCCCCCTGTCAGTATTGCTGATTGGAGGGGTAGATATGGAAGAGGAGACGCACAGAATGGCGTTGCCTGTATTATGTCTTTAGTCTTTACTAATATGAAAATCATGCAAATAGCTATCAGAGATTGGAATAAAGGCAGATGTTTTGGTCTAAAAAGGGATTTGTTGGCCAACAAATAATATCTAGGTATTCAAAACTGTGTATGTAAAACATGTATTTGTGATTTGAATGTTAGACTATCCGCCGTTGTTATTGTGTTGTTATTTTAGAACCAGGAAACACCGATCAACATGCCCCACCCCCTCACTTCCTTTGTTTTCTCCCACGTTGACCTATATTTTGAATCTGTTTGAGAGAAGATTACATACTGACAGAACAGCTTGATGCACTGCGATGTATAAATTCTGTTTTCTCTTACTCGCATAACCCTTGACAAAAGCAAAGTTATCATTATCCTTCACACCAGTGTGCACCCCTCCCCTCCTCCCCCCCCCCCTCACCTAGAAAATAGTCTTTAATCCCCGATTGCACATCCACTTAACTCTAACAATCTAAAAATATGTTTCAGAATGCACTGTGATTTAATGGGCCTCTTCATATTGAATCTTAACCTCAAAGGAGGCCCCCCAAACCCCCACCCCCTCACACCCTTCTTCCATGCGGGGGGTGTCTGATCCCTACTTGTACCTCTCCCTGCGGGAGACTGAACCCACCACTGCTTCACACGTAATTTATCTGAATCTGGAGGGATGCAATCATAGTCAGGTCTTGGCACTTAAACCTTGGTGTATAGGATATTATAGTCCATGGGAGGTAACCACTTTTTATGCACAGGATTCAGACCACATTTAATTGTAGGCATAGTAATAGTATCAGCGACTGCATCTCAAAGTTTAAAATTGTGAACAAATATAATTTTCACTTCAAATCAAAACAAAATCTAAAGTTCATTTATTTTTCTTTATTGACTGGATAACCCAGGCTACATAATTTCAATTATTTTAATGAGGATATAGACTTGATTAATTTAATGATACCCTTTCGACTGTTATTTCCTCTGAAGGTGTTTCCTTTGATAGTACGGAAATTTCATAATGTAAAAAAACTTTTGGAGATACATTTGCTTACCTTGAAAAAGTTAACTGAAACACTAAGCAAAAAGAAATATATTAAAGAGTTATTTTTGAATATGTGAAATCTGTTCACTTTTCATAGACTAAGTTCGACTAGTGACCCATATTTGCACCATAGTGCGAACTCCCATGATTATTAAGGTTTGATAAACTGCATATTTTTGGGTCATTCACAGGGCCTAGATTACATGTTGTGGCCTTTTGAGCTCAGGTGTGCTCCACCCAAAATTTTTATTATGGAACTAGTGACAATAGTTTTTAAAATTTCTACAATAATATAAAGCTTTTGGCGACTCAATCTAGCCTAGACAGTACTGTCTATTCTCAGTAATCACAATGTCAAGCTTCTAGGGTAGTAGGCCTACTAGTTTGGGATGAAGTCTGCTTAGGAGGAGAAATCCATATCGCAAACGTTGATAACGGGCGACTACGACTACGAACTTGTGTCTTATACCTTGGCTGAAATATTCGCCTATCTTGTGTCACGGCAGTTTATTAATGCCGCCATTTGATTGGACTGTACGCAAAGAAATACACCCAATCAGAGGCCTCAGCAGAAAGTATGCTGAACATAGCCTATAGGCCTAACTTTTTTTATAAGCCATAATTGTTTACAGTCTATGCAAACGGCTCTGATTGGATGTATTCGCTTGCGTATAATCCATTAAAAAAGCTACAGTCCATGATAGGAAGGTAGCTATTGCAGTCAAGGTATAAGACGAAGTGAAAATGAGTCATAAATAAGACACTTTTTCGGACTAGTAAAACTATAAGTTGAAACAAGAGTTGTCTCCCCTTATTAAAGTTTCCCACAATGCTTGAGGAATGAAAATTTTGTTTTGTTGTGGAACTAATGATTGGGAAAACGATTAAAATTAATAGCCTTTCTGAAATCATTTTAGTGTCTGGATTACTGTTTTGTGTAGAGGAATAGTTATTTTTTAAATGGGCCAAATTTTGACTCTTTCATTATTTACTAGCGGTGTAAATTAAAAACTAACTTTGCCTGTCTAAACAAAAATTCGTCTGGATGTCAAAATGGCTACTACATCGGTGAATGTCAGTCTGGATGATATAGATTTGTCTAGCCTAAGGGTACGTCATAATTTAATTTCCAGCTTTATGCTTAGCCATCAGATTTAATTGATTAGTGACTTCGACTTTGTTTTATCTTAGTGGATTTCGGTCGGGTCCAAAACGAATAATTCTTATTCCCTTTCTCGTGGGTTTGGTCTGTCAGTGTCACTAAATTTTGACCTAGTTTTTAAAAAGTTTTTTTTTCAGATTGAAGGGAGTGTTTGAGAGAAAGGATGTTGACTGTACTTTCTTGACATTCCAATCAATTATTCAGATAACTTGTCTTATTACGACTCGAATCCCTCTTAATTCGTTTAAAATGACAGACTGACTTGCTATTATCTAACAAGCTTTTGTTTAAGTTTGCTTAGTCAACTCTACATATTCTAACTAAGCCTACTAATTTGTCATCATTTTAGTAAAGTAAAGTTTTTGCTCGGCAGTCATGATCATCCAGATCGCCAATGAACAAACAGGCGTCCGCACCTTGTGACTGAACTATTCTCGGTACATGCAATAAAAATACAAAGGTCAATGAAAGTGTAAATGGAGATTTTTTTTATGAACATAAGCTTACACAGACACTAAATATGTAAAATGACTTTCTATGTACCAGTACCGTTACCTGGGATCCATAATTTTCATTCCTCTATTGTCCTTTTGTTTCTAGTCTGTTATTTATCATCTAGTGCCATTTTATAATAATGGTAAAAATGAAGGTGGGCCAATGTGAAAAAGCGTCTTGTCAATCAGATGATTACGGACATATAAACATTGCTTGAGAGTAGGCTACTGCCACCCTGGAAGAGATTTCCTCAGTGCACACTCCTTATGTTGCTCATGTTCCTTAGCTCAATCATAAACAAAATCATGTAAAACTCTATTTCATTTCTAATTTTTTGTTTTTTTTTCTAGGATCCAGCAGGCATATTTGATTTAATAGAAGTTGTAGGAAATGGGACCTATGGACAAGTCTATAAAGTAAGTAGATGAGATCTTGTGTGAAGTTCTAAAAATATGGACCTGAAATTACAAAATTTCCAACAATTTGTCTATGAGAATTTCCCTTCTTGATATTTGTAGAAATGTAACTGAATATCCTAGGATCTGCGATTCTTTCTCCCATTGAACACAAATCTACAGGTTTTTTTATCTATATGTAACATGGTGCAAATTGAGATAGTTTTAGATCTGCTGCACTGTCAATTAAAAAAAAATTTGTGTTCAATTATATTTAAACTTATTGATAGTAATTCTTAAATTGTAGGGTCGACATACGAAGACTGGCCAGCTGGCAGCCATTAAGGTTATGAATGTAACTGAGGTGAGAAATATTTTTATTATAGGTTGAGCTGGTGGTAGACATTTTTCTTACTTTCTTACGACAATGAGCTCCGAATTGAATTTTTACTGTCATATTCAAATAAAATATTGAATGGCAATTATGTTTTGGAATGACTTAGAAATAAAAGAAGTGATGTATTTATGTTTAAAAAATGGACACTTCCCTGCCAGAAATTCACTGTGAAAATGACCCACTTTTCAAAATGACAGTTCTATTCCTTAGTTTCGAAATTAACTTTGCAGGAATTTTTTTTTTTTTTATCGGTTGATATTTTCATCTTCCCGAAGACAACCCTCACCAGTATTTTAAAGTTGACATTTCAATTCTTTTAAAAAATCAATGACAAAATGCAATTCGGTAAACATTGTGGTTGTCAAAGTGGTTCAGTTCAAATCAAATCTTCCCTGGTCTACTAAAAATTTATTTTTGTGTGAATCCAGAGATTGTCAGGTGTGATTTTTCTTGGTCTGTTCTAAAAATATTTAATTCAAAATCTGCTTAAAATGATGCTGAAGATTCGAGGAACCAGAAAAGCACTAAAGTCATGTCATAAAATGCACAGAGCAAAGTTGAATGAAAAATTTTTGGCACTATCACAACCAGGACTTGAAAAAAGCGTCTAGACTCAGACATTGTCCGACACAATTTGGCAAATGTCTGGTACAATTTGGCAAATGTCTGGTACAATCAATTTTGAGCGAGACATTTTGTTATTTCACGCCTTGATTACAACATTATCTAAATCATGAAGAAATGAAAATTTATCTTTGAAGTTGTCAGCCACATTATACCTGTCTTCTATTGTGATCATTATCAGAAACATTCTACCAAAAGTTGCCTATGAGCTGATAGTAAATTGTAAAGGAAGGAAATTGTTGATTGTCTCAAAATTGATAATTCAAAGAGTTTTCCTTGTGTTTTATAGGAAGAAGAGGAAGAGATTAAACTAGAGATAAATGTGCTCAAAAAGGTAAGAATTGTTCTTATATTCAGACTTTGTCCCCAATGGACCTCCCGCTATTCCACTGTCATTTGTGCAAAGATATCCATGGCACTTTTCAGATTTTAACTTAAAAAACTTATGGTGCTCCAAAACCTCAAGCCTTTATATTTACCGGCATGCTTAGCTCCCAAATTGAGATAATCTAAAGCCCTGTGTATATTCTTTCAGTATTCTCATCATCGGAATATAGCTACTTACTATGGTGCTTTTATTAAAAAAGGTCCTCCTGGCAAAGATGACCAACTCTGGGTAAGCGCCTTTTGATAATGCTGGGAAAAGTGTACATAAAGAATTTTATTTGGCAATTTGTCAGCAGACACCTACCTCACTTCTATTTTGTGCTTCTCATTACATATAAAGTGCAGTCGTGGCTCATTGGGTTAGAAGCTTGAGCACTTTATAATCTTGAGGCCATTGGTCATGTTGTGGCAGAAGTTGGGATAAGGCTTTTGGGTTTTTTGACCCTGTTTTCTTATGTCAGGATCTTTGATGAAAGTAATGAAGCTTACATGGAAAATTTTTGAGTCTCTTGATATGGACAATAAATTTAGACTGCATAAATACTTATAGTTATAGTTGTAAATCGAAAAAAGAGCAGGCTATTTTGACAGAATTTCCTTAATGCACACAGCATGGTAATAATCATTTTTGTGAAATTATCAGAAAATGTAGAAAATAAATCTGTCATCATTTTAATGTCTATTTCTCTTGAAATTCTTTGTTTTGTATTGTTGCACAAAGCATCTTTCAAAATTGAAATCAAGTGCCAGGTTTGTCTGCTATTAATGAAGTACTTGACCTGCTCATTCATAAGTGACAACAGTTCTTGATATACTAAATGTAGGACTATGTGTCCTTCTTAATTATAAATAGAATACATTTACTGATTCTCAAAAATAAATTGTTTATGGTATAATTTCAGTTGGTTATGGAATTTTGTGGAGCTGGTTCTGTTACAGATTTAGTTAAAGGTAAGGCTCTTATATCTTAGAACTTCTGGTTTTCATACATATTAATGTTAATTCATTCAGTCACCTGTATTTTAACGGCATGCTTCAAGAAACGTCCAACAATTTTTACCTGTTGAAGCAGCCATTTGGTTTCTACCCTTGATTTAGATGAAATATGACACCCATTCAAGACATCTTAACTTAAGATAATTAAATCCATACAAGCAAGACAATTCAAAATCTTGTCCAAAGCAAGGCAAAATCAAGAGTTAAATTTGTATAGTTGTTGACTCCTTTAAAGAGAAGTAAATGTACCATCAGGTGTTTTGAAACGAGTAAGCTGGTCTGCTGGATGCTCAACACCCTTAATTGTCAAAATCGTGAGATAAAATCAGATCAGATACCATATAGCGACCATAAAATTTCCGAAAATGAAGTTTGATATTTCCTTGAATGCAAAATATACCTTTGAAATTATAAATTGGCAAATATGTGATAAATAAATGAAAAGGCAATGATTATTCATTATATGTAAGTGTAAACTCCTACTTCAAAATGCTGAAGGTCCAGGATTTAATCCCGGCATAGGCTGAGATCAACCCGGTTTCCCCCTGTCAGTGATGCAGGTAAGAGGGGCTGACATGGAAAAAGCGTCTAGTCATTCAGATGGGACAATAAACTGAGGCTCTGTGCTCTATAGGCTGTGCACATAAAGATCCCTTGACAGTTGGAAATCAAAAAAGAGCAGGCTAATGCCACCAAAATATCTCTCATTGCACCCTTCATGTCATCTTCATTAGCCCACATGGTGCAGAAAAGTAGGACGTAAAACTCTATTCATTTCATTTCATTTCAAAATAATGAAATAATTGTTATTGTAGCTACAAAGGGGAATTGTTTAAAAGAAGAATGGATAGCCTATGTTTGTAGAGAGATATTGAGGGTATGTGTAATTTCTTACTATTTTTTGTTTAATACAAAAACTGGCTATTTCTCTAGAATTATTTGATTGACTAAGATATAAGATAACTATAATAAGATATTACATTATGTTAATTTATAGGGTTTGGCTCATCTCCATGGTAATCATGTTATACATCGTGATATTAAGATATAAAAATCTATTATTTTATAGGGTTTGGCTCATCTCCATGGTAATCGTGTTATACATCGTGATATTAAGATATAAAGTTCTATTATTTTATAGGGTTTGGCTCATCTCCATGGTAATCGTGTTATACATCGTGATATTAAGGGTCAGAATGTTTTATTAACTGATAATGCTGAAGTTAAACTAGGTAAGTCCAGTCGAGTGCAGCTTGTTTACTGTTGCTCTTCAATCTTTTGTTAATAAACCCAGGCCCGGTGTGCTACAGGCTGTGCACGTTAAAGATCCCTAAACAGTTAGAAATCGAAAAGGAATAGGCAAATGCTGCTGTCCCTCATTGCACCCTGCATGGAATTGCCCGTCTTCATTAGCCCACATGGTGCAGAAAAGAAAGACGTAAAACTCCTTTCATTTCATTTTTCATTTTAATGTTTTGTTCAAGTCTGTGTAGTAGGGTATTATAGGCAATAATGATGGGATCTAGTATTAAGAAGTTTAAGATTAATTATTTTACTGCTCTCTCTCGGATTTAAAAAGATATTTTTCCACTAATTTAAATACTTATTTGAATATTTAAGTTGATTTTGGTGTTAGTGCCCAGTTAGATAAAACAATAGGGAGAAGAAATACTTTTATTGGGACGCCATATTGGTAAGTTACTTTTGTAATATAGACATGATAATATCAGATAAAAATAAATTGTAGTTAATGAACTCAATTTTAAATGATGTGAAATAAAAAACTGAAGGGGGAAAATACTGGGATATTCATTCAGCATCAACAAGGTAAACAATAAAACCAATTCCGTACTGTGTAAACATTAATACTTGCCTCTAACATTGTGTTGTGGCAGTGGAATCGCCCAGTCGGTAGCACGTTGTCGTCTGCTAGGTGATAGGTGCCGTGGGTTCAAATCCTCTTCAAGGTAAGAAAAATTCTGATGTCTGTGACAGTGCTTTCGAGGGTTGGCCCGGTGTCGGCTCTCACCCCTTAATACCTGACATTGCCCGTGCCAGGCTATATGAATACCTCCTTGAAGGAGTTGTCGTCTGCAAGGTAATAGGTGCCGTGGGTTCAAATCCTCCTCAAGGTAAGAAAAATTCTGATATCTGTGACAGTGCTTTCGAGGGTTGGCCCTGGTGTCGGCTTTCACCCCCTAATACCTCGATTTTTGATCTTCATAAATTTTTCTTTTGGTATAATATGTAATATTATATTTTAAGGATGGCTCCTGAAGTAATAGCTTGTGATGAAAATCCTGATGCAACATATGATAACAGAGTAAGTTTAAATTTCATGTTAAAGTACTTCTAATAAAAACCCAAAAATTTAATTCAATTATTATTTAAACTCTTTCAATTCAGCTTTGCCTGTCAATTATTAAAGGGATACTACCACTTAGAATGGACATAAAATTTAAACTCTCCAACTTGGTCAATAAGAGTTTAGATTCATCAGTTGGACTTACCATGACTAAATAATATAATTTCTATATAAGACAATATATCCATTAAACTATCCTAAGAAGTAATATAGCTTGAAGTGAGTGTGTCATAAAGTTTTAAGCGTTGATTTTGTATACAATTCAATTGTTCAGGTGTGCAAGTAACATGAAAAGTATATTAATATTAATATATACCGTACTTTCAGAGTGATCTATGGTCATTAGGTATAACTGCAATAGAAATGGCTGAAGGAAAGCCACGTAAGTTAATCAAATATATTCTTAAAATTTATTATCATCAAGAGATGAATTAAATTCCATTGCATAGAATGGCTGAACTTGTTTGAAAAATGATGAAAGTGGGAAGTCAACTTTAAAGCAATGAAGAATGTGAATCATAAAAATATCATAATGAAGTTATATCTATTGTTAATTATTAATGATTTTGTATGTTTATTTCAGCACTCTGTGATATGCACCCTATGAGGGCCCTGTTCCTTATACCTAGAAACCCACCTCCACGACTCAAAAATCCCACAAAATGGTAAGATGATTATCTTATTTGTAGGATTTCAACCGCACACTTACACGTCATAGAAACATTACTACTCCTTTCTATCTTTACATATTAAATGATGTTAACATCAAAATCTGATAAAAATTTCACAATAGTAAAAGGCTGTATGAATGTTTCAAATATCATGGTGGTGCTTGATTAAAGAGTTTTGTACTAGTTCCATCTGTTCTAATTCTGACCCCCATCGAATAGTATGAAAGCAGTTATGTCACTTTTTATTTGATCTATTTTCGGCCCATTTTGAATTCTGTCTGCATCTACTATTTTTGTCTATTCCATCTTGTTGTATTGACTGTGCTGTTGATTCCAAAAAATCCCTAACATAAACAATTCACCAGTTGAGCAGCCCCGTAGAAAGATTAAAACCTCTATCTCTTCAGCAACTAAAAATGATTTATAACTAATGTCCATTAAATGGAGATGCATATATATTGATAATTGTTTGGTTTATGATTCCTTGTTTAAACTTAAAAAGAAAGTGATTGTTGATTTTTCGTGTACAATTAAAGGATTTAAATTCAAATTGAGAATAGGTTTGTTTATGATAAACCTAGTTTTATGTTAGATTTTAGGTACTGAATCAAAACCTATTTTCGTTATTTTGCAGGTCGAGTAAGTTTCACAATTTCGTTGAATCTTGTTTAATAAAAGATTATACTCAACGCCACAACACTGAACAATTACTCAAACATCCATTCATACGTGATCAACCTACAGAACGACAAGTTCGAATTCAACTTAAAGATCATATTGATAGACATAAGAAGAATAAAAAGAGTAAGTTTTATATTTTTTAGATATTATTGCTAGAATTTTGGACGTGGATATAAATTATATCATTTCAGTTGATGATCATGATACAGAGTATAAATTATGAATATAAATTATAATATTTCAGTTGATCATGATACAGAGTATAAAATATGAATATTAATTATATCATTTCAGTTGATGATCATGATACAGAGTATAAATTATGAATATAAATTATATTATTTCAGTTGATGATCATGATACAGAGTATAAATTATGAATATAAATTATATTATTTCAGTTGATGATCATGATACAGAGTATAAATTATGAATATAAATTATATTATTTCAGTTGATGATCATGATACAGAGTATAAATTATGAATATAAATTATATTATTTCAGTTGATGATCATGATACAGAGTATGAATATGAAGGAAGTGATAATGATGAAGATGAAGAAAATACAATGCCAGGAGAACCAAGGTAATCTAATATTTCCATGTCAATGTTTGAGTTAAATATGCAGTATATATTTCTATGTAAAACATTTTGAATGTTGTCAGGGACCAACCTTATCTTAATTTAAATCCTTAATAAAATATGTAAGATGTAACCATGTGCCACTTAAGGCTCAATTGCAAATTTAAAAACCACTTGGAAAGCTTTTGACAAGTTGTAGTGAGGCCAAATGCTTTTTTACAGATAAGCTATCAATGCGAAGGTGTATTTTTAATATCATTCCAAATTTTTTTCCAATCTTTTTCAGTTCTATATTACAAATACCTGGTGAATCAACACTTAAACGAAACTTCCAACAGATTCAAGAAAGAGAGGGCAGACGTAATCAACAAGCTAAAAGTCGTCCTCTCTCACACCATCAACAACAACAACAACAGCAACATCATCAGCATCATCAACACCAACAAATCCAACATCATCTTCCACAGCCCCATCAACAACAACAACAACAACGCCCACCATCTAGTCATTTTCAACAACCATCACAAAGCCACAATTTGCCAAAGCAATTTCCCATGCAGTCACGACTCATAGGTTCGTTAGCATTTTTTTTTATGGTTGCAAATTGTTATATGAAATTTCTGGTGAATTAATTATTGTCTGAAAAATTTCAATGTGAAGAAAAATGGCTATCTGAAAAAGAAATTGCTATCTGAAAAAGAAATTGCTATCTGAAAAAGAAATTGCTATCTAAAAAGAAAATTACCATATATGAAAGACTTTCAAAAAAAAAATTTACTTATTTTTATATACTTATATATACTTGAAAATGAGATCTTTTCACAATATAAAACTAACATTTGGTGTATCTGCAATTAAATAACACTTCTTTAAAAAAAATTCCGATTTTGTCTCAAAATGTAGACATGAGAATAAGTTCTACTTGTCCAACTTCAGTAGGGATGCAGGCTGACAATAGGTCAGTTGTCTGAAGATCGTATAACCTAAAACTCTTGCAACATGTTTCTGTTTTAATATTACTATATATGAAATGTATGCCTGGAATGTATACAATATATACTATTCATAATGCTAGTTTTAATATATTCTGATTTTAAAGCTAGTCAACCAATTAACATCCCTCAACTCTTAATGAACTCTTCCAAACATGTGCTTTTCCTAGTGATACGATTGTTCAGAAGAGTTCATTTGTTAATAAAGGTTGTTTTTTTGTCGCCAGTCAATCACAGATATAAGTGCACATCCCAGTCTGTTTCAAAACAAAAACATAAGCAGTTTACTTTATGGTTAGGTAGTATTCAACCAAGTATAATACCTCATTCGATACTTCTCATGATTACGGTGTTTACAGTTCAATGTTGTGAAATTCCGTTCTCTCTTATTTACTATTTGTAAAGTCATGAAAATGGAACTTCAAATGAGGATGACAAAAGTGTATAAAATGCAACCTCTTCGTCCACTATAACTATAAAAGTTATGAATAATGCCAGAACGGTAAACACCATTTTCACAGCAGGTATCCAATGCAGCATAAGACTAGTCTTTAAAGTTTCCATTAATATGTATACTACCAAAAAAAAAGTAGACTGACCAAATTTCTATTTGAAATCAGATCTGAATGTGCATAAATTTCTTTTCTCGACTAATAATCTTTGTCTGACTATACAGTCTAAATATAATGGGATCAAACTTTCGTTCTGTTTTTATATAGTCTTTTATTTTCAATATAACCACTTTAGTTAGGATCTAACAACTAACCTCTTGAACATTCCACAAATGAACTTTTTAATCAAACTCAATGATGACCAATCAAATTTCTTCCCTCTCAAGTTCTGGCATTTTGTGAGGTTAGATCTAAAGTTTAATTTGATGAACATTCAAGAGGACTGTCCTTAGACCCTAACTGAAGTAGCTATATTAAAAATAAAAGCTAATAAAAAAAACGGAACAAAAATTTGCTCTAATTTTATCTAGACTGTCTGACTATATAACTGGCTACGGGTTTTAACCAAAGCACAACTTTTAACCAAAATATTTAACAAAACTCATTAGTTTCTCTTCTATTTTTCTTTCATAATCTCACAATCGGCTGTATTTGTACACCACCTCTTTCTAACTGAATCTAACCAAAACTTCCACTACTAATAATACTACTGCTATATTGGACCTACCATCAACTTATATAGTTCTTCCAGATGCTAATAATCCAAGTTCTGGTGCTATACATGCTAGTGCTGTTCATTCTGATAAACCTACTGGAATGTTTTCTGGACAAGCTCACAAACCAGAGGTAGGTATACATTGTTATAAATATGGGATTGTAAACAGGTTTTCTGAAAAATTTATGTGTATCAGGGACACTGGTAAAATAAATAGCGCCATTCCAATTTTCAGACAACTGTGGTTCCTGCAATTACACTCAAACTAAGTGTTTGATAGATAATTGCACATGATTTATGTGATAAATTTCGCAATTAGAGATACCATCAAACACTTATTTTTTGCATGAATTGCAGGAACCACAGACTGATTGAAAATTGGAATGGTCCAATTTTACAAATTTAGAAAACCTCTTTACCACCCCTTTAACATCATCTTCACAATGTCATAGTATTACGAAGAACTTTATCTAATACCTTGACATAATTAGGCACCATTCTTGTACCAGGTAGTTAACCAGAGTTCCTATTGTCTGTTCCATTTTGATATAGGGCTGACCATTGTCTGTTTTAAGACTGGTTGTTTCGTCTTTGCATTTGAAGGAAGTAGGAAAAGTACTATTTCCATAGAATTGAAGCTAGTAATGAACCATTGCTGTACATAATGAGGTTAATATTATAGAACATTGAAGTCTTCGATGTCATTTGTTAAGTTACCATAATGGTAGTTGTGGGTTTTTATCTAAGTCAGCACGCAAAAATCTGTTGACCTTTAATTATCTTTTCTCATTATTCCAATCGACCTAGCTGTAAATTGGTACTGGTAATCCAGGACAGATCAATTCTGACATATTTGGCCAAATATCAGTTGGTAGACAAGATTGTCCAGACAGAAGTTGTTATTCTTATGAATTAGGAATTGTTTTGCACCTGAAATAAGTCTTGAACAACCAGGCTATTATTTTGTTGACGTTTGGTTATTCAGGATTTAGAACAGTTAGCAGCACATCTACGTAAAATGGGTGGAGAAGAACGACAAGCTAGAACTGTGTATGTTGAAGATGATGATGATGATGAAGATGATGAGGAAGATGATGATCTGATCCATAGAGATGGAACATTACCTGCTTCAGAACCTCCACGTCCATTGTATGTTCTTATTTTGTTGATTAAGATTGTCTTGTTGCTTGATAGAATTAAAAATCAAATGTATTATAGATGTGAACTCTGCGAAAGGATTTTTCTGCCCCCAAGTTGTTAGCGTTCACTTGTTTGGAAGAAGGAGGATGCGAATTCTAAAATGAAAGTAGAATTCACACAAAAAACGAAAACAAGATCTGTTAATAATGCAAAACACAATGCCACAACAGTGATCATTTGTGTTTTTCTTCAAGACTACAATATATCCAATCAGAACATGGTATTGATATTTTCTGTTTTCCAGACACCATGATATCCCACCTTGATACCCATGTAAGAGTAACAAATATGAAATTGTTTTTGTTGGCATTAAGTAATTCAAATGAATTTTTGTTCTGAGATTAATCAAGATTATGTTTTATTTTACAGACCTGTTAGCTTTAATCAAGATACTCTTCAAACTCTTTCATCCATGGTAATACATGAAGGTAAGCAACTCTGTCTTTACTTCACAGAAATGTCTGTAGAATAGTGCTCAAACGGTTACTGATTTGTACCATTCTGATATACTTAACTAGCAACTTTTAGCTGATATTTTTTAGATTTTTGAGTGTTTATATCGATCTGAACTATGAACTATATTTCTAAACTATTCTATACCTCTGAATAGAAATAGTAAAACAGAACCTTAAAAAACATGTTGTTTTTACTCAGAGTTTCTCGTTATGCGATCTTCAGTTATCTGTTTGGTCAGTTATTGAAATTTTGTACATAGCCCATGAAGAGTAGTTTTATTCTAAAAAATCATAAATAAATAATTTGATGCCTATTTTTTCCAGATATGCCTAACACCCAAGTGCCAATTAGCTCTAATCTTTCAAGACTTTCTGAAGAGGATGGTGATAGTACTCTGAAAGCTCCTAGAAAGGTAGGATCAATTAGTATTTCCTATTTACCATTGCAGGGATCCCTTGGATCTATTAAAGGAAATGACTTCCAAAGCATCTTAAAATGGTAACAGCTCTCCTGCTCTAGACTGGAGACTATGTCCCCCTATGACCTTCTATTTCCTACATATTCATTTTGTTACTTACTGGGATAACTTTTGATAACTTTCGGTTTGAAAAAATGAAATATTGTGATATAATAAAAAATAATTTACCATGAAATTTTTGTTTTGATAATGTCATCTGCACAATCCCAAGTTTATAATTGAAACATCACAAAATTGTAATTGACTATCTGTTTATTAAAATATTTAACATCAACATTTAAAAGGTTTCAAATTGTTATATTGTTTTAAGTTTGCTCGTGGAGGAATCATAATTTAATTCTTAAATATTTAGAAAGCCTAGTAGTAAAATTATGTACCACGGTTCTTACGAGTTAACATAAATGATCATCAATAAAGACACATGCTTCATTTAACATGTGATAAATATAAAATGATTGACAGATGGAACTAATTATTGAACACGTTACCGTTTTATCCAATGAAATTGAAGCTCATGCATGTCATGATTTTTTTGGACTAGTTTGTAGCATATTTAAGCTCCACCTTCTTTCCTCTAAGATTCTATTTGCCTTCAATGTTAAATTATCCAAGTATGGTACAACAACAAAATGCTGATAATAAGTCATGGTTTTCCTCAAACACATATTTTGAGCAAATTATACATTAAAGATATGGAAGGAAAAAATGCAATTAATGTTACAATAAAAAGTTGCTCAGTGTAACTAACCTTCACTGTTATCTTTAACATATTATTTGGACCAATGTATGTCTGTCTCCCCTTTCCTCTTGAATCAACAATTTTTAACCTTCTTGACCTTTGTATGGTAGCTAGACAAAGATTGCTTTGAAAGGGAAGTTTGGGTCTTGAATATATGTAAATAAACTTCAGAAGTACTAGAACTGAACAAAAATCGCATAATCCCTTCAAAAATACCTCAAACTAGGAATTTCACTTTCTCTTTCTATATATATATATGTTTTTTCTATATATGGATTTGAAGGTTCATATTTCAACGGTGAGCTATGAACACCATTACTGATTAGCTTAGCTCAAAAATTCACGCTTTTGAGTTATGATTGGTGGAAGGAATGGTGAATTGGTTGAATTTTTCAAGAATTTTAGTGCATGATTTTTTTCATTGATTATTTAAATTTGTGACATGGATATTGTTATGCTGTCTGTAGGCTTAGATAACAGATTCATTTCAACTGCTCTTCAGAAGATGAAAAAATGAACATGGCATGGCACCTGCCACAAATCATGACATTTTCAGATATTCCATCCGTATATGCTTTCCGAGAACTGATAGGGCTAGATTTATTGATAATACAGGACATGGTGTAAAGCAGTGAAATTTCACACAAAACTGTTCTGTTCTAATTTTTCTGCAAGTGTTAAGATGAAACCTTTTTATACGCCCACATCTCTCTATGTTCGGCACCACTGTCCGTCCGTCAACATTTGCTTGTAAACGCTCTAAAAACTAGATTTTTTTTATGGAATCAAATGAAATTCGGTATGTGAATACATATTCATTAAACGAAGATCAAGTTCGAATTTGAGCTATTTTCGACCGTTAGAAGCAGAGTTATTGCGCTTGCCCCAAAATCTTGAATATTTACCATCCTCATGCCATGGTGGGCATATATGGCTGTCGTCCACCATCTTTATTTTAGCTATGTAAAAACTGCATCTTTGCCTTAGTGAGAAACAGTGACATCATCTCAAATAAAAAAAATTTCCATGATTCCAACTCACTTGAAAACTAATCAATTTTTCATTAAAAATAATGAGTTAGTTTGTGACATTGATATGTAAGATAAGACGTTACTAGGTTACAGAAGCAAACATGACATCACTCTATTATATCAAGTTACAAAGGTAAACAATAAATCTGATATGTCAACATTTCTAGTTTACAATCACAAAGATTGTACAAAGACAGCCGTTGACTAATCCCCAATATATGGCACAAAGCACATTTCTAGGATTTCTAAAATGTATTAAAATTGAATTTTCAAAGTGATTTGTTTGTTCAGAATGATTGTTCTGGCTTGATACAAATACATCTGTTAATTTTGAATTTTAGATAAGCCCTCCACTTACCATTGATTTTTAAAACGTCCTTAACTTATTTATTTCTACCATGTTTCACTATAGCAAGTAATCCTTTATCAAGTTTATGAATGTTGAAATTGGACTATTAACTTAAATTGTACCCTGGTTTAGAGTATATTTTATTCTTCGCAGTGTTCAGAGGATTCAATACTCTGACTGAAAAAAGCAAAATGTTTTAGCATTTTTAGATTTTTTAACAGAATTGGAATATCAGCCTTAAAATATTACTGCCAGTCTTAAAATGTCTTTTGCATTGATAAAAATATATTTTTTGTAATTTTACAGACAAACAGTAGGGATAACATGGGTAGCTCTCTTGTCTTTGTCTTGGTCTGATTAATAAAAAATTATCATAGTAACTATGTTATGTGGTATTATTAGTAAACAGTTAGTCCAACAAACCACATCTGTCATCTCATTAACAATATACTTCAATAATATAACTACACCTGCTCATCTTTCTATAGTTCTTTTAAAGTGATACTACGTCTTAGAATGAACATAAAATTTAATTCTCAAGAATGGTCAATATGAGTATATATTCATCAATGAACTTACCTGGTGTCATAAAGTTACAACAGAATACCTGTAAAATCTAGAAAAATGGCAAATTCATAAAACAAAGTAATTATTCAAATATTCATAATATTAAGCATTTTTCAATAGTTATGGAGATTTATGGATAATTACTAAGTTTTTTGGATTTATCGGATTATATAAGGATCCTGTTATGTTATATATGACACTAGGTATAACCTCTGATGAATATATACTCTTATTGGCCAAGTTTAAATTCTTATATTTTATGTTCATTCTAAGACATAGTATTCCAGTTTAAAAACATTCTAAAGTATTAGAAATAGAAAATGTATAGAAGTTATTAATGATATAACAGGTCTAAATCATTATAGGGTGTCTATTGTTCCTGTAAATATAAAAATGTTAAACTGAATGAAATTACTATTGCATAAGCTTCCAGTAATATCTTAAGAGCCATGGCGATAGTGCTATCATCAAACACTTGCAAAACACACAGACGTTTGACTTAAATTCAGAATGGAAGTGAAGCCATTACTGTCCCTGATACATATAAAAATTGTAGAAAACCTCTTTACAATCCCTTTGATGACGTTACTACTAATCATTGATGATTGGAATTCAAAGGATTATTGCCACTCAAAGACTAATAAGGTTTCAGCCTCAGACTAATTAAAATTAGACCAAACTTTTCTTCCATTTTTATTAGCGTTTATTTTTAATATAGCCACTTCATTTAGGGTCTAAAGATGGCCTTCTTGATGATACTGCCAGCCAATCAAATTCTTGCTATCTCCAACATTGGGACTTTGTGACACAAACAAAAGGTGCATTCAGTGTCAAATGATTCTCAGAATACACATTTTGTTTGAGTTATTAAATGTTCAAGAAGGCTGTCTTTAGACCCTAACTGAAGTGGCTATATTGAATATAAAAGTTAATAAAAAAACAGAACAAAGTTTGGTCTCAGTCTTATCTTGAATGATAATATAATATATGAAGTCAGTGAGATAAAGTATTATTGATTATCAGTAATTATTAACCTACTAAAATAATAAATACAGTAATAAAACTTGTTATTAATATTTATATTGTTATTATCTAGTTAAACGGAAGTTGAATCATAACTTCGATATTATGTTAAAGGCACAGGTTTGCCTTTTTGGAGGGTTGAATTTGGTCTTGAATTTATATGTAAATAGCCTTCAGAAGTAATTGAAATGTATGAAAACTGCCTTCAAAAATCTCTTTACTAGAAATTTCACTTTCTATTTCTGTTTGTGTCTGTTTAATGCATGGCAGAGTCTCAAGAAAAGACGACTTGTCTTTTTAACTTTGAAATGTGGATAATTTATTTTGGACGCACATGAATTTGAAGGCTCAAATTTCAATTAATTACTGATTAGCTTTGACAGCTATTTTTAACTTAGTAATTTTGTAACATGCTTAGAAGCTCTGTCAATAATTACTTAGTTTAATAGATATATCATCTTATATAGAGATTTTATTCTTAAATCATGGCACCTGGTAAGTTCAACTGATGAATATATACTCTTATTGACCAAGTTTGAGACTTTAAATGTTATGTTCATTCTAAGCAGTAGTATCCCTTTAAGTAACATTTCTGAACAAAAAAATTGTAGTGGAATTACTTTAATCCATTATTCACCATTAAATGCTATATCTATTTTAAAACATTTCCAATAAAATGAAATTTTACTCTGTAGAATTAAACATTTTTAAAGATGGGTTCCCTTATTTCTATTTAAGAAAATGAAAATGCTAATACTTATATGAATAGAAAGTAGAGGTGTTCTTATGACTTGGAAAAATACCAGTTTGTCTCACATGTCCATAATTAATTCATAATTAGCTAAATTAGAAGAGAATTACCAGCAGAATTCCAATGAGTGACCTATCAAGAAAGGTCAAAAATTCTTATTTTGTGTATCCAGACTATACATACATGGACATTGGTTAAAACTTATATGAATAAGAACATAATAATATGATTAAGAATACATGAAAATTCATTAGAAACACCAATTAATCAAATAGTTTGCTTAATTTGAAACTAAAAAACACAGAAACCCATCTTTAAGTCTTTATATTTCAAATTATTGACTATTCGTGTTGATTTTTCATAAGATACAATTCGTTTTTACTAAAAATTTCTGCTAGAATTTGTCATCATCCAAGATGTCTGCGATGAAATTATAATAGTTGAATTGCCGGAAAAACCCTGCAGAATTTCAGAATAATGTCTTGATGAGTATTTAAGAGAAAATGAGACGAGGCATTATGTTGAGTAATTTGCTGAAAGTGACTAGTCAGTGAGGGGAGCTAGCCTGCAAGTGGTAGTGAAGAAGTGAAAACATTGGTCATTATAAAACAGGTCAATATGACAAATACAGATAGTGAAAATAAATCAATATTCTCCTTTCCAACATGTAGTTATCACTGCCAGTCGTGTCATACACTATTATACTGGAACTAGCTACTTGCAGAACTATTCCATTCAGCAGCAGGAATTCCTGACAATCAATATGGCGTAGTTGACTTGGGAATTACAACGCTGTTGGAATTCAAACTTGGAGTTGAATTTAAGAATGATATTGGATTTCTTTGGCATTAGTATTAAGTTTCTGAAGCGTCAGGATTGTTAGATAGTGGAATCGGAAAATATTTTGGTAAAATTCCTGGAAGTGCTAAGAAAATCAATGAGACAGACAATTGTTGATAGTAGGTTAAATTGGTGCCAGTGTAAAATAACTGTGAAACGGTACTAGTATAATGACTATGTTGCTAGGATGGTATGGATCAATAGCCAATAAGTAGCTAATAGTAATAATAAGATGATATATCATTGATATGTAATACTTGTCATAATATATACTGTTATTACCAATAGTTATTATTATGATACATCATCTTCATTATTGACAATATACTGTCCATCACTCTGGACACTGTTTATATGGTCAACGATCTCAAATATGTGTTTTTAAGATACCACAGATGTTTTAAACTTCGATTAGATTCTGTGTATTTTGTCTGATTTGATCTTTCTGTAGGATTTATCAGTGACCTTGGATAATATACGTAGTAAGGTTGAATGTTGTTATTCTACTTAAAGAGAAAATGCTATAAAGAATATCTAATGCTGAGAGTTGTTATTCTAATTTGTGTTTCCGATATTAACTAAGTCATCTGGTAGCTGTTTTGGATTTTGATTTCTTATAGACTTTGGTTCTTGGGAATGAACAAAGTATTTGTGACCTTGGCAAACCATTTTTGATATCTTGTTGCTATTATTGTTAAATTGCACACAGTAAAAAAAAAAATCACCATAAAGCAGAGAATTTTATGCGTTTCATTCTTGCTGAATTGGATAAAATTCTGTCATCAGGAAACTATTTGGATTGATATAAGATTCTGAAATATAGACTTGGAGCAAACAAGCATTGATGTAGAGGTGTTATATTTTGACTAAATTGTGTTTGGGATATTGAACCCATTATCAAGAAAGCTGATTTTGACATTGGAATCAAAAAAAAATTAGACTTCAAACCAACAACCATTAATGTAGAGTTGCAAATGCAAAAAGTGTTGTATTTTGAATTGTGTTTTGGGATATTAAACCCTTCATCAGGCAACCTAAATTTTATTTTGAGTTAAAAAAAAAAAACTTTGAACTAGCTAATTCAACCTAGTTATGACAACATGGTGTTATAAATGATATATTTGTATTAAAGAGTAATATATTAAAGTAACAATATGTTATATAATTCTATATCTAGTGATACCTCATTATTTGACTATTATAAAATCATAGATAATTATTATTATATTTTAGTAGAGGTATGCTATATTTTCATTATTAAAAGTGATAATTTTTTTTTCCATGTCATTCTTCCCCCAATCAATCAGTATGAAAACAGATTTACCCATGTTTTCCTTCTCCACCATTTTGAATTCTGTCCAACCTACAACCTACTATTTTTTCAGAATCCTGTTTTAACTTTTTTTATTGAAAGGTTCTGTTGATTCCATGAAGCCCGAATGTGCAGAACTCACAAATCCAGCAACCCTAGGGATCACTTAATATTTGGCAATTGGACACCATTATTTGGGTCTGAAACAATAGCTTTTACAATCGTGTAATCTTGATTTTTAGGTCCTTACAGGTCTTCTTCTTTTCTCCAGTCTCAAACACTTTGCAAGAACTTTAACCAGTGATTGATTTTCCATAAAGCTGTGTGTATATATCTTATTAATTGCTAAATGTATTTCAAAAGACTTAATAAGTATGTTATTGCCCCATCATTATGTTCTCTGTATTTATATTTCAGAATAAGTCTGATCCTTCGTTTCTTGATAATGGTGATAAATATCGTGATCGGCGAAATGATGGTGGCTCTAGAAATAAACCTCCAGTTGCACACATCCACAGAACACAATCAAATTCTTCTGCACCTGGTGCTCTTGGTAAGTATTTCTCTTGTTTAAAATTCCTTGTTATATGAATTATGAATTTTTTAGGTAAAGGGAATATTATCCACGAATATCTTGATGTTAATTGAAAAATCAGCTTCAGAGTAGGCCGATGAAAATATATAGGTGCATATTTTGAAAATTGTATTTAACGGAGGGCAATTTGTTGTCCATCTGTCCAAAGTTCTTGTAGCATTCGTCCAATTTGGTTTGTAGACACAATAGAGCCCCGGTTCCCAACCTGGGGTGTTTTCACCCCCTGAAGGTGTGGGACTAGGGTGTCAGGGGTGTGGCCAACTGTTTCGTAGGAGAAGAATTTTTTTTGAGTTGAGAGAGCACCTCACATCATCACATGCTGCAAATGTGGATGAAACAAATTTTTGGGGATGTGAAAGGTCCAGGTTATTGCTCCAGGGGTGTGAAGGCTGAAAAAGGCTGGGAACAACTGCAATAGAGGCTTGTTTGTATCCTAATGAAACTTGATATGCATGTATATATTGATGAGATCTCATGAGAAAATTTGTTTTTTAGTTTATAAAAACACTTGTCATTTTTGACAACTGCTAGTGGGTGTATGTTACCTTGTCTGGCAAGCTATCTTACAAAATTAGCTTGATGCTTTTCAACTCTCAGGTTTGATCCTCTACTGTGTACAGTAACCTAAAGGTTTATTTGGTAATATTTTCATTATCATCTTTAAGCTTATTTGATGTTTTCAGGTATGCAGTCTCCTAGACATAGTACTAGTAGTAATGTATTACCTGATCTTCTACCCCCTCACACGCCCCCACAGCCACGATCTCCCGCCTCTACCCCACAACGTCCTCAAGATAAAACAACATCAGACGAGGTAAATATAGTATTTCTATATATTGGTACGGCAATATTAGTTGGTTAGTAGTTGGTTTAGAATAGTTAAAGGTATACTATCTCTTAGGATGACCAAAAAATTGAAATTTTAAAACTTGGTTAAAATGAGTCTATGTTCATCAGTGGACTTACCTAGTGTCATAACTATACAAAAGAATCCTTCTATAAGCTAATAAATCCATATAACTAAGTAATAATTCATTAAACTAAGTAATTTTGAAACATGCTTAGAAGCTTTATTAATTATTGATTTTAATAGATATATCGTGTTATATAGAGATTCTATTCTTTAGTCATGGCACCTGGTAAGTTTAACTAATGAATATATACACTTATTGACCAAGTTTAAGACTTGAAATTTTATGTCCATTCTAAGAGGTAGTATCCTTTTAAAATGGTTTATCAAATAGTTTCTGAGATATTGTTAATGATGTGACTCTGAACAATCAAGCTTGTCTCTTGTGATATTATTCCTCATTGTGGTTGGCCTGACTTCATGAAATTTAGAATAGAAATGAAATGAGTTTTTATCCTAAATTACCCTAACCTTAGTCATGCATGGAGTTTCTCTACAACATAAATGTCATGGAAACATTGACTAATTATTCTCGCTCCTGTTCAATGAGTTAACCCCCAATTTGCTACACTTCCTGATGAAAATTGTGTATCAAAAACATGTCCTGGCAGCATGATTTGAGCTCTTATTATCAAAAAGTTATGCTAAGTTGTGTCATTTTCCTCTTAAAATTTATTGTATGTGATAAGTTGACTAAAAATACAAATGTGAACTCAGCATTGTGTAAAGTAGTGTCAGATTTTAGCATTATGAGTAAACTGATAGAAAAAAAGGAGAATTTAGAATCAGATTTGCTATTATTGTGAAAGATGCTTTAGCACTTTGAATGTAATTATATTAATGAATTTGTTGTTTGAATTTTCACAGCACTCAATAACCTAGAGATTTTAAACAATATTCTAATATATTAACATTTATTGACCACTTTGAATATAACCAATTTAAACCATATAACATTAATAATAACAATATAACATTAATAACATTAATAATAACAATATAACATTTATGAGCATGAATTGATGAATACTGCATCATTTTAACTGGCTTACTTTGATTCTCTTTTTACTTCAAAAAAATACTAGAAAACTGATTTGATGTTCGTGGGTTTGCTGTTAGAAATATCAATATCATAACCTTGGTTAATAATAAAAATAAAAAGGTAGAAATATGATTGGTTGATTTTATCAAGATGACAAAATTGTATCCAATCAGATTCCTTGATATTATATTGTTAAAGCGAGAATGTGCAGATAATTGGAATAAAGATCAAGCAAATTAAATTCATTAAAACTAGAATTACTCCCTTTATTTGCATTAAAGAGATTGTAAAGAGGTTTTCTAAATTTTGTTAGTGTATCTGGAACACCGATAGCATCAATTTGTACCATTCCTATTTTTAATCAGACATATGTGGTTCCTGCAATTCCACTAAAACGAAGTGTTTGACGATGTCACTAATTGCAAAATATGCTTTATCACACATTCGCGATTAGTGACGTCATAAAATGCTTAGTTTCAGTGAAATTGCAGGAACCACAGATGTCTGATTGTAAATTGGAATGGTGCAAATTGATGCTATCAGTGTCCCTGATACATATAAAAAATTTAGAAAAACCTCTTTACAATCCGTTTAATGAAAAAACCCAAGAATTAATTTACAATGTTTACAAAAATTGATAAATTTGTGTTCAATGGGAGACTTAAGTTCATTCAATAATTCTTGATAATCTGGCACATACTTCCCCTTTAACAGAACCAAAAGTTTTATGACCTTTTTTGACATCAGGCCCATGAGCATGATGTGAATTGAATTGTTTTTATTGATTTCCCTTTTTATGAATATTTACATTGTTTTTTAACAGGTTTTGAATTGTATTATGGTTTGCTAAATACTAACATAGCTTGCTTAAACTAACCTTCTAATATTAATTTAGTTCTATGTTGCTCTTAGAATTATATTCTATGCGTTTCTGGCTTCTATTGTATATAAGTTTATAAAATTTGAAAGGAGGGTTTCTGCAAATCTTTGCCGTGTATAAGAGCCTTGGGAAACTGCTAAGAATAATCAGTTGCCTTTAAAAAGCATTTTTTTTCATTATTTAATCAACCAAAACTTCCATCCTCAGATGATATAGATAATACCTTGAGTCTGTTTTCCTAATAATGGTGATTAGCTTATATATCAGATGGACTGAAATAGAAAGATCTTCTAGTCGTTTCTGTGGCACTTTTAACCTAGGCACTTTGGGCGTTTTATGGAAGTTTAAATCTCCCTCATTGCACACTCTTATTAAGATATCAAAAACAAGTAGGCAAGTGCCACTGTCCTGCTAAAATCTTCCTTTTTATTACTAACTGCATCATTAAGATTTTCTTTTGTGAATAACAGATAAATCTGAATAATATTTTCATATCCCAAGGAATATAACTCTTATACCATATTTGTTAATGTAAGTTTATTGTTGATATTAGGACAACAGTTGGCATTTTCAGAGGTTGCTAGGGGCATTAAATAAATAAATTAGTATTCGTATAATCCCTTAAAAATTACTCTTACGTCTTGACGACAAGGTCTATAATAGAAAATAGGATGGGAAATGCCCCTTTGAAAGATGATAATTAATGGAAGCCTAAAAGCCTATATAATTCTAAGAGCAATATTTGGGGATTAGTTTTATGTTATTATACTGGTTTCACTGTGACAACACACCTGCTTACGATTCCAACACAATACTCCAAAATATCATGTTTCTCTACTTTATTGGTCAAATAGCCACTGTCATTTCATTACACGATCATTATGCTTGCAGCCAATCTGTTTATCATATAGCATAATTTATATCAAGCTTTGTATAAGTATATATATATCTGCTTCAAATTGCCTAAGTCATGTTTTTTTGTCGTTATCCATAATGGACATTATGTTGACACCCTAAAAGCAGACTGTTATCAAGTGCGCTATTCTGCGTTAAATGAATGGTACCTTTGTAATGTAAATTTTCTCTTTTGGGAAGTCAGTTCAAAATTTCTAATTTTGTATTTTTTTGGTTAAAATCAATTCACTCTGTTTGCGATGGAAGTTTTTTTATTTTTTGAAAATTTTGGTTTTTTTTTTCGAACATGATAGGTCACAAATTTGATCAGTATTCAATTTTTCATCAGTTTTCAATTTACAAATTTCCAACATCTTCTTCCAAAGTCATTTCACAATATTTCTTGATGTTTTAGTTAAAATTTTTTTTGTTTCTTGGGAAGGCAGTTTTTTTTTCAAACTATTTGTGCACTACTTTATAAGGGGATTAGATTTGGAGGCACGTTATTTTATTGTTGAAGGGTATCATTTGGACGTTTGGGTATATCATCAATTGAATATATGTACGTGTATATCAACAATTGAATATATATACTGGTATATGGACAATTGTATTAAATCATACCAATATTTCATGGCTTCATTATAACTATATATAGCCTATATATGACCAATAAACTCTGAGAAACATGATAATAATGGAGGCTTAAACAAATGACCTTTTATTTTTATTCATTTTCCTTTGAATTTTGGAATTTTTGATTTGGTTTATTCTAACATTTCAAGTATCGACAGGCTGTCGGTAAACAGTCCTCGATGCGGCATCAGAGGTCCTTCTCTGCGTTTGGATTCGGAGCAGGTGGTTCAACTGTTGGTTCAATTTCCCAGCAATCCCGTCGAGGTTCACAGATCAACGTTAATGTCACGCCATCACAAACAGTTGTCGAGGGGACAGACACGCCTGAGATTAGAAAATACAAGAAGCGTTTTGGTTCAGACATTTTGTGTGCTGCATTATGGGGTAAGTTTGATCGTTTAAATAGTAAAAATATAGTAAAATGAATTTTTTAGTATTTCGTAGAAATGAATGAAATTGGCGGGAAAAGTTGGTCAGATATACGTATCTGCAATTATCTGTGTATCCCTTACATGAAAAAAAAGAAATTAAAGATTGTTATTTCCAAACTGACTTATTGATTTTGCAAATTGAGAAAGATTTTAGAACTATTTCTGATGGTTTAATTCCTATTTATAATTTTACAGGTGTTAACTTGTTGATTGGAACAGAAAATGGCTTGATGTTGTTAGATAGAAGTGGGCAAGGAAAAGGTAGTTATTTTCATTAAAAATTTCAAAATTATTACATATTGTATTAGAGACTGAGGTTATGAATATTCATGATGTCACATGATTTTCAAGCTGACCAATCTACTGCTTCTACATAGAGTTTGTTTTATAATTATGAACACACAAAATATTATGAATATTATATGAGTTTTGGCTACTCCTCTCAAATGATAATGGTCAATTTGATGGGTTAAAATTCCACTTCATACAAAGCTATTTGGATAAAGTGAATCTCATCTTGATAAAGGGGCCTCTGATGCCAAGTTATCAAGTCATCGAAGATAAAGTGAACACTCTGTTTTATTTCAGTGTATACCTTGATATCTCGAAGACGATTCCATCAAATGGAAGTTTTAGAAGGTCAAAATATATTGGTGACTATATCTGGCAAGAAAAATAAGATTCGTGTATATTATTTATCATGGTTAAAAAGCAAGATCTTTAAGAGTGAAGGGGTGAGTAAACATTTGTAATTTAGAAAAATATTCCACATAGCTATGAACTGGCTTCCATTGATTGATTTCTACCTGTGAAGTGCATCTTTTACTAGTATTATTATTAGATATGGTTATTTTTCAGAATGATAAGAAAAATGGTTGGGTAAATGTTGGTGAACTGGAAAATTGTGTGCATTTTAAAATAGGTGAGATAAATACACATTGTCGTCATAATTTACTTTTCGAATCCAGCCATCCATAGCACTTTTCAAAAATCAAAGATAATATCTGGTTGAACTATTGACAAAAAATTATTGTCTGTTAATCCAAAAATTTACAATCTTTTGTCTCCATATTGAAAAACATATTATATATCCAAAGGTATGATATTTTGGCATGAATTGCATATGTTAACCATTGTAAATTAGGGCACTGTGTACAATTCAGTATATTCTAAAGTCACCACAGTGTAAAAAGGAAAACAATTTGAATTTGAATTTCAAACTATCATTTTATCTTTTTTCCAGTGAAATATGAAAGAATCAAGTTTTTGGTAATAGCTTTACAAGAGAGTATTGAAATATATGCTTGGGCTCCCAAACCATACCATAAATTTATGGCATTTAAGGTAATATAGAGTGTCTTCTTCAATTGAGAACTTCAAAACATCCAATCAATCACCTGTTTCTAAATGAAGATCTTTACCATCCTAGGCCTGTACATTTGGGAGCACTATGCGTTCGATACCTCTCGTGATTACCATGTTCACAGGGTTAATGTTGTGAACTTCCATTCGATAGTAGGTTTTTCTCGTATTTACTACTTTAGGAAGTCGTGATAGAAAAATTTACCACCCATTTTCACAATTTCTACGGCCTTCACCTGGACCTCATGGAAAAATGACTAACATTATTTCGTCGTCCATCTTTAGTTACAAAGTCGTCAACATCGTCCGAACAGTCTCCAGTTTTGCGCACGATGTTCGCACTTCGAGAAAGTCGTAAACACGAGTGGTATCGAAGGTAGCATAAAACTCTCCTTCAGATCTTAATTTTGTTTGTGCCATGTCTCTGGACCAGAATGCTCCTTTTCCACTTTCCAAATGAAGATCTGTACCAACCTAGGCTTGTACATTCAGGAGAAGTCAAACTTTGTGGGATACTTTTAGCAATTGTATATCTTACTGCCTGGAATGATGAGGCAAGAGAAGTTGTTAAATTTTCGCAATGAATCCACCATTTTTTTTATCCAATATACTGACATCATGTTTGATTTTAATTATTTTTATCTTGTATTTCAGTCTTTCCCCGAATTAACATATAAACCAATCGTGGTTGATTTGACAGTGGAGGAAGGTCAAAGGTTAAAGGTTATTTATGGTTCATTAAAAGGTTTCCATGCTATTGACCTTGACAGTTCACAGGTGTTTGACCTCTACATTCCTTCCCATGTAAGTATATGAATATTTCGTTGAATATGATTTTTTACAAAATGATGTATTCGTAATGTGATATATCACATTTCTCTGTTATTATTGGCACTACATGAAACTGTGGATATTTTTGACTACCAATGACTTTCTTTTTGTCTGATGGAATTGAGAGCGCTTTGGAATTTCACTGAGCTTCTTTAATTGTGCAAGCTATAACATATTTAAGGACAGGTTACCTGAAGTCATTTACTTGGTTTTGTCAAAACAATGGTAGTTGTGGGTTTTAATTTTAGTTGGTGTGGAGAAATCTGGTGGCCCTGAATAAGTCACCTTTGCCCATAATTCTAGTTGACTTAGCAGTAAATATGGGAAAGAGGTTTGGCCAAAGAACAGCTGGTAGAAAGGATATAATTTGTTATCGTTTATAAGAACAGCTGATAGGGAAATGGATAATGCTTTTTATCAGCCATATATAAGTATTCATAAAAGAAATAACTAAATGTTGGATGTGAAAATTTTCAAACTGTTATTCTCTGTTTCAGACACAAGGAAATATTATACCACATACTGTAGTTATATTACCAAATACTAATGGTCTTCATTTATTACTCTGTTATGATAGTAAGTATAGTACCATTAACTTATTGTATCATACAGTCTCTTGACTTAGACAGTCTTAAAACAACTATTTTAATTCAACTTTAGTTTAGTGGCTTTAAATGTGATTTGAACGCTTCGTTGAAATAAAATTAGTGGACCTATTAAGTCAAGGAAGTGATTTAAAATGTTTGTGTGTGTCATTTCCATGTAAAAATCATATGTTGTTGTAGATGCTGCAATCAACTTGCGGAATATGGATAAGTCTCAGTCCAACTGAGAGCACAAACAATTAAAAAATCACAAACACCTTCTATTACAAGTAAAATTGGCTATAATGGTCAGTCTATGTGCAATTATCCAGTCTAACGTAGGGCTTTGTTCTCTAAAACTTAAATTAGATAAAATACGGTAATGTGATTGGATAACAAAACTAAAACTTAAAATCAACCCACGTGACACTTGACAGGTGTCAATATAGGAAGGAACATAACTCAAGTTATGAGATTTAGGGTACTATTACTAGTTACTATTCAATATAAGGCACTGGCACAGGGTTAAAGTTATGTTTACAATAATTGTGATGCTAATATGCAATGGTATGACGTGGTTCAACTATCTGGAAATTCATAAAACAGCACGACTTTATTGGGAACAGAAATGTGAATGACTATATAATATAAATACTAACTGTAGTTTATTATATTTTTTAGATGAAGGTGTTTATGTTGATACCAATGGTAAAGTAACTAAGAATGTGGTATTACAGTGGGGTGAATTACCTACATCTGTTGGTAAGTAAACTGTTTGCTGCTCACCAGGTATTCTGCCCTTTTAGGCAGGCGACATCATCGTTTGTAAGATCTATGATGAAACTATGAATTGAGACAAGTCTGCTACAGACTACTTACATAAAGAGTCCCTCAAAATTTTCAAAGAATAAAGAGTAGGCAAATGCTCTTATCCTATCGAAATTTCACCATTGCACACTGCATGGCATTGCAAATTTGTGTTCTACCCTTTCTGGAGCAAATAGTAAGATGTCATTCCAGTTTATTAGTAATAATAAGTCTGCTTCATGTGCTCAAAACTTTCAAAAAATAAAGTGAATGCTAAATGGAAGCTGTTGAAATTTCCCCTATTGCACACTGCATGACATTGGAAATTTTTAATTTACCCTATCTGGAGCAAAAAGTAAATTCCAGTTTATTTCAGTAAAGCAATAATAAGTCTGCTTCATGTGCTCAAAACTATCAAAAAAATGGAGTATACTAAAGCCAAAGCTGTTGAAATTTTCCTCATTGCACATTGCATGGCAATGCATATTTTGATTAACTCAGAAGTAGAAAGTAGGCGAGATAACTCCATATTATATAAGTAAAGTATATTGTATATTTCAGCTTATATTAGTACTGGTCAGATAATGGGCTGGGGTAATAAAGCTATTGAAATAAGATCTGCTGAAACAGGACATTTAGATGGAGTTTTTATGCATAAAAAGGCACAGAAATTGAAATTTTTGTGTGAACGAAATGATAAGGTAAGATTTTGACATTAAAGAGTTTTATGGTAATTTCTAGAAAGGTCCAGGGTTCAATCCTGGGTCGAGAAGATACCTTCGGATTTCTCCACCTGATTTCCCCGTCAATGATGTAGGTGATAGGGGCTGACATGGAAAAAGTGTTGTTCAGATGGGACAATAATTTGAGGCCCTTTGTGCTACATGCTATGCATGTTAAATATCTCTCAGCAGTTGGAATTCGGAAAGAGTAGACAAATGCTCCTGTCCTGGCAAAATTTCCCTCAGTCCGTAGCTTATGGCATTGCCTTTTTCATTAGCCAATAAGGTGCTGAAAAGTTGTACATAAAATTTCGTTTGTATTTTTGGATGGAAACAAAAAAAAAATATCAGAATCAAAGTTAAAAATTGTATACTGGTTTTAATTAAATTGGAAAATAAAATGAAATGAATTTTACGTCCTACTTGTGGGCTAATGAAGACGGGCAACGCCATGCAAGGTGCAATGAGGGAAATTTTGCCATGACAGCGGCATTAGCCTGTTCTTTTTCGATTTTCAACTGTCGAGGGATCTTTAACGTGCATAGCCTGTAGCACACGGGGCCTCAGTTTATTGTCCCATCCAAACGACTATACACTTTTTCCATGTCACCCCCTCTTACCTGCATCACTGACAGGGGGAAACCAGGTTGAAAAATTCGAAAGTATTATCTCGACCTATGCCGGGATTTAACCCTGGACCTTCAGGTTACCGAGGAAGCGTCTAACTCACTGAGCCAACGTGGCTCCCTTAATTAAGTTGGAGAGAAAAGTTCTGATCCTCTTGTGCCATTACTTTTTAAAAATTATTTATTTATTATTTATTTTTCAGGTGTTTTTCTCATCTGTAAGATCTGGATCATCATGTCAAATCTATTTCATGACCTTAAGTAAGCCAGGATTAGCTAATTGGTGATGTCTTAATCCAGCGTTAGCTAATCGGTGATTGTCCTAATTTATCATTTATACAGTGTATTATAGACCTATTTTAACCCTGGCTGTCACAATACTCATATCTGCTGCTATAGTTACACTGCTTCCTTATAATCTCATCATTATGTACAGTTCTTATTGAAGGTGGTCAACTGGTCAAAACACCCGACTTTTATATCGAATCTGGATAACCCTTTGATAGTCATGTTTATACTGTGTAATGTCATGTCCTGTCAGCCCTAGAAGGTCATGTCATTCCTATGAGGTTATGTAAGTCCTATAAGTTAATGTCATGTCAGTCCTATGAGGTTATGTTTTGTCATGTCAGTCCTATGAGGTTATGTTTTGTCATGTCAGTCCTATGAGGTCATGTTTTGTCATGTCTTTCCTATGAGTTCATGTCATGTCATTCCTATGAGGTCATGTCATGTTAGTCTTATGAGGTGATGCCATATCATTTTAGCCCTTTTGTTGACAAAAGATGAGATCAAAGGACTTGTAGTTAAAATAATGGAAAAATACGACATATCAAAATTCAAAAGAAACTTTTTTTATGAAATAATGAAATAAAAATAAAATAGAATACATTGAAAGGGGTTGAAAGCTGAAAGCTGGCCTCTCTTGAAAGCATTTGTTGTAAAATCCTCATTGAGGCTCATACTTGCATTACAAATCCAACCCTATCATTGACTGACTATCAAGGGGTGCATATGGAAAACTCCTGCTACTTTCATTAATCCAGATTCAGATCAACTGAAAATATCATTGACTGTCTATAGTAGTGTATCTATTTATACAGCATTGGGTAACTGCTAGCTATTGTGTGCTTCAAATTAAATTATAGCATTGTTTTGTTAGGACTGAAAATCAAGTCTGTAAAATTATTATTATTGTAATTAACAAATACTGGATTTTATATTTTAAAACAGTTGTTTTATAGGAATGTTGTGGTCTACTTATCAGTTTGGCTCAATTTCAGCCTACTGTAACACTTATCAAAATTTAAATCTGATGTTTGCTTTGTCTACAAATATATGAGTTTAATAACAAAGGGGTTATTGTATTTTACCCATGCACATATTAATGAAAATATGACATCATGAATGTCTTCAGGTATATGATTGTAGGTAAACTATAAGTCAGATTGGCAAGTTGAAAAGTGATACAGGTAGCTGAGATAAAGGGCTATCAGATGATAAAGCTGATATTTAGACCACTATGTTCTCTGTACACAGTTATTATATTGATAAAAATGTACTTGATCAAAAGTATGTCATACCCAAACAATTTTCGAATTGTCAATTTTTTTATGTACATTAATATCAATTTTATTTAAGATTTTTCTACTTTTGATCAAAAATAAATTTGACTCTAATTTTAGCTTGAGTTGACCAAATACTAATGAAAACTAATTTTAACATTTAGCTAGTCAATTTTAATGTTATTTTATCTAGTTGTCTTCTTTGGATAATATACTTCTTTAAAAATGAAATCAAAATTTGTTGTAAAAGTTTCTGTGTCCACTGTTATAAACTCCTTGTCAATGGCTGAACAACATGTTTGTCTTTTTGGTGCCATGTAAACAAAGATTTCAATTTGGTCACATTCATAGATATTTTTGTTAATTAATTTTATCATAATTAAGCTGGAATGTCTGATTTCAGGATGGAATGTCTGATTTCAGGATGGAACGTCTGATTTCATCATGGAATGTCAGATTTCGTTAGGGAATGTCAGATTTCATTATGGAATGTCAGATTTCACGACGGAATGTCAGATTTCACGACGGAATGTCAGATTTCATGACGGTATGTCTGATTTCACGACGTAATGTCTGATTTCACGACGGAATGTCTGATTTCACGATGGAATGTCTGATTTCATGACGGAATTTCAGATTTCATGATGGACTGTCAGATTTCATGATTGAATGTCAGATTTCATTTTGAAATTTAGAAGACTATGTCCTTTGATTGTTTTATCTATTCTGATCAGAAAAAGTTCAGCAAAAATATTTATGTACCTACAGGTCAAGCTCCAAACAGTTATACAATTAGTCCACTTTATTTCTAGGAATTGGACTGTGTGTGTTTGTTTGGAATTGGACCTCTATGAGTACAAATGTCTTTGCCTCTACTATAGATTTTTTCAGTGTATTTGTAAACATACCTTTTAAGTCATGAGTCAGCACTTTGTAACATGGCTTGTGTTGAATACTTTCAAAGAAATTTAAAAGCCTTCAAATGATTTGGAAAAAGGTTTCCAAGATGTACGCTGATTCAGGTACAGAGTGTTCATATGGTTTAATAGCATTCCCCATTTGTATCTTGCAAGGCTTCTGTTGTAATGTCATGTATAGTTAAACTTCTGATGGAAAATTAAAATGAGGCAAAAAAAAAAAACCATATATGGGCCTGATACACATAAAATATAAATGACAAAACCCCTATAATTGTCAATCTTAAAGAAACAATTTTTAAATTTTCAGTCTTATTTTCATCACAAGTATTCTATATAAGCCATGTTTCACGAATGCTGAATTCTACGTGTAATTATTTTAAAACAGAACAGCTGTGATCATTATTATATCATTTCTCTCCAATATTTTTTATTTATAGCTTGTATTTTTTTATTATTATTATTATTATAATTTGGATATCATCAAAAGTGTTCTGCTGTCTAAATAAGTAATATTTTTGGCTATGTTTCTTATTCTGTTGTCTAAACCTAGTTCCCTGACAGTGATGTCAAATATATCATAGCAAAGAAAGAAATTTTGATGGTTACACGTTGATGTTGAATCAGGGCTGTTGATTTGGCTCTATTTGCTGGTCATGACCGACAGGGTTGCTCAAACGACTGACGATCAATATCCTCTATCGGACATCAAGTATGGGTTATGACATTCAATGTCAGTCAAATGCAAAATTTAATGACAACTCTCTAATGAAATACGAAGCCATCAATCACTGCTTGGCATTACAACTTGTAATCAATTGAGATCATCTGTCAATAAACCGAGGCCCTGTGTGCTACAGGCTGTGCACATTAAAAATCCCTCGACAGTTGGAAATCGAAAAAGATCAGGTGAATACCACTGTCCTGGCAGAATTTCCCTCTTTGTGCCCTGCATGGCATTGCCCATCTTCATTAGACCACATGGTACAGAAAAGTAAGACGTAAAACACCATTTCATTTCATTTTTTTGTGTTCTATGCTAGTTAGACATCAGTGAAAGTCCATAGATTTAGGTCAAGCAAAATGTTTCTTGAATTTGCTATGATTTACTTGATACATTAATGGTTACATTGTCAGTTATAAAAATAACATATTTTCTGTGTATAACATTGTAAATGGAATAGTCAAGGTGACAAAAGCATTTTAAAATATCTTTTTATACTAATTTTTATGCAAAAAAAACCCCAAAAGGTCATTGATTTCCTTTGATATTTATTTGGTCTTTTTTTTGAAGTTGATAATTATGTCAAAGTCTGTTTGGTCTGTAAACAAAGACTTAGTTTGTATTAAGTCTGGAAACATAGACTTTGTTTGTATTAAGTCTAGAAATAAGGACTTAGTTTGTATTAAGTCTAGAAATAAGGACTTAGTTTGTATTAAGTCTGGAAATAAGGACTTAGTTTGTATAAAGTCTGGAAATAAGGACTTAGTTTGTATTAAGTCTGGAAACATGGACTTAGTTTGTCTTAATTTATAAATAATACAATTATTTCATAAATTTTTCTTTTGTTTTATTACATTTCTCATTTCCCTGTTTGTGACTGTATATTGTTGACTTTGTAGTCATTTTGTTTCTAATAGTTTGTATATTGGACAGAATCCACAGTTTTCAGTTCATTTTTAATGAATCTTAGAATGCTTCTTAGGTGGCAATTTACAATATCAAGCTATTACCAACTTCATACTTATGCCTTGACTGCAATAGCCACTATTCTTGGATCAAGGAATGCAGTAATTTGATTGGATTGTATGCCAGCGAATACAGCCAATCAGAGCCCATGACAGAAAAGGTGTGAATATTATGTATTTGTGTTCACAAACTTTCTGTCAAGGTCTCTGATTGGCTGGTAAAATTAAGCCTCACAGGTTGTATTACCCATTATTACCTTGAACAAACCCTGGAAAGTTCATATAAAAAACACCCTCCCCTCAATCACCAAACCTAGACCAAAATGGACTACTGTTTGGGATTGGAATAGGGAGAACATATAATTTCGCAGAAGAGGAATTAAGGACAGGATAGTAGAAAAAAAACCATCAGTAACATTCTGGAGAAAAATACTATTGGGCTTATTTAGATTATAGCAGACTGTGTAAGTATTCCAATATTAATCCTGATCTGATATTTCTTCCTCATCTTTTAATAATCTTGATCTCTTCCATCCCCAATACTAATCCTGATCTAATATCTTTTATCTGTATTCCTGGATCTAATATTTCTCTAATCTCGTTTAATAATCCTGATCTATTAGCTCTCTAAGCTCGTTTATTAATCCTGATCTATTAACTCTCTAAGCTCGTTTAATAATCCTGATCTATTAACTCTCTAAGCTCGTTTAATAATCCTGATCTATTAACTCTCTAAGCTCGTTTAATAATCCTGATCTATTAACTCTCTAAGCTCGTTTAATAATCCTGATCTAATATCTATTTTTTTATTCCTGTTCCTGATTCAATATCTATTATCTGTATGTCTGATCTAATATCTCTGTAATTTATATTCCTGATCCTGATCCAATATCTCTTATCTGTATTCCTGATCCTGATCTAATATTATTAATCCTGATCTTATGTATCTCTTTCATCTCAATTTCTAATCTTCATCTTATATCTATTCTGTCATTAATATTCTGATCTAATATATCTCCAATCTTTTTAACTGATCCTGATCTGATATATCTCCTATCTCTATAACTGATCCTGCTCTGACATATCTCCTATCTCTATAACCGATCCTGATCTGATATATCTCCTATCTCTATGACTGATCCTGATCTGATATATCTCCCGTCTCTATTACTGATCCTGATCTGATATATCTCTATGACTGATCCTGATCTGATATATCTATCTCTATAACCGATCCTGATCTGATATATCTCCTATCTCTATGACTGATCCTGATCTGATATATCTCCTATCTCTATAACTGATCCTGATCTGATATATCTATCTCTATAACTGATCCTGATCTGATATATCTCCCGATCTGTATGCCTGATTCTGATTTAATATTCCGATCTCTTTTGCTGATCCCGATGTTATAATTCTTCCCATCTCTATTACTGATTCTAATTTAATATTCCGAAATTTATTATTTAACCTGGTCTAATCTAATATTCCCGTCCATCTGTATTATCTCCTGATTTAACGCCACTCTTATATCTCTATTAGGCTATTAATCTTGACCTATGCCTTCCCATCTCTATCCCCTAAGTAGTAGGACTACTGATCGACCTGAACGGGAACATCTCTTCTATCATTATGACTGATCCTTTTCAGTGATCAATTGTGCGGCACCTTTTAAAGTGAAAGGTAGTGGTTGGAAAAGGTTTGGGCGAAACACTGGTATTTTTCAGATTCCAGGACTAACATGAGATTGTGCATACATGCTTTCTTAGGGCCAATTACTTTACTATGCAGTTTCCTGGTTGGCAATCAATCTTTGAGATCCCTGGTAATTGACACAATATTGATTAATAATGATAACGCATCTTATTTTAGCTGGAAAATTCCACAATCTACTTCACTAAGATAGCAGGCCTAAATTTATTCACCCTAAACAAATATTGGATATAATATCCTGTTTGATTCAGTATGGTTTGTCTTCGGGTTAAAAAAAAAATAGGCCAATGAATTCTGTTTCAGCGGATAACGTTCAACCAGGGACACTTTTGTATATAAAAACTCAAATGTATTGTCTTGAAACAAGTAACATTTTATCGTAGAGCAGTTGGAATTTCCTGATATACATTCTTAATCTACGTAGAAATTAAGCGAACTTTGACAGGTCACTACAGGCTATAAAAACCTACATGTACTATAGTACAAGATAAGCCGCCATCAGGGTCATTTTGATAATGAAAGAAACACGACCTTATCACTGCAGTGTTGGTATCTAATCTGTTCGGTTCTTAGAGTTCAGAATATAGGCTATGTTTCATTCAGACGAGTTTTAGAATCTGACAAAGATTTGCATTAACAGAGGTTAGTAGTAAATGTGTTAAAATAATAATCGTAGCGAATAATGTTATATTATATATAGGCCACAAGCTGATCTGTCAAGTTCTATTTTTAGTGTACAATAGTATATAATCACGGTGCGACTAATGACTCTACTGAGTATTAATACATCACATTTGACCATCCCGTTTCTGTAGGCCCCATGAAACACTGCAGAGCATTCATATCGAAACATGCTGACTGCATTTTGGGCACCGTTACGAACTGTCTTTTAAGAGCACTTGTTCTTTTATTTGTAGCCAAAGATGAGTTCTGGAAAGAAAAGGATTGCTGTAATTGGTAGTGGGGCTAGTGGTCTCACTGCTATCAAGTGTTGTCTTGATGAAGGTTTAGAACCAGTTTGTTTTGAGGTGGCTGATAATATCGGCGGTCTGTGGAGATTTAATACCAATATTAAAGATGGATTGGGTTGTGTGATGAAATCCACTGTCATTAACACCAGTAAGGAAATGATGTGCTACAGTGATTTTCCCATACCGAAAGAGTACCCCATCTTTATGCATAATCGCGACGTATTTGCATACTTTAACCAATATGCTGATGCTTTTGATTTAAAGAAATATATCAAATTTCAAACGGAGGTGATCAGTGTAAAGAAATCAGACGATTTTGAGAAGACTGGTCGATGGGACGTGAGCTATAAAGATGTTAACACTGGTTCTACAGATATTGATGTCTTTGACGGAGTTTTAATTTGTACCGGACACCATGCTACGAAAAATGAACCCAAATTTTCTGGATTAGAAGAATTTAAAGGAAAAGTACTTCATACACACGACTATCGTGATTTCCATGGTTTTGAAGAAAAGAAAGTTGTTATCGTTGGAATTGGTAATTCTGGAGGCGATGCTGCTGTTGAACTCAGTAGAATTTGTAAACAGGTAAATATTTGAATCTGTAAACATGTAAACAATAGTACAGGTAAACATAATCATAAGGGGTACCCTCATCAAATTTCGGTTCGCAGAATCTTATAGCTACTGGATGTTAAAAACGGTCGAATTTATAATGTGGACATTCTTCGTCTTGCTGCATGTGGTAGGCCTACATTAAAACCTTATTGCAGGCAAACCTGAAGTACTTTTTCTTTCTCAAAAGTAATGCAGATATCCGTATATATATATATTAATTGTTATAATGAATAATCTAGAGGTTAGAAATATTTTCAGGTATATTTGAGTACCAGGCGTGGGAGTTGGGTGATCAACAGAATAGTTGACAATGGAATGCCTGCAGATATGGCAATATCCAGTAGATTGGCTGCAAAGATATTTAACACTCTACCAAAATCTGTGGTTGATAGCCTATTCGCTAAGCACCTAAACAAACGTTTCGATCATGTTGCTTATAGTCTGAAACCAGATTATGGTGCGACTTCTCAACATCCTATGGTCAATGATGAATTACCCAACCGCATTATATCGGGTTCTATTAAGATTAAAACGGACATTAAAAGATTCACAGAACGCGGAGTGGAATTCTTAGATGGTACAATTGAAGACGATATAGACATCGTGGTACTGGCAACTGGCTATATTTTTGGTTTCCCATTCGTGGAGAAATCCGTAATAGACGTTAAAGACAACCGTGTCGAGCTTTATAAATATATGTTTCCACCGGAACTAAGCCATCATACTTTAGCAGTTATTGGGTGTATACAGCCCTTGGGTGCCGTCATGCCAATATCTGAAATGCAGTGCCGACTAGCTACGAGAGTGTTTAAAGTAAGGATGATTTCTCATGCGTGTTCGAATATTTTCAACTTCTTACCTTTGATCTAGCTGATCGATATAAAAAACCACTTTGTAGTAATAATTTTCTTTTTCACTGATACGCCAGTGTTCAATTTGAACAATCACGAATCGCGTTGCAAATTTTTTGTTAAGAATTTCGCCTTTTTTAGCGCCAAATAAAATTTCATTGAATCTAATTGGTCCAGAATTAAATATTCGACCAATCAAAGGTATCGAAGAGTCGTCTTGCTTGTTAGATATATATATTATGTTATATTCCAGGGGGACGTAAAGCTACCATCTAAAGGTGATATGTGGGAAGATATCAGAAATAAACAAGTTGCTATGATGAGAAGATATGTTAAATCATTACGACATACCATACAAGTTGATTATGCGCCGTTTATGGATGAATTGGCCGAGCTGAATGGTAATAGCGTGCAATTGAGTAAGTCGTATTTTCTTTATGACATAGAAATGGAGTTACGTCGCACTGGTTTGCTCGTCTGCGGACGAACATGTGGAGATCTTGAACGTACATTGTCTGCAGCACACGGGTATGCCATCCGAGCGCATCTGCTTCTCCTGTCGCTCCCTTTCAGTGGCGCAGATACCATAAGGACTGGTTGAACCAAGTCCACTGGTTCCCAAAGCCAATGTCCCCTGTGTCTTGCATAAATAAATAAAATCTCTTCTTTTACATTTCAGTGGAATTGATGAAAACCGACCCCAAGTTGGGATTGACCTGTTTCTTCGGACCATGCACACCATACCAATACCGACTGTTCGGACCAGGGAAATGGGACAAGGCACGTGAATGTATCATGACACAATGGGATAGAACTCTATTTCCACTCAAGACCCGATCCATTCCACCAGCCAAGAAATCAAATACCTTTTTCTACATAAAGCTGGCCTTTATATTTCTATTTTTAGCATTTATATTAAATCAACTAGATTTATTGTAATATTAATGACCAATGCCGTATTATTTACCATCCAAAAGAGTTTCCAGCGACCCGTATACCTTCTCAGAATAGTTGTCTGACGTCAGATACTTTACAATTAGATGGAATCATACCCGACATCACATTGATCTAGGAATATTTTCTTTGTTATTTGGCTAGTCCCAATTGTCTAAAGCCTTACAAATTCCATCTTTGGGTATATTTTGACTGTACTTTGTTATGTATCTACGCGTCGTACGTAAAGATATCATTATGGACTTATGCTTATGTTGGTAAATCGAATTTCTCGATTATTTTTATGTGAATGGGAAATCCCGCATCAAAATGCTAACGATAGTCCAGGCAATGCTAGTATACACTATATTATCATCCTTATGAAATATAGTTTTAACTGGGGGTTATTTTCTTGCAATTCTGAAAAAAGTGATTCTAAGACTATCATTAATATTTTAAGACGATATTCAAAATCACAAAAAAATAATCAGTCAATTTCTATTTAAGCAACGAGAGAGAAAGTCTTATAATCTTATCATTGTCTATATTTTTGTATTTTTGTATTCATTTACCATATTTGTTAATGTCAATGAAGATAAATCAATATCCTACTCTAAAGCATTTAGGATTTATTAGCGATAAGAGGAGACAATACATAGGTTATACCTCGACATCTCGTTTTCGTTCGTTTCATGAAATTTTCACCATTCCAAATTTAAGTATCATGTTAAAAATCAAAGAAATTTCAAGATGAATGCAGGCAAATTGCAATATTAAACGTTTGTAAAGAAGTTTATAAAAAAAAAATTTCATTTGCATCCTAAACACTTGGTTTTACTGGAATTGCAAGAACCACAGAGGTCTGACTGAAATTTGAAATGATGCAATTCGATGATATTGGTGTCCTAGATACGCTTAATTTGTTAGAAAATCTCTTTACAATACCTTTAATGTCAACTGATTTGAGGAGTGGTTTCAACTACGATCTATCTTAATTTTCATCAGATTTGTGAGTCTGTAAAACTGTCCCACCGCTGAATATTGATTTATTGAAGAGTAATAGTGTTATATGTATCAATTAGATAAATAATTTAATAGAAATGACAGATGCAAGTGATCGTTGTTATACAATCATTTCAATCAGAATACACCTGTTATCGCTTCAGTGAGATTGTGTGTGGCTGACCCACCTTCTAAGAGGCCTAGATACTAAAAGCTATTCTTCTGTTATTTCAAACGATTTTGATTCCATTATTTGTCATGTCTTTTAACGACAACAATGCCAGAAAAGGTGCACCGGCATACAATCTTCTAATTATCTTGTGTGATTTACTGGATTTACTGCTCCTTTCCCTCATTTCATACTGCATGGCGTTGTCTTTAATCATTATCGAAATCAAGAGCAGCTCGTAAGACGTAACACTCCATTTTTAGTTCAATTTGGGTTCTTTTCTTTCCTACACTTGATTGTGATTTCATAGGTAGCATAGATAAATTGAATGCCCTTATTTCAACCCTCCTCCTCTAGTGCTTTCGCGAGCCCGCCAATCAGTATCGCCTGCCGTCCCAGTCCGAAAGATGCTCTAACATAGATCTTTGCCAAAGTTTCCCAATAACCATCAACAACAACTATCAGAGGCCTGAGAAGATAGTAAGTTTCGGACTACTTCCACCAAATATTAACACTAAACAATTAAGATCACGTGCAGAAATGCACGGACAGAGAAATCGAACAGACTTAGTACAAGGCCGAATATTGGTTCGTGCGTGTTGTCTATTAACCAATCGGAAGTGTAGTATTAAAAATTTTATGAATTCATTTGTAGAAGACTGAAAACATCCGGTTAGAAAAAAGTATGAAATTATCTGATAAATTTATTTTCAATATGTGTAAAATGACAAAAGAAAAGTCCGTACCTAGATGGTTGAGATTTGAGAATAGTGAATCCACTGTTACAGGCAGGTAAGTGAATGTTTTATTGGCATTTAACTGCATGGGCGATCAGGCTGTTGCATAACACATACTGGTAGCATGTTTATAATTACTGTGATGTTTGACTGGTATCAATTTATTATTACTCTGATGTTTGACTGGTATCAATTTATAATTACTCTGATGTTTGACTGGTATCAATTTATTATTACTCTGATGTTTGACTGGTATCAATTTATTATCACTTTATTATTACTGTGATGTTTGACTGGTATCAAATTATTATCACTTTATTATTACTGTGATGTTTGACTGGTATCAATTTATTATTACTCTGATGTTTGACTGTATCAATTTATAATTACTGTGATGTTTGACTGGTATCAATTTATTATTACTCTGATGTTTGACTGGTATCAATTTATTATTACTCTGATGTTTGACTGGTATCAATTTATTATTACTGTGATGTTTGACTGGTATCAATTTATTATTACTGTGATGTTTGACTGGTATCAATTTATTATTACTCTGATGTTTGACTGGTATCAATTTATTATTACTCTGATGTTTGACTGGTATCAATTTATTATTACTCTGATGTTTGACTGTATCAATTTATAATTACTGTGATGTTTGACTGGTATCAATTTATTTTTACTCTGATGTTTGACTGGTATCAATTTATTATTACTCTGATGTTTGACTGGTATCAATTTATTATTTCTCTGATGTTTGACTGGTATCAATTTATTATTACTCTGATGTTTGACTGGTATCAATTTATTATTACTATGATGTTTGACTGGTATCAATTTATAATTACTCTGATGTTTGACTGGTATCAATTTATTATTACTGTGATGTTTGACTGGTATCAATTTATTATTACTATGATGTGTTACTGGTATCAATTTATTATTACTCTGATGTTTGACTGGTATCAATTTATTTTTTTTTTTTACTACTATGATGTTTGGCTGTTATCAATTTTATTAGTTCGTCAACTTGGCCTTTCGAATAATCAACATGGATAATGCTGTTTATTTGGTATATTTATTATTTATTCAAAAGATAAACATAAAGAGATAATATTGATCATCGTCTAGCTTGAAGTAATTTTCTTTTTTAAAATGAAACTGTTGGGACCAGCTGCAGTATTAGATAAAATACTATTATTGTATGGAATTTTAACGACACGCGGTTTTTATCCTGAGCTCACGTACGTGTAGCCATTTAGGAAGTTTCAACTAAATCTTTAGTGCGAAGGGGCTCGGAACGCCAAAATTTTCAAAAAAGCTTACGCTATCTACCATTCTTCTTTTAAGGTAGTTATCTCGAAGTAAGGTGGCACAATTATATACATGTAAACCAAATTTGATATACCTCACTTAATAACTGAGACTCTTCTCTTATTTAGGTTTTATGGAAAGGGGGCGGGGGGGGGGGGGGGATTGATTCTTCCAAATGTACAGGCCTAGGATGAAACAAATACTTTTAAAAATGGAAAAATGGGTCTGGAATTGTTTTTTTCTTCTAATCTGATCTGAAATTAGATAGAATAATATATCGCCCAAAGGCGCTTAAGTTTGCTATGAACCACATTATAAAGTGGTTGTATATTGTCGTCGCCCCTGTCCGTCTGTCTGTCGGTTCGTCCGTCCCTCAGTCCACAATTTGGTTGTGAACACAATAGAAGCTAAAGTTTTTATCTGATAGTTCATGAAGTTCTTGGTCAAGTTCGAATTTGATAAATTTTCGGTGAACGTTTTTTGATTCATTGCCTTTGGATCTTGTTAGAGATAAGTCACTCCTTGGCAGGATTCTTATGGATCTTAGATAAAGTATAGACCTATTAATGTCTCTCGCGACAATAAGGTTTTGGCAGATTGGTAGTCATATTGCTTTTGTTTATGATAATTGGCCTTGACCAGATTGCCAAGAATTGTGTTGATCATAGAAGGTAATCCTCCCAATTCAAAATAGCACTAAATGAACCCATATCAATCTGTTTGATAACAATGGTATCATACTTCTTGAATTGGTTCAAGGCTTCACGCTCCAATCTAGTGCGATTAGGCATTTAATGCGTGAACTATTAAAACAAGATTTTCTCATCCCTTCTTTCATTTCATACTGCAAGGTTCTATGTAGACCGAAACATCTGCTTGTATTCCAGCCTCTGATAGCTATTTTTAAAGTTGTCGGCTGGTGTAGAGACAGAAAGAAATAAGTCCTGTTTATTGGAAATTGCCCCAATTAAGAACAAAAAATAAGATGTAAAACTTCATTTTGGTTCTTTTCTTTTCAAGCGTGATAAAATTTATTCAGATGCAGCATAGCCAATTTGAATACCCGACCGTCCTCCTTCAGTGCTTTCGATAAGCTGTCCACCAGTGTCGCCTCTTTCCGTTTTATTCCTCAACGTGTTCATTTTACCCGCCGCCAACAAAGATCGTTGCCAAGAACAGCTACCAGAGACCTGAATAGATAGTAAGTTTCGGACTACTTCCACCTAACATGAACTCTTATCAATTGCGTTCACGTGCAGAAATGCAGAGACAGAGTGCAGAGTACAAGGCTGAAGATTGGCACGTGCTAAAAAAAAAATATAAAACTCATTAGAAGAAGCCTCAAAACACCCAGTTAAAAAAACATTTACATACGAAGAATGCAAGAAAAAATTCTATGATAAATTATTTTTTTCAGAATTGCATGTTCACTATTTGTGAATAACAAAAAACAAAAAAAAAATCCGCTCTATGTTCACCTTTGTTGGAGAATATTGAATCCATTGTAAGAAGCAGGTAAGTGGCTGGTAACATTTTTTCTTTTACTGTGATGTTTGACTGGTATCAATTTATTATTACTGTGATGTTTGACTGGTATAAGTTTATTATTACTCTGATGTTTGACTGGTGTCAATTTATTATTACTCTGATATTTGACTGGTATCAATTTATTATTACTCTGATGTTTGACTGGTATCAATTTATTATTACTGTGATGTTTGACTGGTATAAGTTTATTATTACTGTGATGTTTGACTGGTATCAATTTATTATTACTATGATGTTTGACTGGTATCAATTTATTATTACTCTGATGTTTGACTGGTATCAATTTATTATTACTGTGATGTTTGACTGGTTTCAATTTATTATTACTCTGATGTTTGACTGGTATCAATTTATTATTACTCTGATGTTTGACTGGTATCAATTTATTATTACTGTGATGTTTGACTGGTATCAATTTATTATTACTCTGATGTTGACGGGTATCAATTTATAATTACTCTGATGTTTGACTGGTATCAAGGTTATTGTGGTATTTGACTTATGAGTTGCCATAGAGACAGGGCAAGTTCACTTTTAGGGAAACCTGATTCTACTCTGCGACTGAGCTTGTCAAATTGGCCTTTCAAATAATCGGCATGGCTAATGCTGTTTCTTTTTGTATACATATATTTATTATTTATTGAACAGATTAACATGTCCTCAATTTTATTAAAGAGATAATATTGATCATCGTCTAGCTTGAAGTAATTTTCTTTTTTAAAATGAAACTGTTGGGACCAGCTGCAGTATTAGATAAAATACTATTATTGTATGGAATTTTAACGACACGCGGTTTTTATCTGAGCTCACGTACGTGTAGCTAATTAGAAAGTTTTTTCAGCTTTTGCTTTGAGAATCGTTGACATTTTTTCTATTTTCAATTGACATCTTCTGTAACGCCAACGCCCAGACTTCTCCTTATATCTTTCGTCGACGCGGTGCATGGACAATGAGGGTCTGGATGATAGAGGCTAATCCCGACACAAAGTGCCATTGTTTCTTTGTCTGCCTGGAAATAGTTCTTGAAGTTGTGGGGCACAGAGCGCGCAAGTGTTAAAAATAACTTTAAGATATGCACCATTCCTTTTCCGACAAATTGAGTTTTACGATAGTTAGCGCGAAGGAAAGGTGGCATAATTATAATATAATTTGGTATACCCTACTTAATGACCATAAACACTTTTTAATGCAACCTATGGGGTTTAGAGTTCGGCTGGATTTCATGATGCAGGTCGAAAGAGATGGAAAGGTGCTTGTAGTTGGGGTTTGACAACAATCCAAGTCCCCATGTGCTACAGGCTATGCACATTCAAGAAATCGAAAAGGTGTAATTTGGTTAATGCTAGCCTGGGGCAATCTACATATTAGCACACTGACAATCTGAATTTGTGGTATAAAAGTAGAGCGTTAACGTTCAATACTTCAGTTCAATTCTGTATATTGTTGATTTTTAGCTTATATAAGCACGTCAAGGGCGTAGAACTCAATTAATATTCCAATTTCCGCATCATTTCTACTATATAATGTCACTGTCCTCCAGAGTAATTGTCTTTAATTCCCTAGAATTAATCCTATAGAGTTTGTTATAAAACCACGTAAACATGTCACGACAGTAATTCTGTGTAGATTCAGTCATTGGTACGTTATACGGCCGATATTTTACAGCAGCTGATGATGCTAATCAAGACAAGCAGCACATGCAGTGTACAGTGAAGGGAATTTTAACAGGGCAGCGTTATAACCCTACTTTCTTAAATTATTAACTCATTTTAGTGTCTTTTCCACTTCAAATAGGCTTGTCAGAAAAATAGGACGTAAAATTTCATTTCATTATCGATAAGGCCTACATATCCGTGACAGGGAAACTTGGTTGGAAGTCGCTTAACGCCTGTGTAACGTTCTGAGTTTCCATGGTTATCAGTAATTTCTTAGAATTAATCCCGGAGTTGATGTTATAAAACCATGTTGATTGGAATCAAGGACAGTCGACATGGATGCCGTCAGTTCTCCTGGCAATCAATCATGGCTTAAAAGGTCATTCATCGATCAAAACTGGTCATTTTGGTTAGAGAGAAATGACAGGCGGGTATTAAGATATTCATAATCATTAGTAAACAAACCTCTGCTGTCTAATTAATCACAGCGTCTCATTTTGATTAGAGCATCTGCTAGAGTAGGGGAAAGGACATCTGGGCATATCTGCTCATTAGGCCTATGAAATCTATGAAATTAATGGATAGTGGTTCTACGAAATATCATTATTTTACTCCAAATATTAAACATTCCATTTGGAACCGGACGTAGGTGTTAATTCTGAAAAATGGCCTCACCCGTTCCTCAACAGAATATATCGGCACTATCCCATGCGTATATAATCACGTCCGAGGAACGGTTAGGGTTAGATTTATCGGGCTAAGAAGAAATATATGATCTCAAATTATGCTTTATTAATCTGTTATAACTTGTTATGCACTATGTAGTTCAATGCACTTTTCTCACAATGCAACTCATGATACATTTCTATTCACTGATAATCAATACGGTACCGCGGTATAATAGAAACCCATTTCATTTATATTCTATGGTGTATTGTTTTCATCATATTGAATCTCAGCTGACCTTTTGTGAGTCCGTTATACAACATGTTTCATTAATTCTTCCAGTCTATTTTTAAACTGTAATATGCTCGCCGTGTTCTATAATAAACGGACCTTCTATTTGCTGTGATCGCTTCTTCAACTCGCCAGCATCATTGCATTGATTCTGTAGAAGATTGTAATGATAATTCCATGATTATTGACCAAGTTTTGTAGCACGCCAAAGTTTCCCCTCTTTTCTATTGATTTTACGCTGAGAAGAGATACTTAAATTTTCGCCGGCCAGCGTTATATATTATATTATATTATACAGACGAAGACTTGGATCTTAGGAATCACTTTACGGTAAGAATGGGAATTGTTTAATTTTGTTAGTCAATAGTAGGTCATGTTACCTTATTTTCTTAAATTTCATTGCATGTTTTATTGACGGCTCAATTACCATATTTACCATATAAAATTCGAAACGTCTGTTGGAAATTTTCTGCAAGACGAGCCCGGTATACCGGTTACTAATTTTTACATGACAAGGTCAAATTGGATTTACAATAATCGTTATATTATCCATATAACAATATAGAGTACGTGACCTTAAATTCACTTATAAATGTAATAATTAGAAATGAGTTTTACGTCCTACTCTTCTCCTCTAGATTGAGCTTCGGGACTGCAATGGCCCAATAGTGTGCATTACATGCAGTTTTAAGTTTTTAAGGCCTTTGTCTAGAATTCATGACATAGAGCCTACAGATTTAAAATTCACGACATATAGATTCATGTCATACACATTCATGCAGGCTCTAACTATCTCAAATTCATGACATACAGATAAAGACTTTATCTAGAATTCATGACATATAGATTGAAGCTTTATCTAGAATTCATAACAAACAGATTGAAGCTTTATCTAGAATTCATGACAAACAGATTGAAGCTTTATCTAGAATTCATGACATATAGATTGAAGCTTTATCTAGAATTCATAACATACAGATAAAGACTTTATCTAGAATTCATGACATATAGATTGAAGCTTTATCTAGAATTCATGACAAACAGATTGAAGCATTATCTAGAATTCATGACAAACAGATTGAAGCATTATCTAGAATTCATGACATATAGATTGAAGCTTTATCTAGAATTCATGACAAACATATTGAAGCTTTATCTAGAATTCATGACATACAGACTCAGGCTATATTCCTTACACATCTAGGCCTATGAATCATGCTATCATTTTCAAAATGAATTCAGATTATAGCAATAAGGCACGAAATCGTACAAAGTTGCATTGTGCTCTAAGGAATCTCTTGACTAAATTATTGTAGGCTATGTTAGTATTTGGATTAGAAAAAAAATGTCTTTTAAATTGTGGCTGTTTTTATTTATTTTCGTATTACATCTAAAAGTCGATCGGTCCTATTCGTTGTTAAAGAAAATTGGTCTATTTAGTCGACTGGATCCCGATAATTAACAGCTCTCACGCCCAGCTTGGCATTTCCTTTTTGCTTTGAAGGTGTGGAAAAATAATTGATCTCCGTATAATCAAGGGAATCGAAAGGGCGTTCCCTGAACAATGGCGGACTTGATGATTTGTTATAAGCTTAATCATTTTCTCTGGATTAGTCCTACTACTCAGGAGAAATTCATCAATGATTACAGTTTTTAATGACCCTTGTCTGTGGACATCTGTCATGTCAAAATAAAGCTATAATATGACTTAAAGTATCCACAGTTAATGCCTTTGGCTTTCTATTGGCTTTGTAAAACGGTTTTCTAAATTTGTTTTTGTGTATCGGGGACACTGATAGCATTTTAGGCTACTTAGTTTTGGTAGAATTTCAGAAACCACAGACGTCTGATAAATTGTCCCCGATACACTTTTCACAACCCCTTAAAAGCCTAACCATAGAGTTATAGTTAATATTTAACTCTATGGGCCTAACTTATGCCCGTGAATTGTAGGCCTACTTCCGTCACTATGTAAGAGTTATCTGCCCTTGTAAGTAAAATGTCAACATTATTTGCTCTACTTTTAAAAGTGCAAATAATCTGATAAGATAAGACTTTATCCAGAATAGATCTATGCTATCACACAGAAAGCGTATCATTCAGACTGAGAAAATGAATTATGAAATGAACTGTAGGCCTACCTTGCTTTCTCTGTGCATGACTCTGCCTTGACGACGACATCCTGTCGTCACTGACGTCTTAAAATGTTAAAATAGTTAAAAGCAGGTTTCGAACTAAGAATATCGCGTGAGTCTTGAAATAGAATCTTCTTACATGTTTATTTGGGCATTATTTACTATCCTGTTTCATTATAGCCTTTCTTTCACAGTATTGATTGATTCAAGTTCATTTCTAGTCTTATACAACATGCCACCTGATTAAAATAAGTCTTATATACCGGTAACGTCTAAGTAGCGTAATATTTTCATAACACGAAGGAAGGCTTGGTTAATTTCCGTATAGCATGCAAGCAACGCATATCGAGAAGTTAACCCGAGTCCATAGATAGTGATTTGTGTAGATACCAATATTATTAAAGGGATTTTAAGAAGGTTTTTCTAAACTCAAACGCCTGACTGAAAATCAGAATGATGCAAATCTTAATCGATGTTATCAGTGTTTGCAATGCACAAATGATTTTAGAAAACATCTTAACAATCCCTTCAATTACTTCAGGTAAACAAACTAAACGAAACGCAATCTTGTAGTTATCCTTAAATAAGTCAATAATCAATTCGACTTTGTATAAGAGGTTTATTTTTGTCTCCATTGTGAAATTCATTAAAGTTGGATTCCTTTTTAGGCCATTAGTCTCGAAACGGGAAGATAAGTTAATCAATGATAGTGTTCACAGTACATCGACGAAATTTGAGCCTTCAAATCCATGTGTGTCCAGGATAATTATCCTCGTTTGAACGTTAAAAGACAGGTCGTCTTTTTAACTCACCATCATTATATGTCAAACTGTAGTGAAACTCTTAGTTTGAGGTATTTTTGAAAGAATTATGCGATTTTTTACATTTCCAAGACCAAAATGAACCCCGAAAATGGTCCATAACTTTAACACTGCTTTAAACCTGTGCCAGTGCCAGTGCCTTCTGTTTAATAGTAGCTTATTATCTTTAACCCACCCTTACCTCAAGCTAGACGTATTGAATAGGCTACATGAAATTATGTTAGAAATATTTTAACAGAACCCAAAAAAAAGTTTCACGCTCTGCGATCTTCAGACAGCTGACCTATTTTGATGTAGTTAGGAAATAGATATTGAAATCAGTAATACTTTGACTTATCATAGTGTTTGTTACGACAATAGTTTGGAGAGGTTCGATTTTTCCACTTTCTATAGGGTTCGTTTTGACTTTATTATAGAGTGAATTAAAAAAAAAAAACACTGTAAAAACTTGAAATCCAACGCTTTTGCAATACATTAGTATAGCAGCAAGTGAACAATTCATATTAGAGTTTGTTTTGACCAAAATTTTGGTCTGATTTTTTCTTTAAGATAGGTCCGTTATGACCAAAATTGTTGGGTCTATTGTGCCATGGATCCGTTTTGACGATAACCGGTGTTTATGGACTTATTTTGAGCCATCCAGTTGGTTCTCCGAATTTTAATTGGCTCGTGCTGTGATTGAAGCATCCTTCCAAAAAGATCATATAACAGAATATCGATTTTTCATTCTTGCATATTTATACTTTAATGATAGCCTATTTTATTTATATTTCAGATATTGGATTTCGGCACGTTTCTTTCTGTTACCCGCGCGGTCTTGGTGAAAGATCGTCAACAGAATAGAAGTGACTGTGTCAACAAAGAGACAACCACCTCGGCATTGATTGATCGCATCCATTGTTTGGGAATGATGATGTACTATTAGTGATATTGTGATATTGATCTCATTCAAATAAAATTCTGTTTTATACCAAAGAAAAGCGGCAGTACTCTTGTCCATATTCGTCGTCAATAACCAAAAGTTTCTGTTTTTAATTAATCCAAACAACGAATTGCACAAATGGCCATTGAAAGAAATGTCAAAGTAAATGGCTCAATGGATATCTTACAGACCAGTGAAGATATTGGAAATGGTCTGTCTACTGCAAAGAATGGGCATATAAGTAATGATATGAATGAAGCCAATAACCACGTGTTCGACACAACGACTGGCGAGGAACAACATCTATCCAAACGAAACGGTTCTTCCAACGGTACAAGCAAGAACGGGGTTGCCAACAAAATACCCAGTATTTCAGAAATCAAGGCAGCTATCCCCAACCATTGTTTTAAATCAACTATCAAACAGTCTATGTATTACGTTTTCAAAGACATTATCCTTATAATAGCGTTATACTGTTTTGGACATTGGGTCTTACAGTGCAATTCCATAATACTCAAGACGGCACTGTCGCCAGTATATTGGTTCTTACAAGGTACGCTGTTATTCGCGGTATTTGTATTGGGACATGATTGTAATCATGGCTCGTTTTCTAGCTATGCATTATTGAACGATTGCCTTGGTACTGTTCTACATTCATTTGTAATGACGCCGTATTACCCCTGGAAAATTTCGCATCGTCATCACCACAACAATACTGGTAATATGGACAAAGATGAGATATTTTATCCCATTAGGAAGAAAGACAACAATAAGAACTCTTTTGCATTATTTTTTGGTCTTGGATTCGGCTGGTTGGCGTATCTGTGGCGCGGATTCGGACCACGGCAAATGAATCATTGGATACCACGACATGCGATCTTCGCTAAACATGTCGTAGGGTGTATATTGTCTATAGGCGTTGTGGGTATATGGGTCGGTATATTAGGATATTATGTGCAACTGATGGGTATGGTGAGTTTGGTATACCATTATATGATACCGGTCTTTATATGTGGATGTTATATCGTCATGGTAACGTTTCTACACCATAGTGATATCAACCTTCCATGGTACAGCGACGACAACTGGGACAGTGTTAAAGGCAAACTAAGCTCAGTCGACAGAGACTATGGGATTTTTCACGACGTTATCCATACTATAGGAACGCACCAAGTTCACCATTTGTTTCCCATAATTCCTCATTATAATCTACGCGAAGCAACGACGCACTTCCGGAAGGCATTCCCGCAATTAGTGCATATCAACGATAAAAGCATTTTTCCAGCATTTACTGAAATGTTCTTTAAATATTCCAGTCAGTGTATAGTAGAAAATGATGCCAAAATTCATTACTATAAATAATTAAATATGGCATTAAGTATATGGAGTAGGGCATAAAAAATATTAAAACAGAACCTGAAACATGTTGTTACTCAGAGTAACATGATATTTATTTCTTTTCATTCTTGTTTCATATTTATTCTTTTAAACGATCGTATATTTTTAGCATCTATTTGCAATATTTTCAAATTCAAAAATGGCTTTTTGTGCAACATAATCTATTGCAGTCGTTATAGAGACAATTTAAGATCGGCCTAGGTCGATGTAATTACTGACGATAAATCGGAAAGCATCTGGAATTGCACTAACTAATGGCTAACAATGGCACCGGGAAATAGATGCAATGCAATTTTACGTCATACTTTTCTGCTTGAAAACAATCTGGTTATTCGTTTGATTTGGTCATTTAATGGCGAGTCACGTCAAACACTTAGTCCTTAGTGGAATTGCAGGAACCACAGACGTCTGATTAACAATTGGAATGTTACAAATTGATGCTACCAGCGACCTCAAAACATATAATAACAAATTGAGAAAAACCTCTTTACAATCCCTTTAAGTTCACATCTGAGATGTCTGCAATAAACAGACATGGTTAAAAAGCAACGAAATTTGTGCTCATCTGTCATTTGATTATCTGTGTCATTTATGAGCATGAATGCAGCGTCCTGTTCGTGTTCAATTGAAATAAATGTCATAATACGAGTGTTCAATGGTCGGACCATTAACTGTTATCAATGACGCAATTAACTATATTCCTTTTTAAAATATGTAATATTCTTAAGATTTTTTCTTTACTGAAAGTATACAGAAAAGTAGGACCTAAAACTCCATTCATTTCATTTCATTGTTACTGAAAGTATAATATTATTGACAGTTTTATGACCCAACCTTGGTTTTACAATGTTCTGGGTTAGAAAAAATTGATGAAAAAAATAAAATTTCTCACACGTTTCGATAATTGATTTTTTTTCAAAAGTTTTATTTAATTAATGTTTTTATTAATTAATATTTTTGTGTTTTGGACGGAATTGGACGGAATACAACGTATTCCACAGTTGTTATCATTTTTTAAATTACTGGACTTTCGTCCTTTAAGTTGTTAATTATTTCTTATTCCACTTCTTTGCACTTTTCTTTAGAACTTACATTTTCTCTTGAATAAAATAGTTAAAAGATTGCTATTTGTTTTCTCTTATATTGATATATTAGTTAGGCGTATCTATAAAATGGGAGATGTCTCATCGAGCCCCCATGATATATAGGATCCGGGGGCTGCCAGAGGTACCCCAAAAGCCAACGGATTTCAGATGGCCCTAGACGAATTTTGATCATTTAGAGGGCTTAATTTTCACTTCAAATTAAAACCTTTCACAGGCCCGAGGGGGTGGGGTAGGCATGGTCCATTGGCCCTCCGTCTAAATACGCTATTAGTCTCATTTATGACGACGAACAATTTTGTTGAAAGTCCTTTAGTCAAACAAAAAATGGCACCGAAAAAAAGAGAAGATACACAAATGGGGAGGAGGGGGTAATATAGCATAAAACTCTATCCCAAATCTAGAGTGACAGGAGGTTTTCCGTAAGAGTAAGCAATTTCAAAATTGTTTGTAAACTGGTTTCAAGGGAGGCAATCTTTATTCATAGTAATAATAGAAGTGCTATATTTTAACAAACAATATCACACAGGGCTTATCTTTATAAGACACTATATTTTGTCCGCTAACAATTTCTTGTATTGGGTGGTGGGGAGGGGGGAGACCTTAACCTTCGTCAATTAATCATGAAGATTGATTTTAAATATCAGCTTTAAAACAACCATCCTTGGATCCTAAGCTGGTATAGTGCATAGAAATATAATTGTTACCAAAATTATTGGTTATATAATGTTTGAACATTTCGTAAGCGTACTTATTCCACCTTACCCTGTCTCGTTTTGATTTGTATTAATTTCGGTACATTTGGTATATCTTTGTTTTTCTCGGTGTTTAGTCAAACCTAGCTATACCGGAAGTAGCCGAATGTTGTTTACCTTGGAATGTCAACACTTGTTAGAGGAAAGGAATATACATGTTTTCACTCTAAAATCTTATTATTATAAGCTTCAAGACACCGGTACGAATAATTTTAGATATCTGTAGTGAGATAGAACATATTTTTATTATGATCACGGACATGGCAAGATTTAGTCAGAGAAAACCCTGATCTTTGATTTTATCCCTGGCCTATCTCTACACAGTTGTGACAGGGACTGGGACTACAGGACAGGCTCCGACAGCTGATGACTTTGAAGCCTTACAGGAGATGACCTCTTTTGTTGCAGATAACACACTCCTTGAGAGTTTTGAACCTCTCGTCATTTTAATTCTTTACTTTTGTATTGGAGAACTTGAGAAAAAAAAACCATATAGATTGATAGCAGTCATGTTATTGTCTTTGAATGGTAGATCTGGATGATATACTGGGAAATTTAATCTTCTTCTGCATGCTTATAACCTCAAGCATACATAGTGGGTCACCCTTCTCCAAGCCTTAAATAAATATACCAAATGCTATAAAACATTTATGATATCTAATATATTCAGTACTAATAGGAATTCACACACAAATGACACCTGGATATTAATTGCTTATATCATAGTCTAAAGCTTGGAATGATTTTTTTAATCTTGCTACTGTCCACAATGGTCCTGGTCGATGTTCAACATAAATTCTTGTCTATTTTTCAGATATAATTATGATGATGGGTTGAATGAAATTAAAATGATGGAAGATTCTATCTCAGCAGAACCTGATTCAGGGACAAAACCTTTGAAAGTGAAAAAGAAGGCATTTACTGCAAAACTTGCCGAAAAGAAGAAAGGCTCACAAGTATCCATTGGAAACCAAAGTTTTGTCAAAGAAGCAGACACAGCAGTAGGCCAAATAAAGGAAGATGCGCAAGAAAAACTTGGTCAACTCAAGGTTGACGCAGAACCTGATAAAGGAGTTATTCACGTATCGACTAAAGAAAGACGTAGGGTACCCACACCAAAAGATAGACTCAAAAAATCTCCTGACGCTCGTGAAAATGATTCCAAAATACCAGATCAGAAAAATGAGCCCATATCTATAGATACTTTACAAAATGGTGTCAAATTAAAATATAATGGCACTAAGCCATTGAAACTGGACACAGAGAAACCCTTTTCACTGAAGTCTATTCAAGACATGCCTTTTATACCACAGCCACCTAGCACTCCATGTAAAACTCCTAGGAAATCAGACTTTAACCATTCATTTGATGAAACTGTGATACATAAACGAACTGTGATAGGACCTAGTGACAGTGCAGAAGAGGAACGTCATCAAAGCAAAGTGCTACATCAGAGATCTGATTCTTTACCAGAAGTCTCATCTGAATGTAAATCTCATGTCTCATATAAATCATCTCCACCATTCCCAGTACTGTCTATAAAGGAAGCTAGATCGAGGTTAGTAAGTCTTTGATTTCTTCTGGTTTTTATACGCCCACATCTCTCTATGTGGACGTATATTGTCCGCGCCCCTGTCCGTCTGTCCATCCGTCAACATTTGCTTGTTAACGCTCTAAAAACTAGATTTTTTGATGGAATCAAATGAAATTCGGTATGTGTATACATATATAACACTAAGATCAATTTCGAATTTGAGCTATTTTCGACCGTTAGAAGCAGGGTTATGAAAAAAATTTGCATGTGATACAGACTGTTTGTATAGTCGGCTGCACTAGTTCATTAAATCTGAAAAGGAGAGTATGCATACCAGAACACAGAATTGCGAAGCTCCTGCAAATTATTGGATTTTCAAAAATTGTTTTCATTATATTCGTTTGTAAGTATGCTTTTAGAGTACCGGTATACAAACGCACTTCAAAATATTCCCAGTGGGTAAAAGAACAGTTATACAAAACAGCTTTGTCTTCATTAAAGCACAGGACAAGTTGATACAATTGTTAAAACTAACAAAACATTACTAAGCTAACCAACACTTGTAAATGAATAGTCCTTGCTTCTGACCTAGGCCCGTGCTTTTTATGAGTTAAATTCTCATTTCACTTGTGCATAAGCTTACTCTCCCTTTTGATTTAACCAAACAGTCGTCTCATGTAAGATGAATTCATATTGATTTCAGAAGTTTAAGTATAGGAAAAGTTGACAATGCTGTTTTATTTATGGGTGCTGAAGAATTAGAACGTTATTTTCCTAATAGACAACTTCATGTATGGATTGGTTCCTGGAACATGGGAGAACATAAGGTGAGTAAATTGTAAATAACATTCATTTTTTTGGAACATGGGAGAAACTAAGGTGTTGAGCATTTCTATTTTTTCTATGTGAACATAAGAGAAAACTGTGTAATCAATTTAATTTTCATGAGAACATGAGAGAAACTAAGGTGTTGAGTATTTCTATTTTTTCTATGTGAACATATGAGAAAACTGTAATCAATTTAATTTTGAAGAGAACATGAGATATGTTAAGGTATAAATTTCAATTACTCTAGTTATGACAACATGAGATATGTATTTAACTTACTTTATTTGGAACATCTGAGAAATTTAATGTGTTGAATTAATTTATTTTGTTAAACATTAGAGGAATGTAAATGTTTATTTTTATGAGAACATGAGAGAAATCAAGGTGTGTTTTTAAATCGGTTTTAAGGAGCACAGGGGAAATTTATGTCTGACTGAATTTAAGGGATTATTTTTTTGGGAACATAAGTGAAAGGAAAAACATACAAAAACTATCACTTGTGTTAAAAAATGTATGGTTTTCATATTATGATGTTGATTTTTTTTTCCATTAATGTTATCTTTCTTTGTTGTTATTGGAAAACCAATGATTTATGCAAATAAAAAAATCAAGTTGTAGAGAATTTTATGCTGTGCTCCAAAAAATCTTCATCAAACCTACTCAAAAAATGTCTTAGCAAAGTCGTTTTCTTTCTTCAATGTGATACAAGTCTTGAAGTGTAAATTTTGTATATTTTCAGACATTATCATCACCAATGACAGATTTTCTATTACCAGAATCATGTAAATATGTACAGAATATGTATGTTGTTGGTACACAAGAGAACGCTATGAATAGGTTAGTATATTAATAATTGTATTTAAAAGTGTGAAGTTTAATCTCATTCTCATGTGTATGTATTACTAATTATGTCATATTGTTAGTGTTTTTTACACTGTACAATGTTTATGACTACCTCAACAGTTAGTTAATTGTTTGTTTTATGCTGATGATTTTCAAGGAAAGCTGAAAAATAGCTCTAGCAGGTGTTAATGTAAATATTTATAGAAACTCATTGGAATTCTTTTGGGATACAAAAATTATCAACTTTACAAATAATTAACACTCACGAAAGAGAAAAACAGAAAATAAAAAAACATAGATTATTCAAATTCTCAAGATTGATAAAAAAAAATATTTTGAAATTGTGTAAATTTCGGCAAAAACTAAGAACTTGAAGACTGAAATTGTGACAATTACATTTTCATTTTTCAGAAAAGAGTGGGAGGTGTTACTACAAGATACATTAGGTCCAATGTTTGTATTATTTCATTCTGTATCTCATGGTTCTCTTCATTTAGCAGTATTTATTCATCGTGATCTCATCTGGTTTTGTTCAGGTAAATTTCTCATATCTTCATAATTCTATTTTAGCCCTAAGCTCATAAGAGTCTAAAGACTATGTTGAATCAAAGTTCCATTAAAATAAGTAATATGATTTATATTGCTAGCGAAGTAGGGCATGTTTACCCTTCCACTGTGTGTTTTGAACTGTCCACCCATCATCCGTTCAGCGACTTCACATATAATTATTTGCAACTAGAATACGTGCCAATTGTAATTAGTTGCGATGAAGATTAGTGAATGCATCTAAGACAGACATTTCTGACAAAGTTTTATGTCGAAAATCAATATGAAATATTAGACAATGAAAAAAAACAAATATTTTTTTTTTTTTCTATTATTTCTTCTATTTTGTATCATTACTTCTATTTTTTATAATTTCTTCTATTTTATATAATTTCTTCTATTTTGTTTCTTCTATTATGTATAATTACTTCTGTTATGTATAATTTCTTCTATTATGTATAATTTCTTCTATTTTGTATAATTTCTTCTATTATGTATAATTCCTTCTATTTTGTATAATTTCTTCTATTTTGTATAATTTCTTCTATTATGTATTATTTCTTCTATTTTGTATAATTACTTCTATTTTGTATAATTTCTTCTATTTTTTTTATAATTACTTCTATTTTGTATAATTACTTCTATTTTGTATAATTTCTTCTATTTTGTACCAAGTAGAACAGATGAAAGTTATTGATGAAGTCTTTTATTTGGTGCCTAAAATCATGCATTTTTACAATTTAAAACTTTAAATACTACTCCATATGTTTTCTTTTCTTTCTAGTGCCAGAAGAAGATCTTGTATCAACTAGAGCAATGACTATGGTTAAAACGAAAGGAGCTATTGCCATTTCTTTGTCATTTTTTGGTACTTCTATGTTGTTTATTAATTGTCATCTTACATGTAAGTATCTTATGATAATAATATTACAAAAAGTAAGCTTAACCAGTAACAGCATACTAGGAAATGTAGTCTCTGGATATCTTCATGACTAGTCTTCGACCTTTGAATCTTATGTTAGTATCATTTCTACCTGGTTTTAGAAGGATACAAACATATATGATGTATTTTCATCAATATACAATAATACATCTGTACTATGCTTGTGAAGGATGCTGGGAGAGATTGATTATTCTATGTTCATCTTCACGCTAAGCTTGCAAAATTGCTACCTGTAAAATCTCGATAATACTATTTCATTAAAAAAAAATTCTGGCAAGAAACTAATTTCATTAATTGTACTTTAGCTTTTTTTCAACTGAAATGGAATTTGAGTTGCTGTTATTTTTCTTAGGATATTGTTGTTTTATTTCTATTATATCTTAGATTTTTCTGGAATTACGGAATCTCCATTTATCAAACACAAAATTTTTTTTCTTCTTAATTCAGGAGTGATTTCCCTTTAGTCAATAAATTATCTGTTAAAGCGCTTGTAAGTCTTTGAGAAAAAATTTATTTGGTTTTACCCATGTTTTCTAAGAAAATTCCATATTTAGTTTCAGGATATCTCTATGTAAATTTGAAGACGTCTGGCTATCTTTGTTTTTATTTTCAGCTGATCAGTCGAAGAAAAGAGACAGAATATTAGATTATGAGAAGATTATATCTGGACTAAAACTACCCAAATCATCTCGATCATCTAAAGGTTGGTATTGAGTTATTTTCCATAAAGCACTGAATTTATTTATTAAACGCCTAATTTTGACTGTGTTTATTTAAGTTACAGATGTAACAGCTAATTTCGACTGTGTTTATTTAAGTTATAGATGTAACAGCTAATTTTGACTATGTTTATTTATATTATAGATGTAACAGCTAATTTTAACTGTGTTTATTTATAGTAATTTTGACTGTGTTTATTTATATTATAGATGTAACAGCTAATTTCAACTGTGTTTATTTATGTTATAGATGTAACAGGTACGGAGTAATTTTAACTGTGTTTATTTATATTACAGATGTAACAGCTAATTTTGACTGTGTTTATTTATATTCTAGATGTAACAGCTAATTTTGACTGTGTTTCTTTATATTATATATGTAACAGCTAATTTTGACTGTGTTTATTTATATTATAGATGTAACAGCTAATTTTGACTGTTTATTGCATATTATATAGATTTACCAGCTACAGAATGACTGTGTTAATCTATATTATAGATGTAACAGCTAATTTTGACTGTGTTTATTTATAGTAATTTTGACTGTGTTTATTTATATTATAGATGTAACATCTAATTTTGACTGTGTTTATCTATATTATAGATGTAACAGCTACAGAATGACTGTGTTTATCTATATTACAGATGTAACAGCTACAGAGTAATTTTGACTGTGTTTATTTATATTATAGATGTAACAGCTACAGAATGATTGTGTTTATCTATATTATAGATGTAACAGCTACAGAGTAATTTTGACTGTGTTTATTTATATTATAGATGTAACAGCTAATTTCGACTGTGTTTGATTAATATTATAGATGTAACGGCTAATTTCGACTGTGTTTGATTAATATTATAGATGTAACAGCTAATTTCAACTGTGTTTGATTAATATTATAGATGTAACGGCTAATTTCGACTGTGTTTGATTAATATTATAGATGTAACAGCTAATTTCGACTGTGTTTGATTAATATTATAGATGTAACGGCTAATTTCGACTGTGTTTATTGGTGTGGTGATTTAAATTTCCGTATTGAAAGAAAGAAGATAACAGTTGAACAGAAGGTATCTGAGATAACAGAAAGAAGTATACAGAATTATGATGACTTGATTAAAGCTGATCAACTAACTCATATATTAACTGAGGGTAAGCGCATCTCATGTTTAACCCTTCGAACCCTGAGTGCAAATGAAATATAACGTCATATACCCTGAACTCCAAGTAATGAAAGTAAAAGCGTATGACGTTAACGGTGTATGACGTCACTTAGCAACGGCCGGTATACTGGCTGCTCGGGTATACATTGCGTTAGTGTTTGGCCGGTAAACCAGCGGCTAGGGTTGAAAGGGTTAAAGGGATAAACTTGTCTAATATTTAGCTGACTTGTAAAAAATGTTCAGTTTTAGTTACCCTACATTTGCGTGGTCCAGTTAGTTAATGTGCTAGAATTTAAAGTCATGAGGATGGTTTTGCTTAAATGGTGGTTGTCTGATCTCAGTCGACATGTGAAAATCGGGTGATCTCCCTTTCTTTATTCCAATCTTCTCAGTTGTAAATTGATACCATTAACTAAATCTACTTAAAATAAAATTAGGAATTTGTTTCTTTTTTGTTTTCTTTCATTCGTCTCCATTGTAATTCAAATAAGTTTCCTACCCTGGTACTGTTCAAATAACATGACTTTTAACCAATCATGTAGATAGCATTATCAATTGTGGGATGTAGGCTCTACATGATATATTTTATGGTAAGTTTGTGAATTAAAATAAGTTTTGCACAGGTTGGAATTTTGGATGGATGAAATTTGATGTGAAATAAATTTGGTTACCTTATGTATTTAAAGACACTAAGTGTATGGTATACCAATGTATCTTATAGGTAGAATATTTCATGGTTTTCAAGAAGGAAGAATAACATTTCCACCAACTTATAAATATGATGTCAGTAGTAATCAGTTTGATACTTCTAATAAAAGTAGAATTCCTTCTTATACGGTAAGAATATTATCTTATATTCTGTTTCTATTCATATTTCACCTATCATTATGAATCTATCAATCAATCAGAAGTTATATAGGAATTTATTTTATATTTTTCTGAATTTGAATTTTATTTCAAATTATTAGGAATTTTATTATCACCTGTATTATTATGAATTTGATTTTAATTGAAATTATCCCATATATTTATGGATCCATCTCATTTTATTATGAAGCTTTCTCATACCTTATGAATTATCCCATACCATTATAGATTTATCTGAATCCATTATGGATTGATCTGAATCCATTATGGATTTATCTAAATCCATTATGAATTTATCTGCAACCATTATTGATTTATCTGAAACCATTATGGTGATATCTTTGTTATTATAAACTCCTCTGAATTTATCCCATACCATTATAGATTTATCTGAAACCATCATGGATTTATCTGAATCCATTATGGATTTATCTGAAACCATCATGGATTTATCTGAAACCATTATGGATTTATCTAAAATTATTATGGTGATATCTTTGTTATTATAAACTCCTCTGAATTTATCCCATACCATTATAGATTTATCTGAAACCATCATGGATTTATCTGAAACCATTATGGATTTATCTGAAACCATTATGGTGATATCTTTGTTATTATAAACTCCTTTGAATTTACCTCATACCATTATTATGGTTTTCTCATGGTTGCTATTAATATTTATTTATCTCATACCATTATAAGATTTATCTTTATTGTTACAGGATAGAATACTGTTCAGATCTAAGAAGAGAAATCATATATCCTGTTTAGATTATAATTCAGTTATGTCTGTAAAAGTATCTGATCATAAACCAGTGTATGGTATTTACCAAATGGCGCTGAAACCAAGCAAAGAAATGTAAGTATATTATCTGTAATAGTTATCTTAATGACTATATATATCCTGGTCAATTCTGAGCTGCTTTGAAAAGGACCTGTTATTTATTTGTCATGTTTTTTTAAACAAAATTATCCTGCTCTAAATGAATATATTTCATAAAAAACATTTGCATTACCAGTAAATAGAGCTTTTTCTTAGCTATCTGTAGTACCTTTCAAAAGGAAAATCTGACATGTGGTTTATCTAAGTTAAATTTACTAGTTGAAGTGTAGAGAGTGATAACTTTCAAGGCCGTTTTGAAAATTATATACAGTTAAACCAGGGTGTCATGGGAAAATAAACACACTTGGCATATTTAAACAGCCATTATGTCTGCCAGCGCATATTTATTTAATTGCAGACTAACCATAGGTCAGATTAATGAAAAAATAATGAAAAGTATTACTGATATCTGAAATTTGCTACCAGTATATATTAGCTAGTAAAGCAAATATTTAGACAAATATATTTTCAAAGTTGTTCAACCTATAAAGCTGTTATTTAGTGAATTGATGTCAAAATTTCTACATTTATGAGGTCATAATATTGTAGTCATAGCTTTGATACTTTTGGAAAAATCCTGAATTGAAAGTGTTATCGATTTGTTTGGAACACCCGATATACATTTAAATCTAAAATATTTCACTCAAGTCCAATGGAATTGTCAAATACTTGATAATAGTTAAATATTTTCTTTAGTAGACCATCCGCTGCCGGCCATTTTGATAAAGAGGTGTATTTAAAAGGTAAGTTATTTCAGTTATGCGTTCTTAAGTTCTATAAGTTTTCATAAATAAATACACTTTAGCATACATAGTCATGTCAATATTTGCATAACTAGCTGATGATATTCATTAATATATTATAGCTATCTACGGTGACTCACATACAACATATTTCACTTTTGATTTTGAATTAAAAATGTTAATTTTCACCTAGATGATAATTATTTTCACCTAGGTGATAATTCCTGTAATTTTTAATTAAAAACTTAAATTTTCACCTAGAAGATAATTATTTTCACCAAGGTGATAATTCATAGAATCTTGTAAAGAATGGCGAAAAAAGTTTTTAATTCAAAATTCTGGAATTATCACCTAGGTGAAATTTAAAGTTTTTAATTCAAAATAAAAAGTAGAAAATGTTGCATGTGAGCCACTGTAGCTTTCTGTGTCAAATTCCAATTATCATATGAAATTGTATTAAATGCAACAGTTTGATTTGAATTGTTCATAGAAAAATTATAGCTCTCGACTAGAATATAATCATACACAAGAATGTAGATAATATACATGTATACATGTTGAACAATATAAGCTGGGTTGCCCCAATTGTAGAATGGCACTAGGTGTTTAGAAAAGTGAACACTGGCTGCCTCACTAGTGACATCTTTCTATAACTGTTTGATAAATCTTTAATACATTAAGGACATTTCTAACTTAAATGGGCCCAGACCATTATATAGCATCAATATAATGTTTGGATTTCTTTTACTAAGAGTCAAATATTCTTTAATAAATTTATAGACTAAAAATGGTTTCGTTTCTCAAAATAACCATATATCAAGCATGTTAAAGGGACAGGTGCGCCATTCTTTTTGACCAATTATACTTCAGTCTCAGAAACAGGGAATTTTTTAGCTGAGTTAATCTGTAATAGTGTTCACAGCTCACTGTTGAAATTTGAGCCTTCAAATCCATGTGTGTCCAAAATTATCCGCATTTGAAACTTAAAATGATGACTCGTCAAGATAAGGTACTCTGTGATATATAGAAAAGATATATATAGAAATAGTGAGTAAAATTCCTAGTTCGAAGTATTTTTAAAGGAATTATGTGATTTTCGTACATTTCTAGTACTTCTGAAGACTATTTACATATATTCAACACTCAAATCAACCCCCTAAAATGGCGCAACCATCCCTTTAATATCTGTTCACTTAGCTAGAAACAGCAATTGAAGTAGTGGCTTCAAATACTTTTTATTACAGTTGACTGTAAAATAGATTGAAACAAGTGTTTCTGAATTCAAAGTGTTTGATTTTTGAAACATTTTTTTGAAACAAAAACAATCTTTTGACTGAAGCAGCATACAACGGACTATATTTTTAAATATCAAAATAATATTTTCATGGAAAACCGTTTTACCCATCTAGGATGCCCCCTTCAATACCCCTAGATTTCCACAGTGAGTGATTATTGATTATTGTTACTTTGCAGCAAACCAGAAGTTAGCGTCACAACAAAATCATACAGGAAATCAGAAAAATAGCTCTATATGTTCCATCCAGTAAACTTTTATTGTACCAATAGTGTTTTTAACTCTATAACCAATGTTTCAATTTGAAATATACTGAGTCACTTTTTTTTTGTGAATCTCTCTTGTCAATCATTATCATACATCTCCATTTAATAAGATACACCGTCTTGTATTTGATACATTTATAATGATACATATTGTTGTGATACTTCTACTTACTGTATAATTGTGAATATAATGCGCATCCCTTCTTACTCCCAAGTATTTCTGGAAAAATTTAATATTCAGATACTTCTCTTTGTATTTAGATACATCATGTATTTAGATATATTTCCTCGTAATCAGAAACATTGAGTATTTAGATGCATTTCGGCATAATCAGATACATCATGTATTCAGATACATTGTGTATTTAGATACATTTCCTCGTAATCAGATACATCGTGTATTCATATACATCTCCTCATATTTAGATACACGTTCTTGTATTTAGATACACTTCTTTGTATTTAAATACATTTCTTATTGTTACAATAACTAAAACAATAAACAATGTCCCACTCTATTTATGAAATATTAGGAATAATTGTGTGGATTATTTATGATATGCACTGGCTATTTTGCATTATCACGATGCGTGTTCCCTATGGCTGCTAACAACGGTAAGGATAAGATAAGACACAATAGGCGAGCTAGTTTTTTTTCTTTTGTTAAGAATGATATTAAGTAATTTAGGTAGGGATGGTGATATGTTTTTTAATGCCCATTTTTGTACCGCCGCAGTGAGAAACAGCCACGGCCTTAGGGATAAGTTTAAAGGTATCTAATATGATTAGGTTTTATTTGCTCAAGTTAGAATACCAGGGAAATATTTAATTAGTAGTAATACTTGTACCTGAATAAGAAAGATAGTGAACCATTTACAGACCAAGTTTTATGAACTTCAATTGAAGATGTAAGGCCCACAAGATTTACAAAACGTTCTCTTGAAAAAGGTCAAAAATTGTTCCAAAAATGTTACGAAATGTTATTGAAAATCGGTAGGAAACTTACAACAAAATCATTTGACTGTGATAACAGTTGTTTACTCTTAAACTAGAAAATGGAATCTGTCATTGTTTTAAACATAGAACTATATACATTAATGAAATTATAGGGTCAAAGTAAAAATGAAGTTAAAGAGCCAGTTGTCTATATTGATGCCGTCCATAAATATTTATATTTCCTTGTTGAAATTGTGCCAATTGGAGTGATATAGTCATCTTGATATTTGCTTTATCAGCTGACAGAAATCAACTTCATCTATATGTGGCACTTTCTATAATTTATATCCAATGTCAATATCCAATGTTACGTAGTACCTTTACTACCAATAACAGCAATACGACAAATCAATGATTTGAAAAATAGAGAACTAGACAAATGGGCAATACAACAAATAGACAATATGACAAATAGACAATATGACAAATCAGCAATACAACAAATAGACAATATGACAAATCGACAATATGACAAATCAGCAATACAACAAATAGACAATATGACAAATCGACAAAATGACAAATCAGCAATACAACAAATAGACAATATGACAAATAGACAATATGACAAATCAGCAATACGACAAATCAGCAATACAACAAATAGACAATATGACAAATCGACAATATGACAAATCAGCAATACAACAAATAGACAATATGACAAATAGACAATATGACAAATCGACAATACCACAAATAGACAATACAACAAATAGACAATATGACAAATCGACAGTGTGACAAATCAACAATACCACAAATAGACAATACAACAAATAGACAATGTGACAAATTGACAATATGACAAATCGACAATAGGACAAATCGTCAATACACTTTGGAAGTATGAACAGTAAAAACAATTTCACAAGAAAATTTCATTTAACTGTATCAGCTGGAAAAGCAAATATTTAGGTGAATATATCCTTTCAAACAGAAGTAACTTTTATTTTTAGTAGGAAATAAAGCAGCAAATTTGTTTTTAGCTCTGTTTATTTATTTGTTTGTGCTCTAGATATTCTAGATATATTGGATTTAGTTTGTTATTTTATGAATTTGTTGAAAATGAAGGTTATTTATTAAGTATATTATTTATATTGTATATTATCATGTAATAAATACAGATGTTCTCAAAACAGTATGTTTTCTAAACAAATAATGAGTTTTAAATTGTGTTATTTTAGGGTTGTTAATGGATATGGAAGTAAAACAAATGAAATGCATTATACCCCAATCTGATTCAGTAATGTATGACACACCAATTTGATTCAGGAATACTTGATACACCAATCTGATTCAGCAATACTTATTACACCAATCTGATTCAACAATACATGATACACCAATTTGATTCAGCAATACTTGATATACCAATCTGATTCAACAATACATGATACACCAATCTGATTCAACAATACATGATATACCAATCTGATTCAGCAATACATAATACACCAATCCGATTCAACAATACATGATACACCAATCTGATTCAACAATACATGATATACCAATCTGATTCAACAATACTTGATACACCAATCTGATTCAACAATACATGATATACCAATCTGATTCAACAATACATGATATACCAATCTGATTCAACAATACATGATATACCAATCTGATTCAACAATACATGATACACGAATCTGATTCAACAATACATAATATACCAATCTGATTCAACAATACATGATACACCAATCTGATTCAGCAATACATGATATACCAATCTGATTCAACAATACATGATACACGAATCTGATTGACCAATACATGATATACCAATTTGATTCAACAATACATGATATACCAATCTGATTCAACAATACATGATACACCAATCTGATTCAACAAAACATGATATACCAATCTGATTCAACAATACATGATATACGAATCTGATTCACCAATACATGCAAAAATTACATCTAGTGTGATTATTGAAGAGGAAGTTTGGAAAATATGCAAGCTAGACAATTATAAATGAAAACAAATTTATTTATAATGGATCTAGGAATAAATAAATAATTTACAATAAATAATATTCGACTTGGAATTCGGCGATTCAGTGTAAATTCGATGTTTATTTTCGATCGAATTCAATGGGCTGACACAAATCGTTGGCAGATCTGGCTTTGACATTTTCAATCATCTGTTTGAAATCACCAAATTTTTCCAATGAAAATATGTGTTTGTCGTCTTTGCCGGTAACAACTGATTCTACTTCCCGTCTGGCTGACAGTGATGATTTCAGGCCAATACCCAGGGCCCATACATTGGTTTTTGGTTGCAGCCACCTAGCAACGGTGTATCTCAGATCCAGTCCACAGTTGGATTGTCCGTCAGTGACCAACAGGGTGTCTTTAACGGTATAATCTCTCATACCTAAAATATATAAAATACTTTGGTGAAAAATCTGCTTTGGACTTTATTGCGGTTTATGTAGACGGGCAACGGCATTTGGTACGGTTCCAATTGTTGTATGATCTTTAACATACGCAGAGTGCAGCACCTGCTGTGTGTACAGTTGTTTTGTTCCGACCTAAACGAAACTGACGTGCTTAACTGATATGCTTGACCTTTGGACTCTTTACTCATCAAACAATGCTTCCAATGTGACTGAAAGCTGCAATCTTGCCGGTCATAGATACATCACGGTGGATAAAAATATGATCAAATCTAGAAAATAACTATCGTCTGGACAATCGGGTTCTTAAGTTCTTGTACCTACCATTTTCAGGAACAAAAACTTCATCTGCGGCTACTTTAGTTGCGTTACCAGTACATGTGTTACCAGCGTAATGACGTAAGTCGGTAACCTTCTGTTTCAAACTGGTTGGATCTTGAGAATCACTAAATTTGTGGATAATGGTGACATTGGTAGCAAACTGGATGATGGCAAGACGGTTGTTGGCCTCGGCATATCCAAATCCTCCACAGAAAAGATCTATCATCACTTTCAGACCATCCTTCATGAACTCAAAATCTTCATCAAGTATACTTCCACTTGAGTCCAAGATGATCAAAATGTCCCTTGGTTTGTTGGGGTTACTACCGTTGGTAAGGAATCCATTTTGAAATTGTTCTTCAACGCTAGAATTAACCTTTACTGAAATTAGAATACGAAGCAGCCAATACAGTTGAAGAAGTGTTCTAGTTATTTATGGATAATACCACCATACCGCCATTGGGTATTTGCGATAATACTGTCATAATCTGATCAATTTTTCGAAAATATGAAGAAGCTCAGGCGTTGGACCATTCGGCAATCCTCTGAAGTTTTCAAAGCTCTGAATTAGAGCGCTAGCACAACTTTCGCGGCAGACCGTTTGGGGTTGGGCGGAATGGAATGGTCTTTTGAACCCCATTTAAGGATATACCAGATTCAGTAATGTAGCATTTGTTACATCGTGTATTACTTTTCTTGAACGTTATGTGGATCGTTCATATTTCAAAAAGAAAAGTTCACTTACTAGAATATTTACTGACATCAATAGTTTGTTTCAGCTCATCTTCTCCTGGGCAACCACAACCACTCTCCAGTATGGTTCGTGTTCGCTGAATTTTACCAAATCCAATCGGTTTCGACCATTCAGACCATTCTGATACCACGCACTTTTTAACATCTTCGGGTCTGATCAGTGGATTTTCTAAGCTCAGTTTGCTACACAAGGGGTTAAGTTGCTTCTCTGCAGCGTTGTTGACCTACAAAATGTTTAATCGACAAGATAACATTGTAGGTTATGCTGATAAACACAGTCGCAAAATGGCGAACGATATTGTCGAAGAGTGTTTCAGCTATGAATGGAGAGATATTTTCCGATTTGATTTTAACCTACATGTATCTATTGAAAAATCGACGCCACTTTTGTCTGCAATTTAAGTCCAACGAGGAAGGGTTTGCATTGAGGGCATTGCTTCCGCATTGCTTTTCGTCAAACGACTAGTGGCTCAACAAGAAGTTTGAGGGCCCGTGAACTTTAGTCGGCTGTAGCCCTTCCCCCGGGAATTTGTTTTAAATAAATGCTCTCTTGCATTTCTTTCTGAGGACGGAGGCCTCAGCATGGATGGGCCTCGTGGACTTCGTTCAACTATTCCCTATCGTAGTTGGGTCACTGCACACGACCAGCTCCCAAACACAATGCATCCCTTTAAGGTCAAAGCAGTAGTCAACACAAACCTCATCAATGGTCTTTGCTAAAACTTCTTGTAAGTTACTCAGTGCGTCTCGGTACTGGTTCCTCAAATCCTCCATAGCATTTTTGCACGATATAGATTTCATTATCTGATCACCACGACAATAACTGGTTTGCCTTTTAGATATTGATTTTAAATCTATGGCCGTGACTAGGTATAACAAACAGGACCATAGTACTAATTTATATATCTTCTCCATTATCATCTGCAAATACAAAATGTACATATTACCGTGTCATCTATTCTTTTTGTTTGTTTTTGTCGTGTCATCTATTCTATTATTTTGATATTACCGTGTCATCTATTATTTTTGTTTGTTTTTGTCGTGTCATCAATTCTATTATTTTGATATTACTGTGTCATCTATTCTATTTGTTTGTTTTTGTCGTGTCATCTATTCTATTATTTTGATATTACCGTGTCATCTATTCTATTATTTTGATATGACTGTATCATCTATTTTATTGTTTTCGCATTACCGTGTCATTTATTCTCTTATTTTTCATATCACCGTGTCTTCTATTCTATTGTTATGATAGAATGATATATGCCGAGTCCGTTATTTAAATGTAAAGAGTCGTTGATCATTTTGCCATCTATTCTGTTATATTTGATCATGATCTCTGTCATCTGCTTCATTGATATGAAGAGACTTTAACTTCCGCCTATACGTTATCTATTCTATGATGTTTTAGTTCGACCCGTTATTGTGGATCAATGATATCATTGTTTATATAATCTATGTCATCTATTCCGTTGATATGACGAGTCACTCATCTTGATCTATGCCATCTATTCATTGCTGTCTTTTCCATTGTTTTGCTAATGACGGGTCATAGACCTTGGCCTGTGTCATAAATTCCCGATTCATAAGTCATCTATTCCATAGTTATGAAATGAGACATTGGTCTTAAATATTGTGGCTATTGTGGACAGATTGTAACGAACGACGAAAGGCAGCGCTATAGGTTTATCTTTTTTTCATTTCTGGTAGTATCTGCAATACCTGTTGCTGAAAACGCCTCGGTTGATATTCGAAATCTATATGTCACAGTTATTCTATATGAAACAAACATAGTAATCATGTCAGCGTGACCCTACATCCCAATTAAAACATACGAATAATTCACTCCAACGGTAATCAGAGCTGCTTAGAATTAAAGTTGGTTTCAATTTGTTTTTTTAATCCTCAACGCAAACAAGCCAAGTATTATTGAAGTCATTGACGTTGCAATTACCATTTTACGTAACTTTTCAATTTTTGACTAGAGTCTGCAATCTGCAACTTTCAGGGTCCGAAATTCGATTCAAGCATTTGCATTCATGTTGACTTAAAAAGCACTTATATGGCTAAATCTCAGCCTGTCATAAAATGAGTCAAATCATGATAGCCAACAATCTAAACGATATTTCAAAATTTTGATAAAAAAAGATATTACAGATAGTCAAGAATATAACAATATTTAAAAATTGTGATATTAAGAGTTATAACACGATAGTCAAGAATATAAACGATTTTTACGAATTATGATAAATAACATGATAGTCAATAATTTAGAAAAATTATTTAAGAATTATAAATATAAAGAGCTATAACATGATAGTCAAGAATATAAACGATATTTACGAATTATGATAAATAACATGATAGTCAAGAATATAAACGATATTTACGATATCTGATAAATAACATGATAGTCAAGAATTTTAAAAACGATATTTGTGATATTAAGACAATTGATATTAAAAGCTATGTTTGACAATTATTCTAACATGATATAACAAAATTCAAAAATAGAAACGATATTTTACAATTGTGATGTAAGGAATCACAACGTTATATGAAAAAAATAACAAAAATAATGTAGCATGGAATATTCATTAGAGAAAACCACTTACGTTAGACAGAGATACGATTAGGTCCAACTTACGACACCTTCAAAGACCGAATAAGTGAAGAAGTTCTTATATATTCAGAAAGCATATAACATGCCACCCTTTATACCACAATGATGTCATTTTTACAGGTGTAGTTTGTTGAATTTCTAATTTGTAGACATAGATAGACTCGATTAACTTTTAAGAAAATTAAGAAGGAAGTGGCCTGTTAATCAAGGTAGATAAAGGCAAAAATGTACAAAACAAATAAAAAAGAAGCCTTTGTACCTGTGTGTTTGGTTTATGTCATTGAAGAAGTGGGCGCGTGCACCCTTTTCTACAATACCGTGAAAGAGAAAAAGATTTCTATGTTTTTATTGTAAGTTAAGATGAGTGTTAGAAGGATAAAAGAATATATTAAAACTATATATCCTATTCTTAATCTTTTTTTTTTTCCTCAACAAATACCTTTTACAGATTTATAAACTAAAATGGAATTAAATAAGCATCGTGTCAAACTATCTCTTTAAGATTCTGATAAGATGCATTAAGAAGACACCCACATAATCCAACTGGAATAAGACGGGATATAAAACCCTGATTAAAAAAACAACACCACAGGGACATATGCCCACATTATTAAATGAATACGTCTCTGATCTTAACCACAGTCAAAATTAGGCAAATTATCATTTACTCTCCTGCAATTCGACAGTAAAGCGGCGGTTCTATCCATACGGTCCAAATGACCTTATTTGGTTATAACTAATAGTTACCTAGATTAGAAAGTAATATTTTGTCGGGAAAGTCAACATTTTGTTCTATTTAAGTCGATTTATTTGTGTGGATCATGCCAGTCTTTGCACATGTGTAGATCATGTTGCTCTATTTGTGTATATGATGCCAGTCGTTCTATTTGTGTGGGTTATGTCAGTCATTCTTTTTGTACATCAAGTCAGTCGTTCTATTTGAGTAGATCATGCCAGTCGTTAGTTTTGTACATCAAGTCGTTCTATTTGTGTAGATCATGTCAGGCGTTCTAATTGTACATTACTTCCGTTGTTCTATTTGTACACTATATCCGTCGGTTCTATTTGTGCATCATGTCAGTCGTTCTAGATCATGCCGATCGTTGCATTCCATGTCAGTTCTTTTTGTGTAGATCAAGCCAGTTCTGTAAGTGTAGATCATACCAATTGTTCTACATTTTTAGATCATGTCGGTAGATCTTGTTAGTCGGTCTACATGTACTTGTGCGCCATGCCACCCATTCTGTTTGTATAGCTGTTTTAGGTGTCAGTATATCTACAACCAACTGAAGTAGATTCTGGTGTGTCTTATTAACTTTTCAAAGTGTTGTTATACTCGTTGACATTCCTTACAGACTCGGTCATTGGAATAGGTTTTAGATACCTCTGAAATCACAATGCAAATATTATATATACCAACATCAATACGGACGTCCGAACCTACTCCTTAAGTCACGAAGTTCCGTTATCAACTCGTAACATAACTTAAATTTATTAAATTTGGAAATTTCACCGCCCTTGTTTCACAAATTTTGGAAAGAACTAAGATCCGCCCAGCTTAAGACCAGTCTACGCTTATATTCTTACTGTATACGGTCATCTGAAATAGTTCAAATTCATGTCTTCCTTTATTCTTAGTGTTACGGTTGGGGGGGGGGGGGGGGAGTTTCGACGTATATCCTCGTCATCGACAGGTATAGTCTGGGCGTCAGAGCAATATAACAGTAAGTTATTAGAATAACTATATCCCTTTAAAGAAACAGATGCGCCATTTTTTTTTTATCAATTATACTTTAATTGTTTTTAGCTAAACCAGTCAGTAATAGTGTTCACAGCTCACCGTAGAAATTTGAGTCTTCAAATCCATGTGTCCAGAATTATCCGCGTTTGAAAGTTAAAATGACGACTCGCCATTTTAAGATACTCTGTGATACATGGAAAAGACAAATATAGCTATAGAACGTTAAATTTCTAGTTTGAGGTATTTTGACAGAATTATGCGATTTTCGTACATTTCAAGTGCTTCCTAAGGCTATTTACATATATTTCAAACCCATATCAAACCCCTGCTAATGGCCTTTCGGTCCCTTTAAAGACACCGATAAACACACTTATTTAAACTTTCTTCCGATCCGAAAGTGCATCAGTTTTGTCTTGCTTAATACAGCAAATCTTGGGATTCTTTCTCAAAGAAAGTTTAAGTCGGAATTTAATCTGTTGGATAGGGTGTGAAGGAGGCATTTTTTAACATCACAATCCGCAATCCTTACAGCCTTTTGTAAACAGGGTAAAAGAAATGGGATAAAGACTTAAATTGTCACGAAACTTTTTTTCTTTTATGACTCAGCAATGAGAAGTATTTTTGTTATGTAAATAGAGTGTTATTACTATCACCAAAACAAAGTGTTTTTCTACCTTTTTAAAACCATAGAATAGAGTTGGCATGTTTAATATACCTTTTTTCAAGTAGGAATTAATATTTTCAAGGAATTTAAAAGACGTTTTATGACTTCGTGTGTGTATTGACGACATTTAAAAATTTTGTTATTATACATGTAGGCCTACTCATTGGATTTCCCGTCCGACGCCTGATCAAGATAGAACCAAAGCCTACACATACATAAACACTGAAAAAATACATTTTTATTTCTTAAAGGGACAGGTGCGCCATTTTTTTGCCAATCACACTTAAGTCTCAGCAACTGGAATTTTTTTAGTTATGCCAATCAGAAATAGTGTTCACAACTCACCGTTGAAATTTGAGCCTTCAAATCCAAGTGTGTCCAGAATTATCCGCGTTTGAATGTTAATTAATGACGACTTGTCAATTTAAGATACTCTGTGATATATAGAAAAGACGTATATAGAAATAGTGAGTAAAATTCATATTTGAAGTATTTTTGAAAGAATTATGCGATTTTTGTACATTTCTAGTACTTCTGAAGACTATTTACATATGTTCAAAGACTCAAATCAACCCCCCAAAATGGCGCATCTGTCCCTTTGAACATTTTCCATTACTAGTATGGTTTTTATGACCCGAGATTTCTTCACTCTCAGATTGGTTTCCCATTTATATTTGATACTTGGGTAGGCCTACACAAATATCCTTACTTATTACAGATACGTCTAAACGAAACGAAGAGAAAAGAAAACTCCTTCAGCTTCACCCTCAGATCTGGAATTCTGATCCATTTTTTTCTACTTTGAGATATTGGCCGTTCGTCTCATTTTGGTACTGGCCATTCAGCATTTCATCCCGATTAAAATTTTGTTCCTTGCATAACATATTGTTAGTATTAATCTTTTTCAATGTATGCCTAACATTACCTATTGGCGTGGAAGACGTTTATGTGTGTTATATAGTAGGACAGATGTTTGTGCTTCTTTCATAGAATTCCGTGGGCGTTTTTTATTTTACCTTGCTTAGTAAGTTATCGATTACTATACTTTAGATTGCTGATGTGTCAATCTATAAGCAATTCATTTTGGTATCATTTAGTTGTGGACGTGTCATGACTGTAGAATGATAAGGCCTGTATCGTATGTATTACAACACATTGCGGTATTTAGACAAACCCTTTCCTTCAGGAAATAGCTTTTACCTACACATTCAAACTATGCCCGCTGTTGGTACCGTGTTATTAATTTATTTAAGCTTGCCCTTCGACTACCTCGAACGGCAGTAACATTATAAGTAAATCAATCTTCGATACTTCTTGGATATATTTCGAGTCAGTGGACTTTTTTTTCGGAAAACTGCATTCCACAATAATGTCAATCATTTGTCTTTAAACCACGCCCCTTACATCTGCAAAGTAGAGATATCGAGTGCCAGTTTTAAAGATGGCCGACATTAACAACATGGCAAGTGGTTCCAATAAACTTTCTTTGAAAACTCGAGGAATATTATATCTGTGCTGTGTTGTTGTTAGTTTAATGGTGATTGAACAGATATTTCAAGGATGTCACTCGTTAGAAGACAAAGAAGTTCATCCACCAACCGTGCTTATTGCCTTTTTAGTCCGAAATAAGGCTCATACTTTGCCATGGTTTTTGGGTCATATTGAAAAGCTCGACTATCCAAAGAACAGAATTACACTGTGGTAAGTACGATTAAAAGTACACATGTGTCTAGATGTCAATTAGTTAATACAGCTAATTTTCAGTAATGTGTCTCTTTTCAGAATGAAATTTTGACAACTGGTGCTGTACGATTAAATAAGATATTGTCAATATTAATGATGACAATAATAGCATTCGTCTGGACAGTCTGATATGTTATGCAGATATTACATAATTATGATAGTTTCATTTTAATATCGGCAAGGTCTGCATGAAATTTGATGAAAAGTTCTATTGAAAATGCCTGATTCAGTGGAGATAAAATAATTGTTGTCATTGAATCCATTTTCATCAATGTTATTCAAGGAGATTTTCTATATCTTGAAATTCTAAGGGACACTTTTTGGCACTTATTTCTCGTACCTGAAATTTGCGAAAATTTGATCAGAACACTTACTTTCCCACCAATGTGAAATCAGAATCAGGAATGGTTGAATAGAAGTCATTGGTTTTTAAATTAGTAAAGTACCATACCAGTGATGTATTTACTATCTGGATCTTGACTTTTCTCATCAGACAGTCAGTAAATTAGGCAAATGTCAAAAAGAGGGTCATACTTCAACTTAATGAATATGAGCTTGATTTAATGCCAATAGCTGGAGAAAATGAATTTTTGAAGAGCTTTTTTTGCAATTATGCCTTGTAAAAATTTTTTTATTTTTGCATAATTAAGCTGATTTCACTAATAACTTATTATCGTTACTGTATCTTTCTGTCAAAGTATAAGCTAATTGAAAATGATATGCACTTATAGGCCTTGCTGTTACTTTTATTTTGGATGATTGTAAAGAAATTTTCTAAACTTTTTATGTGCATCAGAGACATTGATTGCATTGATTACCACCATTCCAATTATCAGTCGGACGTCTTTGGGACTTGCAATTCCACTCAACTAAGCATTTCATGATGTAGCTATCACAAAGGCTTTTAGAATTTATTAGCAACTTTTGCTATAGTGATGTTATATACTTTTAAACATTTTAAGCTTAATGACAGAATATTGAAATGATGCAAATAGAGGCCATAAATGACCCTGATACACATAAAAATGCTTTAAAACTTCTCTCTTCTTTAATAAGCTTATGCATATTGTAGGTGACCTCTTGAAATCGCATATAACGATATATGATTCAAAATTACTTTTCAAGAAAAATGCAAAAAGACTATTTAACCGTATTTTGCTAAAATACGTTTTTTACCATTTCTTTTACCGCTATACGTGGTTTTCATTCCTTGAAAATTTAAACCTCGTAAAACACTTTGAGTTCTTCGACCTATTAAACCAATAACTCGTATAATAGTACAGTATATGAGGTTTTTCATTCTCATCCCAGAAAAAGGAATATTGAACCTCGTACAATATAATATTTTACACTGTTTTTATACGTGTTAGTTGGTTGTTTTTGGGGTATTTACAATCAAGCTAAGAATAAGAGGTTTTGATCATAAGATCCACGCTTTTACAAGCGTTTGAATGGTACCAAAATGTCAAAATGACCAAATATGGCATATACGAGGTTTCAAGCGGTTACCCATGATATATTCTCATAGGCAAGTTTATTTTTTCTTTTTACAAAATGCAATGTGTTACTACTACATATATTGTTAAAAATATGGTTATAATTTTTATTTTCTAGGATAAGAAGTGATCATAATAAAGATAATTCATCAGAGATTTTAGAGGAATGGTTGGCTGGGGTTCAACATCAATATCATAATGTTGATGTCATTATTAATAGTAAGAGAAAAGGTAAGGAGTATCCATACTTCTATTATTTCTGTGAAAATGATCCTCGAAATTTTACCATAGCTCCCCCGTGGATTTGACCTCAGTCAAAAGTCTTTTAAACTTAGCCATTTTATAGCAACAATTTGCACCTTTTCTATTATTATTCAGGCGTCTGTGGTTCCTGTAATTCCACTAAAACTAGGTGTTTGATAAAGTCACTAATCGCAAAGTCCTTATGTGATAAGCATATTTTGCGATTGGGGACGTCATCAGATAACTTATTTTTTGTGGAATTGCAGGAACCATAGATGTTTGACTGAAAATTGGAATGGTGCAAATTGATGCTATCAGTACATACAACATTTAGAAAACCTCTTGACACTCCATTTAAAGCCAGTCGTGATAAGTTTTGCCATGGCTTTAGCAAGATCATTGTTAGTGAAACAATCGGCATTCCTTAAGATATAAAATGTCTTCTTGAAGGAAGTGATTAACTGAAGGAAAGTTGCTGTTATGATAAAATTTATTGTAATAATGGCAGGAAGACAATATCTGAGTATGACTTCTGGTCCTTGTAATCAGGAAATGTGGGGTAAATACACTAAATATGGATTCAAATAAACAACACTGATTGGTTTGTTTACTGCGAGTACCGGTAGTAATAGGGGATAGTACCAAGAAACTTGGGGTTCCAAGTGAACCAATTCAGATCCAGAGTGGCAGCAGATGTTACAGAAAAGTTATTAAGCCTTGCCTCAACAAGCTAACACCTAATTTAGTCAGTGAAACTCTGACCAAATCTGCAGGCTCTTGTATTTCCCTGTATTTACCTGTCAGATAGAAGTTGATCATTAAGATTCACAACCTTTACAAGTTATTATTTTTGTAACAATACCCCAAAGCCCCACATATTTTAGAAAAAAAATATGCTGTCCCAATGTCAGAATTAAAATTACAATTTTGGGCTATGCTTTCAATAATGTGACTAACAGAGAAGTTAAAATCCTTTAATCAAAATTGATTCATAGAATTTTTTTTTTCAAACTCATTTTTTCAATTTGAAAGGCTACTCTGATGAAAGATCTACTAATGATTGGACGAAGAAAAGATTTAAACATGTTATTAAGTTGAGACAACAAGCTTTAGAAATGGCCAGACAAAAATGGGCAGATTATTTTATGGTAAGTTGAATACTGAAAATTATTTCTTCTTCCATTCAGTTATTTTGATTATTCATACAGAGCAGATCAGCTTGTACAATATTAGCTACAGAATAAAGTGCCTTATTCAAAGATTTTTCTCTTTCGCGATTCATATTGTTTTGTAAGTTTTCATTTAGATTTTTTATTTATTTCAGATGTTAGATTCTGATGTTATTATAGAAAATAACAGAACGCTTCATTTACTTATGCAACAAGAAAAGTAAGTTGTATTTTGATACAGATATGACTTATGCCACTTGATTATCAATGATAGGTTTTGTGAGTGTTTTGAACCATAAAATATAGAGTTTCTTTTTAGTTGAGGGAAATGATCAAAATAAAAAATTCTTAGATCTTAAAGAGCAACAAATAGCCATTCATTGAGCAGTGTTTTAAATGGTGGCATCTCAGATAAATGGATACATTAAAAAGAAACAACTCTATTTTACAAGGATAACACTTAGGTTCACAAAGGATCCTTTTGACCTGCTGGTCCTTGGTCACACGTCTTGGCATTATCTTCCCTGGATTATCAGTACACATTTACAGCTGGGTTGACTAGAATTATGAGTGCAGATGACTCTTTCATACCAAGATTCGAACATAAGACAATACACTTGAAGCTATTTTAGTTCTGATAGTGATTATCTCTGTGCTGTATACAAATATATTTGTTTCAGAACCATCATAGCACCAATGATGAATGCCAGTATTATTGGTTACTATTCTAACTTCTGGGGTGGCATGGATAAAAAGGTATGTATTGTTGGACAAATAAAATAAATGGATACGCCACAGTGCTCAGTTACCTCCTGGTAGTGTTGTTCTCAGGAGAGGAAAAGCAATTAGGCTTTTTTTTTCATGGGACAAAAAGTATTATAAGTGTGCATTTTGAAAATTCCACAGAAGTTAAAGGGACAGATGCACCATTTTTTTGACCAATGGTAACTTAGTCTCAAAAATGGGAATTATTTTAGCTTAGCCAATCAGTAATAGTGTTTCACCATTGAAATTTGAGCCTTGAAATCCATGTGTGTTGGATTTATCTGTGTTTGAATGTTAAAAATGACGACTTTTAAAGGAATTATGCGGTTTTCTTACACTTCTAGTACTTTTGAAGACTATATACATATAATCAACACTCAAATCAATTCCCCAAATGGTGCAACTGTCCCTTAAAAATAGACAAATTTGTTGTTTGTTTTAGGGTTACTATGTTAGAACTAAAGAATATATACAGATGGTAGATTTAAAGATCAGAGGGTGTTATAAAGTACCAATGGTTCATTCCATATTTTTAGTAGACTTAAGACGAAGTGCTACAGATTTTCTAGCCTATTCCCCATCACCACCTAAATATAAGGGACCTTATGACGACATTATCATATTCGCTCATTCTGTTAAAGCAGCAGGTAAGTCTTAAAGCTAATCTGATGAAAATGCAGATTTGATGTTTAGTTTCATGTTTTTTCCTCATTTTACTGCACTTGCCATCAATAATCTTACCAGATTCTTTTTTAAATCGTGTTCTGTAGAATTTTGATACCATGAATTATATTAGAAGTCTGTGGTTCTTGCAACTCCAATAAAACTAATCATTTTATGACATAACTATGGCAAAAGTTGCCTTTGCAATAGTAACATCATAAGAATCTCAGTTTTAGTGCAAAGCAAGATCTATAGACCTGTGACTGAAAATAGGAATGGTGCCTTAGGATTTTCAAATTCGTTTCTCCATGTCATTTAGGCTGATTGAAATGGCTGATCAAGGCCCTGTGTGTTTTTCCCAAGCAGAATAGTAGAGCCTAAAAGCCTATTTTATTTTTCGAATCTCACTGAATTGACATCTCTTGTATCTAAACTTTCTCTCTATTTGTAGGTATATCAATGTTTGTTTTAAATACACAGTATTTCGGTAAAGTTATGGTACCATTAGACTGGCAGTACTCACTAAGTGATGAAAGAGATCAGTTTACTTATGTTAAATTAGAAGCAATGGGTAAGTCATCTTGAATTACTGACCAATAATACCTTTGTCTCAGAAACGGAAATTTTTTAGCTAAACCAATCAGTAAGAGTGTTCACAGCACATTATCGAAATTTGAGCCTTCAAATCAATGTGTATCCAGAATTATCCGCATTTAAAAGTTAAAAAGACAAGTCATCCTTTTTATGAGAATGCCATGTATAGAAAAGACATCTATAGAAGTAGGAAAAGAAAATTCCTAGTTTGAGATATTTTTGTAAGAATTATGTGATTTTCGTACATTTCTAGTACTTCTGAAGACTATTTACATATACTCAAGACTCAAATCAACCCTCTAAAATGGCGCACCCATCCATTTAAATCATTCCTGGTGTTTTTAAGCTGATGATTTTTTTAACTTCATTTGCCAGTTTTTGAAGAACAGTCTGATTTTTAATTAAATATTTCAGTTGATGGTCCACAATTATACAGATCTCCACATGTTTATGTACCACCTACACCACAGAGTAAACTAGGCTTTGATGAGGTAGGTTATCTTATATTTTGTAGATTTATATAGTTAAATTATTATATAGACAATATTTTTTGTAGATTTACATGTTAATTTATTATCTAACAATAACAATAAATAGTCCTGCACTCTCAAAATATATTTTGCAACTTCAATTGAAAAATAATAACTACAAAATATCCAGCAGAGATTTATGTAATTACTTATTTTATAGATTTATATGATTAATTTATTTTAGATTTATATTATTCATTTATTCTAGATTTATATGATTAATTTATTCTAGATTTATATGATTAATTTATTCTAGATTTATATGATTAATTTATTATAGATTTTTATTATTAATTTATTATAGATTTATATGATTAATTTATTCTAGATTTTTATTATTAATTTATTTTAGATTTATATTATTAATTTATTATAGATTTATATGATTAATTTATTCTAGATTTTTATTATTAATTTATTATAGATTTATATGATTAATTTATTCTAGATTTTTATTATTAATTTATTTTAGATTTATATTATTAATTTATTATAGATTTATATGATTAATTTATTCTAGATTTATATGATTAATTTATTCTAGATTTATATGATTAATTTATTCTAGATTTATATGATTAATTTATTCTAGATTTATATGATTAATTTATTCTAGATTTATATGATTAATTTATTCTAGATTTATATGATTAATTTATTCTAGATTTATATGATTAATTTATTCCAGATTTATATGATTAATTTATTCTAGATTTATATGATTAATTTATTCTAGATTTATATGATTAATTTATTCTAGATTTATATGATTAATTTATTCTAGATTTATATGATTAATTTATTAAGAAGACCAGAAAGAAGAGAGAGAATGGTACATAGTTTATATGATTTGGGTATTGACGCCAAATTATTTGATGCAATAGATGGAAAGTGAGTAGTGTAATATATAAACTAGAAAAAATGTCCATGAATATAATTTGGGGACTAAACTATTCTTTTGGCACTTGGTGACTGACCTCAAGAATCAATTCAAGCTTTTAAGTCCAGGTAATATCTTTGGATTTTTCAACCTGGTGTTCGTTCTCAGTTATGCAGGTCAGAGGATCTGACTGGGAAACATTTTTTTTTTTATTATTGTTATTTTGTCTGGAATGCTCAGTTGTTTTTTTGATTTTGGTAGAAAATTAACTTATTTTATTTATTTTAATGGAAGTTGTTTTTGATTCAAACCTTAATTTAAGTTTTTTTATTTTGACAGAAATCTAAATGATACGTTTTTAGATGAATTAGGTATTGATATGTTACCAGGATTTGCTGATCCTTATCAGGGAAGGTTAGTATCATCAAAACCACATCAACTCAGAAAGGGGTCAAAAGTTGGCAAACCAGTGTAAAGTGACCTAAGGTGCCTTGAAATTGAAATGAAAGAACAAAAAATAATTTACAAGATGTCCCCCAAATAATATTAGTTAGTTTGGTTCTGAAAAAGCACAAGAAATCATGCAGGATAAAAACCTGTGGACATTTAAGGGAATGACATATGGATTGTCCTGATGAGAGTTTCATATCTGAAACGCATAGCAGCAGCATGACATAAAAATAAAAAGTTTTAAGTGATTCCACATCCTTGTGTTAATTTTCTGAATTTTTTTTTTTGATTTTAGGGCCTTAACTATGGGTGAGATTGGCTGTTTTCTAAGCCATTATACCATTTGGGAAGAGGTTAGTATTCTTTAATGTTGTATCAAAGTTAAAAGTAAAGCTTTTGTGTTGCAAAGATTAATTAAAGGGACAGTCGGGCCATTTTTGGACGTTCCTTTAAAAATGTTGAATATATGTATTCAGAAATACTTGAAATATATGAAAATTGCATAATCTTATAAAAATACTTCGAACTAGGAATTTTACTCACTATTTCTATATATATCTTTTCTATATATCACAGAGTATCTTAAACTGACAAGTCGTCATTCTAGATACACATGGCTTTGAAGGCTCAAATTTTGATGGTGAGCTGTGAAAACTATTACTGATTGGCTAAGCTAAAGAATTCCTGTATCTGAGACTAAGGTACAATTGATCCAAAAAAATGGGGCATTTGTCCCTTTAAATCAAAGAAGAGTGAGAGAGATGATGCATTTACCAAATTTTCTTCATTGAAAACTTCCAAAATTTTTGTTTTGAAATTCTCAATAAGGATTTGTGCAGGATGTAATACTCCACTTCATTTCAGGTTATAGCCAAGAAATATGAGAAGATTCTGATATTTGAAGATGATGTGAGATTTGAGCCATATTTTAAAAGAAAACTTTATCATTTAATGGATGAAGTAGATAAATTAGTACCCAATTGGGATCTAGTGTAAGTATTATATTGAATAACTGTTATTAATTTTATTTATTTGAAGGGACAGATGCGCCATTTTTGGGGTTGATTAATGTCTTGAAAATATGTACATGTATATAGTCTTCAGAAGTACTAGAAATGTACGAAAATCACATAATTCCTTTAAAAATATCTCGAATTAGGAATTTATTTTCTTATTTCTAATGCGTTTTTAGACTCATCTTTTAAACTCTCAAATCTGGACACACATGGATTTGAATGCTGAAATTTTGGCCGTGAGCTGTGAACACTATTACTGATAAGCTTAACTAAATATTCCCGTTTCTGAAACTAGGTACAATTGATTAAAGAAATAGCGCATCTGTCCCCTCAATTATATAATAAAGTATTTTGGTCTAGATTTTCTAAACATTTACTTTTACCGTACAATTATTAAGAAATGATATCAAATTTAATTTGTATAATGGATAGTGAAAAACTTTCAGGCATTCTTGTCCAATGTCCGTGGTTTCTGAATTGCTGTTCCAGTCAATTTTCCTAGACTTATCTCAAAAGTTAGACAATAAACCAAATTGGTTCCAATAAAAGTAATAAATGTGTTGACCCTTACTTAAGTTACTTATTTTCCCTTGTAGATATCTAGGTCGAAAGCGGCTAGATAGAGATAGTGAAAAAATGGTAGAGAATAGTGAAACCTTGATATGGCCGAGTTATTCTTACTGGACTTTAAGTTATATGTTATCTCATAGAGGGGCTGTTAAGTTAATGTCTCATAAACCATTACATAGGATGATACCAGTAGATGAATATTTACCTATATTATTTAATAAACATCCCACGTAAGTTAAATATTTATTTATATTATTTAATTAACACCCAACCAATGTTTAATATTTATACTTATATTATTTGATAAACATCCCACGTGAGATAAATATTTATTTATATTATTTAATTAACAACCAACCAATGTTTAATACGTACCTATATTATTTAATAAACATCCCACGTGAGATAAATATTTATTTATATTATTTAATTAACACCCAACCAATGTTTAATACGTACCTATATTATTTAATAAACATCCCACGTAAGTTAAATATTTATTTATATTATTTAATTAACAACCAGCCAATGTTTAATAATTACCTATATTATTTAATAAACATCCAACATAAGTTAAATATTTATTTATATTATTTAATTAACAACCAGCCAATGTTTAATATTTACCTATATTATTTAATAAACATCCAACATAAGTTAAATATTTATTTATATTATTTAATTAACAACCAGCCAATGTTTAATATTTACCTATATTATTTAATAAACATCCAACGTAAGTTAAATATTTATTTATATTATTTAATTAACACCCAACCAATGTTTAATATTTATACTTATATTATTTATTAAACATCCCAACTAATTGAAATATTTATTTTTATTATTTGATTAATTGAAGTTCAGTATTTTTCAATATCATTATGTAAGTTCAATGCATGTTAGAGATGAATAATCAAAATACATAAAAACAACGTAAGTTAAATATTAAGTTCTGTTATTAATAAACTCTCCAGTCCCAAATAAGCAATATTATAATCTAAGTCAATGTAAGTTTGATGTTCGATATTTACTTATATTATTTAACGTACATTAAATCTAAGTTGAATATTTGTTTGTTTTGAATTCCATATTATTTAATGAACACCTGTCAGTTTAACACCTGAATAAGTATTTATCAAATATCAAACATAAGTTTTTTGTCTATTTTATGAAATATTACCCAACAGAATTTATAAATTTTTCTAATATTTTATGGTAGATATTTTACCTATTACTTTACACCACATGTATGTTATATCCATGTTTGTTTTTTGTTAAACATCCAACAGAATGATTTAAAAATGATTCAAACTAGGAATTTTACTCACTATTTCTATATATCACAGAGTATCTTAAAATGACGAGTCGTCATTTTAACATTCAAACGCTGATAATTCTGGACACATGGATTTGAAGGCTCAAATTTCCACAGTGAGCTATGAACACTATTACTCATCTACAAAATTCCTGTTTCTGAGACTAAAGAATGATTGGCCCAAATAATGACGCATCTGTTCCTGTAAGCTAAAAAAAATCAATTTATATACCCGTTGATTCTTGGTATGCGATGGCATATAATAGAATTTTAAAATAACAATAAATCATTATTTTAGGAAAGACTGGATGATACAATTTGAACCAAGAAATTTAGTTGGTTTATCAGCAGAACCATTGCTACTTTATCCTACCCATTATACTGGTGAAACTAACTATTTCTCTGATACTGAAGAATCCACAGTCATAGAGACTGAAGAAATTGAAGATGTCGTCCCTAAAAAAGAAAAGTTACATACAAATGTTGAGTTTGCTTCCAAAGACGAGTTATAAATGTACAAATTTTTAGAGATTTCTGGCGTGTGTTTGTGTCTGGGACACTTTCAGCTCTTTTTGCAGCCCTCTGTATTTTTGGTCCGACATTTGAGGTTTCTGCAATTCCAGAAAAAAGTGACAAGGTTTTAGTGTTTGCAATAGTGACATCATTTTGGTTCAATACCTTGGTTTAACAGAGACAAAAATTGGGTAAAAAAATTAGAATGGCGCTTATAGAATCGTTTATTGTTCCTGATACACATATCAAGACTGGAAACCACTTTTGAAACCTTGAACAATAATATACACTAATTTTTACAGTTGGTGAAAGTGATTCTTAGATCGTTTTTGATTAAGGTTTAGGGCAATTGTTTGTTTTGATAATTTTTGGGGGAAATGTGCATCTTTTTGTCTGTTTGCAAGTTTGTAAAATTATTTTGGGGTTTATATTTTGAAAAGTTCCAGGGGAATTTTCTGGGATTTTTTCTTTTTTTTACACAAATAACCACATACTAACGCATTTTTTCTCTTTTGTTAGTTTATGCTGTAAAATGTCCCTTAATGCAAGACATATAAATATTCCTATGCCCTTAGTTGGGCAATAGAAGCACAATTTTAAAGTCGTTCAATAGTAAGAACACTATTTTGTTTATGCTTGATGAAAGATTCCTGTACGTGAATTGAAACATTGCTGAAAATTAATGGTAATATTTCTACAATTACATCTTCTTCTTAATAACAATTAAATCTTAATTTCACAGTTGTTTGATTTTAACTAACTGTGACAAAAGCATAGTACTTGCTAGTTGATTATATGTATATGGGTGTATGTTTGTGATTTGAGGGTAGGTCTATAGTGAAGCAAGTATTAAGTCAAAGAGCAAGACAGATATATTTACAGTATTATCCCTTATTGTGTTCCAATTTGAATTCCTATCAAACTATTTATATAGCCAATCTATTAGACCTGTTAGAGTTAACATAAATTAACTTATAAAGTATATAACTTATAAAGTATAACATTTATAAAGTATATAACTTATAAAGTATAACATTTATAAAGTATATAACTTATAAAGTTACTTTTATAAAGTATATAACTTATAAAGTATAACATTTATAAAGTATATAACTTATATAGTTACTTTTAAAAAGCAATAACTTATGAAGTTGCATTTATAAAGTATATAACTTATAAAATTGCATTTATTAAGTATATAACTTATAAAGTTACTTTTATAAAGTATATAACTTATAAAGTTACTTTTATAAAGTATATAACTTATAAAGTTACTTTTATAAAGTGTATAACTTATAAAGTTACTTTTATAAAGTATATAACTTATAAAGTTACTTTTATAAAGCAATAAAGTATATAACTTATATAAAGTTACTTTTATAAATATTTGTGATTTTGTTAAAATGTCGTGTGCCAAACTTTGATATTTGTATATTTTTTTATACGCCCTCGTGAAATTAGCGTATATTGACGATTTCCATGTCCATCCGTCAGTCTACAATTGCTCATTAACACTCTAAAACGCACAATTCTTGATGAAGTTTAGTGTGAGTGTTTGTTACTGTACTGCTAAATATTTTTATTCAAAATCAAAGCTGCCAGTGGGCATATAATACTTTGCCTGGCAAGCTATCTTTTTCATTATGCAATATTACTGCTTTATATAGATTTATTTAATTTCCATATGTTCCAGCCTATTTTACCAGGTATTTCCTAGAACCATTGATGTAGTGCATAATATTCCCTTAGCATTTATCTTAGTGAAACTTCTATCTTTAGTTATAACCTTAGTCATTGGCACTTTTGTGTCTATAGTATCCTTATCATTATGTTAATTGTTTGATCTCATGCTATTAAAGATTTGACCAAAATCTTATTTATTGTGTTCATGTTGAATGGGTTTTTGGGGACAAAAGTTGAAGGTTTTAAGCACAAGCACTGTTTGTTTTTAGCACAAAGTTAGCATTGTTTCGTTTTTTTCGGCACCAGCAAACCAATTTTTTCTGTAACTTGTCCATATATAAGTTACTTGCCAACTGCAAATATATTTTAGAATACACTTTGTTTACAAATGTTTGAACTAACAAAACTAATGTAATCTTGTCACAATCTGCATATACTAATCAATATGACCACCATATGTAATATGTCAATGGATACAGTAGAAAATGTAAGTAGCAAATACACAAGGTATATGGGTCTAATGGAACTTTTCAGTGGATAGTTTGGCTGTTACTTGATAATCTAGATGAATTGATGAGACCTTGGGACAAGTTGGAAGTTACATACACAATACTGTGAGTTGAAAGTTTCCATCCCATTTATTGATTGATCTAAAACTTAAAGCTTATGAATTTTTATTAAAGGGACAGATGTGCCTTTTTTGGTGTTGATTTGAGTCTTGAATATATGTAAATAGTACTAAAAATGTACAAAAATCACAAATCTTTTTAAGAATCTCAAGCTAGGAATTTCGGTTCGTTTTTCTATAGATGTCTTTTCTATATATTTCTATATGTAGCCCTGTCTCAAGGATAGACGACTCTCAAATGCAGATAATTCTGGACACATGGAATAAAAGGGTCAAATTTCAACTGTGAATACTGTTACTGTTTGGCTAAGCTAAAAAAATCCCTGAGACCTTGTGTGTTGGCATCGATTATCCCCCTACTAAACCGGACAAGTCAACACCTCATCAATTTGCATACACACATAGGAAAGAAATCCCAAAAAGAATAAGAACAAATTTGAAAATAACAATTTCATTTTTATTAAATTCTTTTTTTTCGTCTTAATTTAGCTCTTCTCAACAAGTTATCTCTTAATAAAACCTGTTTTTCTCTAAATGATCTCTTATTTCTCCTCTGATTGGCTTTAGGACGCAACATCAAAAAGTTCTTAGACTTTCTCTTTTCTTTATTAGTCGTGCTGGCGTATGGGTTTGATCTTTCTTTGTGGTATGTTGCCTTTTCTTTCTCTTCTTTGTTAGCCTAAAATTATAAGAATATGTTAATGAGGTTATTTACAATTTTACTTGTTCATGAGAGCTCCATCTTAGTAGATTTTGCCTTCTTTGCTTAGTCAGTCCAAACATTAGCCCCATTTCCAAATAAGTTGTGCTTAGAACCTGAAGATATGCATGACATCTTTATATGACAACTATTTTTACCTATTCTAGGTGCCATCTTGAATGAAAAATCTGTTGTGTTTGTCATTTTGCTACTTTGAAATAAATGAAATGAAATGGAGTTTTACATCCTACTTTTCTGCACCATGTGCGCTTATGTAGACGGGAAATTTTGCCAGGACAGCGGCATTAGCCTGCTCTTTTATGATTTCCAACAGTCGAGGGATCTTTAACGTGCACAGACTGTAGCACATAGGGCCTCGATTTATTGTCCCATCCAAACGACCTTACGCTTTTCCGTGTCAGCCCTTCTTGTCTGCATCACTGACAGGGGGAAAACTTTTCTACTTTGAAGTGGGAAATGAAAAAAATTCAATTCAAATTCGAAAACACTATTTGAAAAAAAATAGAAATAACTCTGAAATATCCATACATTTTGAGACTCAATTTCATCTTTTCTCTCATATTTCTGTCGTTTGCCTCTCTGTAAATTTTCAATGGCTGACAGATTAGGTAATTCTCCATTTGATGTTGTCAATTTTCGTTTCTTGCCAGGTCTGTCACGTAACTGCTTCATCATTTGACGTTTGTGAATTTGTTTGAATTCTGCCTGAGTTAAGATTCGAGTCGCCATTATTTCTTGTGCTTTTAATCTGGGAGCTTGATCCATCTCTGTTCCTTCATCTTTAATGTCATCATCTTCATCATTTTTAGCAGTTGATTTAGCTTCATCATCCTCAGCAACATCATCATCATTGACACTATCAATATCTTCATTGACATCATCGTCATCATCTGATTCACTCTCATCATCATCAGCATCTTTGTAACTTAAAGCTTCAACACCAGGGATGTAATCCAAAGTTTGGACTTCTCCATATACCTTTGTAGTCACTTCTCTGATGGCTTCATTAGGTTTTCCTCGATCTTTCCTTCTTAGTTTTTCTGGATCTGATTCCCTAAAGAGCTGTAGCAACGATCTAGCAGCACTGACCACTGATTTGATTTTATGTGATTTATACTGGACCAAATCTTGCAACAACTCTTCTGTCATTGACAGAGGACATCTTGAACATATTTCTCTGGTTGCGTTCAAACCCACAGCAATGGCATCACTCAGATTGCGTTCAGTTATGAAATTATTAGCAATGGTCTTTAAGAGATCCTCCATTATATCAGGCGGTACCAAAGGATGACTGGACTGGGCAGCAAATAACAACAATTTGGTGACTTCTTTCTGCCGAGGGTTGAGAAATTTTTGAAGAAAGGAATAAAAGTTGCAAATGATTAATTGATGGATGCCAATGAGCCTGGAAATCAAATCTATCATCATTAACTTTACCTCAAACCTCTCATTTGTTGTTTGTAATTTACTAAATAATTTCTCTGCAAATTCTTGGGGATCATGTAATAAATGTAAGGCAGAAAAGTTGAAATTTTCAGCCTTGCTGCTTTGTCTGCTTTTCTTAGCAAGTTTAAGTTGTTTGTCAATCTTTCGCAATCGTTTGCGAGTCTTTTTACCAATTTTCAAATTTGCTTTGGCCTTTTTGATGTCTGGCTTAATAGCTCGTGTTTCTGCACCTTCAGCATCACTGCCATCTTCATCATCTTCTTCATCATCATCTTCATTATGGCCGATAAAAAAATTCAAAGCTGGGACAAGAATTTTAGTAACTTTCGACAAACATCCATTGGAAATGACATTTACTACTTTTGGAGTGTTCCATATATTTCTCTTGTATAAATCTATCATAACATCTAAAGACATTTTGGCAGCCGTATGATTGTTGTCACGTAACATGGTGTACATGAAATTTTGAAGTGTCGAGTTCAGTTTGGCATCTCTGTGCTTCAAATTCACAGTTTTAATGTCAGTTATGATATAATTATACAACGTTTTCCTAAGAACTTTATCCTGGCACCGAAAAAGTTTGAAAAATAGTTCCAAAATCTTGGTGGCAGGTATCAAATTTTTACTTCGCATCAGAATAAGAGCTTTGACAATTGTCATTCGCATGCCAGGTTCCAGGGCAACGCCTTGACTTTGTAAGAGTTCACATAGTTCTTGTGGATACGATTCCAAATCTTGTCTATAGCACTGTGCAACTTGGGCCAGAAATGTTATCAAATCATTCAGTGTTTTCACAAATTTAGATGGCTGAAGACGAAAAACTTCCATATGAGATTGATAATGCCGATATTGCTGAAGAAATTCATCCCTGTACGAATCACTATCACGTTTTATCAAATTCTGAAGCTGTGGCAAATTTGACGGCAGTTTATTATTTGATGTCTTCCGAGACATTTTGAAAATTTAATAGGCAGAGATCATAAACTGACTTATTTCTGTCAAAATGTAAACACGTTTTTCTGAACACGTGAGATAACTCACTGAAGAATATCTTGCAAAAACGTAACCAATGAATTTCGATTTAGATGCCATTTTGTAACCATAAATGATCCGAAATATTAATATAATCATCAGACTGGTCCTAATTCGTCTGTTGTCACATTCAAAGCAAAGTATAAGTGAGATATTTATAATGAAGGATTTACATACTAATTACATTATATACATGAAAATACTGAAATTCTCTTTCCATAATATTGTAGTTTTTTGCCAAATTTACATAATTAGGCGCACCCGTTTTCAAAAAGGTCACAGTAGTTTCGATTGGTGAGTCGATAAATTCTACAATACCTACATAACATCTGGATGATAGAGAATAAAGGTCAAGGTTGATGCATAGAGGTTATGGTTATATTATTCCGTTTTCATTCACACGTCTATCAACATGCCAGTTATTGAAAAGATACTGCAAGGAATTGTCAGGTACAACAATGTCACTAAACCTGCAGCTCTAAAACAGCTCATAGAGGTCAACAAGAATGTCCAGGTAAGATTTAGTTGTTCAGCACTAGTCTGTCAGTAAGTCGGTGTCTAGGAACTGGTGCTACTCTTTATTCAATTTCGGTCAAATAGTAAATACACAACATAGCATTATTATGCCCGTTTCAGAAATGTTTTTTTAATTATCCTTATGCAATTTCTTGGTCATTAAATATAGCTTAATTCCTTACTAAAGGGTAATTGCATAAAAATGGAACTTGATAAAATTGTATTAACAAATAAAATTCATTTGATTAATACCAGATAATATGCACTTGTCATTTTTTTTTTGGGATCCAAAGTCCAAAATCTTATTATTTGTAGTACATTAAAGGGATTCTAAAGAGGTAGTCTTAGTTTTGTTTGTATATCAGGGACACTGATAGTATCCATTTGCACCATTCCAATTTTCAATCAGACATCTGTGGTTCCTGTAATTCCAGTAAAACTAAGTGCATGATGAAATCACTGATCGCCAAATATGCTTTACCACATAAGACTCTTAACTTTTAGTGAAGTCTTTTTTCATAGTTTTAGTGGAATTGGAGGAACCAAAGTCTGCTTAAAATTGGAATGGTGCAAATTGATACTATCAGTGTTACTGATAACTGGTACACATGAAAGATTTAGACATACTCTTGACAATCCCTTTAATGTTGAGTCATTTTCAACTCTTTGCCAAGAGTGTGCTGTGCTTAAATGATAAAGTGACATCTCTCCTTTATGACTACTCTCAAAGTAGGCTACTATGTGGTGTTGTTCATTTTAGGGCTTGATCAAAGTCATTATAATGCACAGGTTTTGAAACTTTTTTTTCATTTTTCAATCTCATTTTCACAGATGAAAATACAGACTAATCAATGATGTTTTTTTCAATATATATCAGTAAGAAACTAGCAAAAAAAAAAAAAAAAACTATCTTGGCAGGCTACATAATTGCGCTTGATACAAAAATTAAATCCAATCCAAATACAATCCAATCATTCATTTACAAACTTTCATGATAAAAGAAAAGTATAAGTACAAAGTTTGTACAAGCTTGATAATGTAAAGATGCCTAGGGATTCGAAGCGATGAAAATTGACCGGCTATTTTATGATCTACAATTTATGAATTGTGATTAACAAAAACTCGTTTGACACACTGTAAATGTTTGAGTGATAATCTTTGGGTTTTGTCTTTGCTGTTTCCCTTTAATCATGTACAACATTTTGTACAATTCATTGCACTAATGTATTCATAAAGATAATATTGTTATAGCCTATTAATGGATGGCTTCATGATGAATATTACTATATTATCAATTTCAACGACTAATTAATGCAAATATTAGATCCACCACATTTCAATAGGGTATGATTTGATCTATTATTAAGGAAATTCAAATTATTATTTGAATGTGATCCATTCTAATTTGTTGCTATTACCATGTGTTAATTTGATTAGTCTGTAGACTAAGTACTGTACTATCAATATCAATTGATGTTGATGTGATAAAATAACTTATTAATTTGAAATTTAAATTCAGAAGATCACACAGCGTGAAACTCTGAGTAACAACATGTTTCCAGTTATGTTTTAATATTTTTGATTTGAAAATTAATCAAAAATACAGGTCAAATGATAATTATATGGTTAAAATACTTTGAGAAGATATCTTTTCATTTTGCATTGCTAATGTTATGATAATAAGCATATAATCTGTACATACTAGAAAATTGAGAAATGCAAACACTTCTGGAAGACAATTTTGACTGTTTGTTCAATTAAAGATGTAAGTGAAATAACACTGAATTTTGAAAAATGTTTCTACCAATGAAGCTAATTTTTTTTTTATGAAAAAATATCTAAAACTAGATATCATACTTGTAGTTTGATATCAGTATGGTCCTATATGTCAATTTTCTTTCAGCCAAAAGCCATTGTCATATCCTGCATTGATGCCCGTGTATTGCCAGCAAAGTTCTTAGACAATGAAATTGGGGATCATTTTATGGTGCGTAATGTTGGGAACATGATTCCAGATGCTGATACATTAAATACAGATACAGTCTCTACTGAAGCTGGAGCGCTAGAATTCTGCTGTGTTCAAAAAAATGTCAAACATGTCATTGTCTGTGGTCATTCTGATTGTAAAGTAAGTATTTTATTACTTCTTAAAGTAATCCTAGTCCAGATATCCAGGCCACACTTTGTGTGACATACATGCCAGAAGGCATCTATTCATGTTCACACTGGTGCAATAAGAAACTACGTATGGTTCTTACATGGAACAAGCTGCTAGTGATGAACGAGTGAATAGTGTGTACTTGATCTTGGTACATGTATTTTCTATGCAGCATTCAACCTTATCAAATTTCTTCAGTTGAACCAATAAACTGAGGCCCTGCATGCTACAGGCTGTGCGTGCTCTCCTGGCTAAATTTCCCTCATTGCACACTGCATGATGTTGCCCGTCTTCATTAGCCCACATTATTGCATTATTGCATCTATTTCAGACAGTGAGTATGTTATATGAAAAATGTGTCGCTGAAGAATTCTCAAAATCTCCTACAACTTTTCTAGAAATGTGGCTGAAACTTCATGGTAGAAACACATTAAAGGCATTTAACCAGTTACAGGAACATAATAATTTCATGGGACCACTCAAATTTGACATTGAAAATTATAAAAGCTTTGAAGCTTATATTGACCCAGAAAATAAATTCAGTATCGTAGATAAATTTTCTCAGGTAAGAGATTTTTTATTGTGTTTGGTAATTTCATGTATGCCTTACTTATGTGTTGATAGTGGTCCTGGATTTCTGAAGCCATGGGTGGTGCTTCTGGCCATTCAGTTCAGTGTATTTAAGAGTTGAGGAAAACCTGTTAGTAGTATTTTTTCTTATATCAATGCCTAGTTACAATCTTTGAAACTTCTGATGTTATCATGTAAAACAGATCCAGCTACTTTTCGATTTGATTAAGATGCATATCTAGATGTATTGTTTCTTGTTTCAACAAAAAAAACCCAAGATCTGTGTTTTAATCAGTTTGGTTACTTATTCAAAGTCAATTATTTTTTTTATATTCTTCAGGTGAATTGTCTTCAACAATTACATCACATATCCACTTATCCTTTCTTAAAGTTAAAACTAATGACAGGGCAGTTGTTTTTACATGCATTCTGGTTTGATGTACACTCTGCTGATGTTTATATGTTTAGTCGCAGCAGGAAACAGTTTATACCAGTATCTGACGATACCTATGACCATTTATTAGAAGACTGTCATAAACAGAAATAACCAGATCTTAATAGTTAGAGCTACAATTATTGATAATTTTATTTTTCAAATGGACGAGATATTTGTCATTAAAGCAGGATTCCAATTAACAAGAATTGTGTCAAATTCTTTCTCCTTTTGTACACAAATTTATCAATTTTGTTAACATTGTGAAATAAATTCTGGCTTTTCATTAAAGGGATTGTAAAGAGGTTTTCTAAAATTATTGTGTATCACCGACACTGATAGCATCAATTTACACAATTTATTTTTTTTAGAAAAACTCTTTACAATCCCTTTAATGTCAATGCAGGGAGTAATTCTTGCTTTTGTGAATGCATTTGCTTGTTATGTTTTTGAAAACTATCAGATTACGATAAGTTTTCGTCCCATGACATTCTATTTCAAAATATGCACATACTGCCACTTTAATTTTGAGATTGTGTAGATATGTATTTCAGACCAAACTTGGGCAGTAAGCTAATATTATCCAGCCCTTGTTTTTGATATAGATTGTGTTTTTTTAGTCTCAGTCACTGTGATTTTCAGATTTGAAGTTTCTTTCACAAAAACAGAATTTTAAAGCTTGTGATTGTCTGTGAGCTGTGCATATGGCTTATATTGTTTATTTGTTTTATGTATCAAAAGCAAATAGACCAATTACTCTTCAGTTGGAAAACTTGCTAAAAGCTATGTTGGGTGCTACTTGTTTTGTCAACAAAATATCTTTGTTTGGTTTGGCCCTAATTATTCATGATAACATAGAGTAAGTTAGCACAATTTCTTTCCAGAAATTGTGACTCTAAATGACCTATTTTCTAGGTTGAATTTGTTGGAATTTGCATCAACCCAATTGTGGTCAGTCCAAGATTATCACTTTATTAATTGGGCTTTAAAATTTCTAATCAGACTTTGACTCGGAAACCACAATGGCAGTTAGCATAATGGATTCTCAAGTATCAATTTTTCTTCATTGAACACTGCATGGTATTGCCCAATGAGTTCGTAAATGAAAACTTTGATTATAAGGATATAATTGTTGTCGCTTCTTGCCTTATTTCAATAAAAAGTGAAGAGTGTAGAGAAATCCTAAACTGCCAAACTGAAATCAACAAGTGTTATGGTAGCTAAAAATGTGTTCTAATGGTCCAAAGACTATGTACCTCTATCAGATTATTTTATTTCTGTCTGTTTTTCTTGTATGTGATATAATTATATTAAACCTATGAGATTTCTGTTGGCTGTTTTATAAGTTCTCAGAAATTGTGAATCTCTTTGGAAATATTCAGGCATGAATTCAATGTTATTTGTACATGTATATGTTCAAGCTATTTCAAACTTCGTACCTATGCTTTGACTGCAATAGCCACTTTTCTTGTATCACGAGATTCAGCGAATTGATTGGATTGTTCACAGGCCAAAGTAGCCAATCAGAGCCCTCGATAGAAAAGTTGTCGACATTGTGGCTTTGTGATCACAGACTTTTAGTCGAGGCCTCTGATTGGCTGTATTCGCTAGCGTACAATCAAATCGCATCATTTACAGACTTGCATGATACAAGAATGGTGACTATTGCAGTCAAGGTATAATACGAAGTTCGTAATAGCTTTGTAAGATGCTGTAAGTACTGCAAAAAGAATTTATTGGCAAGATTCATATAGGCCTCTATCGCTAACCTTAAAAGGTCCGCTAACACTTTATAGATTCAGCTTTTTTTTAAACTTTTGTATACGCTCATAATTAAGAATATTGTCGTCATACTTACTGTCTTAATGGACATTTTGCGACAATGGGATATAGAGTTATTGCCCTTGACATTAAACATTATACATGTACCTACTTCAAGGATATTGCAATATATAGTTTTATAGAAACAACTGTTAATCAAACTAGCATCTCGATGTTGAAAAGGGCCAAAACCTAACAGATTTTCTCTTATTAGCCAAGAAGTAATACATAAAACTCCATTTCATGTCTGATATGATCACTACGTCTATCACCAAGTCTTGCTATGTGATTTATCTTTAAGTAATATTAATGAAGCGTAAAAAAATCGCATATCTTACGATTAACTAACTGGGGATTATGTTATATATGACTGTATATATAAATAAGGGTAAAACCTGCACCGACTTGAATACTTTAAAGATGGGCTCATAGGCTATAATTTTCTTTTCGAGATTTTAGGCTTATCTAAAAATAAAAATCAAGCAATGAGATCACTCCAAATACTTCTTCTGTCAATGTGGACAAGCTTAAATACCTACTTTCCCAGCAGATAAAGATCAATTCTTTGTATAACTTTGAGAATCTAAATTTGGCAACTAATTTGTCTGCAGTCAACTTGATGATAACTATGGGATAATGTCAACGACGCCTCTGAAAGTTTTATTGTCAGTATTTCGATTTTGTAAAGAAATCGGAAATTTAATTCTTTCTCCCATTTATTTTTTTTAACTAATCATATCTTCAGGTCCATATCAGTTTTAAATATTGTCATGATTTATTAGAGTTATTTAAATTCATGTTATATACAACATACTCAACAAATGCCCATTCACCAAGCAAATCCCTACTATGTCAACAGGTGTATATCACTTTAAACTATGTAATATTATTGACCCAATAATCACTGTGATCATACTGATTAACATATAAATCATAGGTAATATGAACCTGTTCAAGTACGGTCATAGTTTTAAACGTGAAAAATGGCGGATACATTGGAAAATATTCACTATAATGCTAATTTAGAACATCAAATCAAAAAGATTCTGAACGCTACAGATGACGAATTTATCTATCGCGACTTTATAGATGGTAAAATAAGTAAGAAATTCAAAAGTTCAAAGAAGAAATCGAAAAAGGAGGATGCGTTCGATATGTGTGGATGGATACCACACGGGGCAGTGACTCTGAGAAAAATTGAACGATCTAATACTGACAGTGCTAGGGATCTGAACAGAGAGTTGATATCGTGGAAAGAACAATGTGGAATAAATCCATCAGATCGACATTATTTTCATTTTAAACATTATAAAGATACGAAAAAGTATATAGAACAGTATAGAAGGGAATGTGTTTGTTTACGAAATACGGTCATTCCGAAAAATAATGAATGTTTAGACATTAAAAGGATCCGCAAAGTGAATAAAAACAAGCATCTACGAACGACCACTACGTCTTCACCTACAAGGAATGGCGAATCGAAACCGGCCACGTTTAGTTACACCAATAGAGGTGCGTCCCTGTTGACCAAGCTATCGGATACGGTGTATAATAATGATTATAATGCCGATGAAGGTAAACATATGGACACACAAACCAACAAGCAGGTAGCCCAAAACACACCTCCAGAAAACCGGTAAGATTATTTACTTTTCTGAAAGTGATTCAACAGATGTTTGCTGACTTCTATTTGGGGATATTCCAGATTTGTACCATTTCAATACAGCTGAATGATAGTGACGTCATGATCTCTCAAAATTTCGTACAGGAAATTGGAATAGCATATAGAACCAAACTTATATACATTAAAAATCAAGAAAATCTCAGTTTAATCCCATTAAGGCCTACAAAATTCTAATTTTTATATAGCACTCTGAAGAGCAACAATCGTAAGTGATAAGAATCCCTCTGCGCACAAATTTGTCCTAATTCAGCCACCATATTGCCGTCTCTAAGAGTTGTGTATTGTATCTTAAACTTCTTGTTATAGTTATGCTCTAATTCAGAATACTAAGTCCAGTTAAAGGTATCAACTCTCCAAGAACAATAGATAAGTTAAAGGCATCAGTTCAATATTTAGAAAAGGTAAATGGATTTTTTTTTAAGTTAATTGATCATCCGTCGTGAAGTTCCTATTATTTAATAATAGTGAATTTTGATCGTTGTGTGTTCTTTGCAAAGAGATCAATAGTTTATAAAAAAAAGCTCTCAACAGTCTTTCGCTAAAAATGGCTGATAGGCAAATTGGTTACTGCACGTGACGCGTTTGTATGTCCACAAGCTACCAAGTATATATACGCCTATATAACTATTAGAAAGTCATTGTTCTCCGCACACCCATCTTTAACTCTCATGTGTCACGTACCGTTGAAATGAATCTGCCATATATCTATTCAGATATCAGACCGGTATTATTTTTAATTGGTCGAAGGCGTGGTTGGAAATATTGGTTGTATGGCGGATTCATTTCAAAGGCTCGTGAGCCTCCGGAGCTGAAGAAGCTGTTCATCAAGACAAAGCTTTGAACATTGGTATCTGTATTTCTGGAGCAAATCATATATTTTTACATTTACAGAGGAAGAAAGGGTAATTATGATGATGCTAATGCTATATTAGTTTATGCTATATTGATTAATGCTATATTGATTATTGTTAATGCTATATTGATATACTTTATTTACTTTAATGCTTTATCTTGCAGTAGTTTTATCTGATGCTGGTAATATTAATGCTAGTTATATTGATCCAATGCTGGAATATCCATTTAATGCTAGTTATATATTGATCTAATGCTAGTAATATTCATGTAATGCCAGTTATATTCATCTTATGCTAGTAGTTTTTATTTAATGCTAGTTATAGTGATCTAATGCTAGTAAAATTTATTTATTGCTGGTTATATTGATCTAATGCTAGTAAAATTTATTTATTGCTGGTTATATTGATCTAATGCTAGTTATATTTATTTAATGCTAGTTATATTTAATGTTATGTTCACCCAGTGCTATGAATAGGTGTTCTCTTAATTTCCAGTGTGATACTTCTATAAACGAATCGGAATATAGTGATGCATCCGAACAAAGCGATGACAACGCAGAGATTGCGATGCCTATGCTCTGCTTATCCGATTCCAATGAAGGCTCGACTAACGTTACCAGCAAAGAAGATGCAGCTTTGGCAACATTTAGCCCACAGAATGATCATTTGGATAACGAACTTAGTGATTCTTATAGTGACCCAATTAGTGATTCGTCTTGTGCTAAAGATAGTCCCAAACCCGACCTTTCCGTGAGCACAAGGCCAGAAAATGGTTTCCACAAACCTTTCTATCCGGATACTCGATTTGGTGACAAGAAAATTATAACATCTCCCGAATTTCCTGTGGTCAAATCCGTACCCTCTTTACCAATATCTGAAGTTAACAACAGTGGTGAAAAAGTTTGGAAACCGACGACCAGAAAAAGTCCGTTAAATAGAATGAATGAATTAGAAAAAGAACGACAAGTAGGCATCAACCACCCTTTTAAAAGCAAAAATCCTTTCCGAGATGTCAACAGTCAATCACGTCATGCGGAAAATAGGTTCGTCTCTGTTAGTGAAAACATCAACCCGCCCGGCAAGATAAGACCCGTATTAATCCAATCACAAACCAATACGTCTCAATTCCCACAACCGATGTGTTATAGTTTTAAGGCAGACAGTGCAAAAATACCCGAGAGGTTTGAAGGACAGAGAAAAATATTTCCACAAAAATCGTCTTCAGCTTCGGACGTTTTTCAGGTGAAAAATGACTTCAGCGATATTTCTCGATCTCCATCAACGCCTAAAAGCATCAGAAGAGAATCATCGTACCGACAGAAACTTTACTTCCCAACGGAGGAGTTCAAATCGCCACGACTAGAATATACAGTCAAAAAGGATACTCATGCTTATGCAGAAACGCCCATATCGATGCCTTCCATCTATATGTATAAACACGGCTTGCGAGTTGTCGTAAATAAGGACATAACGGTACAATCAGATAACACATCAAATCAGTTGCCAGCATTGAATGTCAAACCATCCACTGACAATACTACATCCTCTAAGAAGCAATTCCTTCAGATTAGCGAATACACACCAACTATGGATGGAAAGCATCATACAAGTTTGCCAGCCGTAGATTACGATTCTGATGATCAACCCACCAGCGACGCCGCACAGGAAACCCAAGCTAGGAAAGTGCTGCCTCGAAAATTGAAGGCACAAAAAGATAAATTCGCAAGCTACAACATCAGTGATAAAAAGATGAAGCAATTTGTCGAGATGAACAATTGTGAACAAAATTCTACGAAGAAAAAACTTCTAGATGATAGTCAGGGAGGACCATCCATTGCTAATGGGGTATATAAAGACATCACGAATGGAATTTTAGTCACAAATTCACTTATCTTATAAAATTTACAAATACAAGACTCGACATTGCCTCCAATGTACACATCACTATATGCAATTTGTTTTAATTTTCAAATACCAATGTTAATGCAATGTTCACCTTTTTAATATTTTGATGTTTAACGTTCATTATTGTTTTTCTTATCATTTTCTAATAATTCATGCAAGTCCATATTTCAATATATTCAGCGAAATTTGTCTGAATTTAATTAATTTGCTTTCAGGGGGACAAAAATGTATAGCTCCCCCTGAAAAAATTCTGTCCACCGAACAATTCCATTACTGCAACTCAATTATATACACCATTTCCCCTCCGGATATATTACTTGCAAACAATCAAGTCTGGCTACGGACCTGTTTGCTTTACCAACGTTTCATTGAGATGGGCTTGGTTTTAATGTAGGTTAAGTGTCAAACATTTTGTCTAAGTTGGTTCAATTGCACTAAGCAGCACCAACCACTTGGGTTTGCCACCACACTTTAGACTACACCTGATTTTCACTTTTTTCTAACACAAACACTCTTTCATTTGTTAATTATTCTACAAGTTAGGTACCATATATGCATTAAATTCAACGACCTTGTCAATTTTCATAAATTATTTTTCTGTTGTTATTATTATTATCTGTTACCCAAAGATAGTCCAAAACTGAAGTTCTATTTGAAAGATTTTATAGTAAATATAAGTAATTATCACCTTACGATTTAATACAGACCATATTTAGCAAGTAGTTCACCTGTAACCATGCTCATGATTTGTATATTACAGATGTGGTTTGATTCCAATGGTCGAGCCTATGTAAGCCTAGCAGCACGATATGAACCAATAAAGAAATAAACCTTTTCAGGTATATATTCAGAAATACTAAACTTATTCATAGACTTAGACGACGTGGACTTAGACTTAGACACGAGTTACGGTGTCCGTTGTGGTGTACGCTATGAGATACAGTAGAAAATAGAAGAAACGAATCGTGTCCGGACCGTGTCCACACCGTGTCCAGATCCGTACCTCGTTGGTTCACTTCTTCTATTGTGGTTCGTATCGATTATTCCGCACAGTACACAACACAGGACACCGTACATCGTTTATTCCGACCTCAAAGCATGTATTTTTATTTTATATTACAGATTAAGGATAACATCCATCACGGTTTTGGTTAGCATCGTTGAATGGAAAACCTCATTGCGTCAGATATATGCTGAGAGTGACCAGAAAGTAGAAAGACAATTATGCTCTCGGGCATATCGATGAAAAAACAGTTGGCGAAGGTGAATGCAGAATCGCTGGAACCCAAATTCACCCAGACACCCATTCAACATCTCAGGGACGTTCATTACAAAGATCCCCACCATTTGGCACAACTCGGCAGTTTTCCTAATGATGCAGAGCGTTAGCGGAACTTTCATAGTAGACATTTTGAATTGCCCTAACACACCACAATATAAAGAAGAATGCAAAAAGTTGCCGAATTCTTTCGCGGTGGACCGTTTGACGGAAACTGTGTTCTTGCAATTAGAATGTCTGCTGTGTTATATCTGTTTTCTGTATCCGGTTTTCCCGATTTCAGAATCTGACACTTGCTTTTCGCTAATGTGCTCAATATATGATGACGATTTAATTGTAATTCAGCCATTCAGATGGTCATGTCAGTTATACTGGTACATTGTAAAACCATAATCCAATGTGTCTTTGTGAGGAAACCATGTCGTTAAAATTCGAGTTGTATGTATAACACTATGGAATTCCGATGCCTACTAGTTCATGTGCTATTATTATAAAGGAAAATGTAGTTGCTGAGATTCGAATATTTGAACTGAAATTCAAGACGCTTTTATGAGAATTTTAAAGGTATAATACCCCTTAGGATGACCAAAACACAGAAATTTAGTGGAGTTACCTGGTGTCATAACTATAATCCAATATATCCATTAAACTAAGTAGTTTTGAATCACTCTTAGCAAAGGTTTTCAAAAATTATTTAGTTTAGTGGATATACTGTCTTATATATAGGGAATCTATTCTTTAATCATGGCGCCTGGTAGATCCAACTAATAAATATATACTCTTATTTACCAAGTTTGAGACTGTAAATTGTATGTCCATTCTAAGAGGTAGTATTCCTTTAGCAAAATTTTTTTATGTACATTATAGTTGTGATATATTCAGTCATATTTTTTTTAATTAAAATTCCACTCTGATATGTAAAAATTTTTTACTTAAAATTGTCCTTAAAATATGTATATGTTTTACCAATGCAAAGTCATTGTTAAGTCGCAAATAGACGAGGTACGGTGTCCGATGCGGAATAATCGATTCAAACGAAAATAGAAGAAGTGAACACAAGAGGTACGGGTCCGGACATCGTGCGGACACGATTCGTTCCTTCTATTTGCTACTCTATCGACAATCCCGCACCGTACACCGCACCGGACACCGCACCTCGTCTTTTCGCACCTTTTGACTACTATTAGTACTTTGAAGTCGATATGCCAATTCATGTTGAAATTATCAGTTAAATTATATTTACTCAAGGAAGTACGGCAGTAGGCTCTATAAATAGTATTCAAAATAGCACGTGCATGTTTTGATAGTTGACCTGATTTGTCCTTCACGTGACAAAATGTCGACGTTTGTTTTGCTGTGTGTTGGATGATATTTCTTAAAAGTCTTTGATACATTTGTTTACAATTGTGTATATGGATAATATTCATATTGGATTGATACTTCATAATTTTAACGGAATTATAAGTAAATGCCTTCACACTGGAACTTCCTTGAAAGTAAGTTTCTTGTCTTTTTGCGTCCCTTTACCGATACTGTTGATATGAATTGGAATACATGTATCAGCTTCGAAATAGTAATGAATGTCATGAATTTCCTTGGCGTCGATGAAACTATGAACATTGGTGATGTACGTTATCACTTTGGATCTTCCACAATATTGTCTCGGATATGTTGTAACACAAATGGCATTCATTTATTTGTGAAATTGCAGAATAGCTCTATTTTTTTGTATCATTGAACGCGTTCAAATATTAAAGTTAAAATTTGTGTATAACAATTGTTGTAGAACGTCTCCCGTCCATATACAGTGGAATTTACCAAACCCCCCTGCAGTGTCCAATGGGAGGAACTTTGCTAGGACAACGGCATTAGCCTATTCTTCTTCGATTTTCAGTACTGTAGCACACAAAGTCTCGGTTTAGCCTATTGTCCCATCCGAACAACTAGACCGTACTGAAAATTGAACCGACATGAAACGACAAAAACAACCAATGAAAACGGGGAACCGAGCAGGAAAAAGACAGGAAACGACCTCAAACTATTTTGCAATAAATCCTGAGAAGGCTAATTAGGCCAAACAAGTAATTAATTAAATCATGAAAAATTAAAGTGACCCATACTTGATATTTTTAATTACCTTCATCTCAATGCTTATTCCCCTGTTTCTTCTTTGTAACATACGTGTAAGCTATTTTTTAAAGAAATTTAGGGGGAGTAAGGCTACCGTTCATAATTTTCACAGCCAGTATCATGTCTTAAAGACGAAATTTAGCATATTTGTTGTCTTTTTGCGAGCTTAATGTAACATCAAGACAACACTATAGAACAATATTGTTACAATGTATTAACAATGTTATATACCAACCTGAATTAGGTGTGGGTTATGTGCGGTATATCACAGATAAAATGCACAGATAAAATAATTATGAAAGACGTCAATAAAATGCACATTTTCTTAAAATGAAGTACATGTTCGGTCTGATTATCATGCTTAGATTTCATCGCAAAATAGTTTCAGGTCGTTCTCGTCAGTCGTTTTCCTGCTCGGTTCCTGGTAGTTTCCTGGCCAGTTCATGTTTTAGTAAGTACAAGACTAGAAGCTTTTTGTATATGTCAGCCCCGTCGATCTCCATCACTGACGGGGGATACCGGGTTACAAAAATCCGAAGGTTTTATCTCGACCTATGCCTGGATTAAATTATGACCCTTCAGCTTAGCTTACTTTATAGATAATCCGAGAACCAAACATCGAAAGCTCCTTCTCGAAACCGATCAAATAAACGAAAACAAAAAAAGACTTTAGCTTGTTCGCTTGATATTATTTGCAAGTTGGTAAGACAAGGCTTTTCAATATCGAAATATTTTTAAAATTGACAACAAACTGGCGGCTGAAATAATGTTCGGCACGCAATGTTAGTCTTGATTACGGACTACATTGTTATTAAAATGATAGCCCTTTGACCACTTGTTGATTCTTTTGATCACTGCTGCACGTGCTAGATGATGTAGGTGATGTGAATTTCTTTTGTTACAGAACGATTCGATGTTAACGTTAGAAGAACACCTTTGATAAAGGTAAGCCATTTAAAACATTTCTAAACCGATTTGGTGACTTTTGACTGATAGCATTTCAGGCCCGTAACCTGACTTCTCGACTTACTTACAAAGCCCACAAGCCCCATGTCCATGTGGTGTCCTAATTGTAGACAATGTTCACATGTAATTTCAAGGAATGAGGGTAGGGTGGTAATTCTTTCAAGGCTACTGTCTTTGCAAGTTCGTTGGTGAATTTTAAAATCCTCTCCAGAAGTTCCCAAAATTCGTCCTGATGATTATTCTAAATCCGAAACATCCGAATCCTGAAAATTCGATATGCATATCAATATTTTAGTTTCACATAAACAGTATTATATTGCTATTCGTCTTGAATGTCATAATTTTGACAAAACCTTCTCTGAATTAACCTTTAACCACAAAGGTGGGGCAGAAATTGAGAATGGGGACATAAGGCTATAATTTCACCATGCAAAATATACCGAAATATCCTTTAAAATAAATTCTACAATAGACTATGGATAATACCTAAACGAGGATTTTATATCCGAAACTCACCTAAATAGAATGATACGAGTTCTTGTTAATTCATTATCATGAAGTTCAACTTCAATTGAATTGGTTTTTTTAATTGACAGTGATATGGTTGTTGGTGAAGGCTGAATTATGGTTTTGAAAGTCATGAAAGTCGTGAAAAAGTGTAAGTTATGTTATGATTCATGTTTTTTAAATTTAACTATGTTCCCCTGTCAAGGTAAAATGACTTGAATGGAAAGGGCGTCCAGTCGATCTGATGGGACATTCAGCCGAGGCCCCGTTTTGTACAATCCCGTTCCCTATTTAATAATGTAAATCGAAAATCGTGTAGGCAAATGCCACTGTCATGGTAAAAACACTGCTGTTGCGAAATGCGGAATGACCAAAAAAATCTATTTTGATTTATTTCATTTCATTTTTGCGGTGATATGGATGTTTGAACCTATGTGTTTTAAAGGAATGATACCTACTGAATGTCACAAATAACAGTTTTACAGAAGGTAAGCCAACTACACATATCTATACTATTGAAGTGCTTCCAAAAGCATATACCTCTTCGTACACGTATACAAGCTCTACAGGCTACAATTTTTTAACACACTGATGTCTGATGTTTGGTTTTGAATGGTTTTGTAGATGATGGTTAAAAAGAATAGTCATAGATAATGGTTAAGAAGAATAGTTATAGATAATGGTTAAGAAGAATAGTCATAGATAATGGTCAAGAAGAATAGTTATAGATAATGGTTAAGAAGAATAGTTATAGATAATGGTTAAGAAGAATAGTTAAAGATAATGGTCAAGAAGAATAGTTATAGATAATGGTTAAGAAGAATAGTTATAGATAATGGTTAAGAAGATAGTTATAGATAATGGTCAAGAAGAATAGTTATAGATAATGGTTAAGAAGATATTTATAGATAATGGTCAAGAAAAATAGTTATAGATAATGGTTAAGA